ATATTGTCGAGCTCGCCCTTCGTAAACTCGATCGCATTGGATTCAGTTTGAAAGCGGTATACACCGCCAGAGTGCACTGCAACTCCCATATATGGGTACAATTTCCCATATCACGAAACTGCATAGCATGAGCACTCGCATAGTGAAGCTGTTCACAATACCGGTGCAATATGATGATTGGAAAAGCAGTACTGAGCGGACTCTGAGGGTAGCTGAGTGCTGGTACCGCGCCGTCTTTTTCACCTTAGATCACTTTTCACCCTTCTGTTTCACGGCGGTAGTTTCTCACCACTTTGTTGTGACCCGGCGTTGTCGGTGTTTGCTTCAAAGTGTCAGGGTGAATGTCATGCCATGATGGCTGCTCTTTGTGATCTCGGGGATCCTGGCTGGGGGGATCCCTGGTTTCCGCATTGAGCTTTTTTGCTTGCACCCTCGGAGTGGCCCTTTGTGATTTGTTGGCGGTTGATTGTTGTTTGTTTATTTATGGGCCGGCGAACATGACACATAAGCTGTCATCTGCATGTGCCGAGACGATACTAAGCTATCACAACTCGCTTCAACAGAACTGTTTCACCCATAAACTGGAACCCGTCACGTCACCGTGGTGCGTTTGTGTGGTTGTTTGTGTTTTGTGTGGGTCGTTGTTTTGTTTGTTTGTTTGGGTTTGTTTTTGGTGTGTTTTTTTTGTTGTTTGCTTTCTGTTCTTTGTGTTTCGGTTTTTGCACTCGAAATGTGACAAGGGATCTGGACTATGTATCGGTCCTCTACCAGTTTACTTTTGCGGCCATTACAGCTTCGGCCCCTGCACGAGTCAATTAATTAATCTCATTTGCAACATGCTTGGAAACATGTTGAACGACCTGGCGGAAGCCATAAGGCGTTGGACGGAAAAAAAATTCAAACTGAAGGAACCTCTCCAGTATGATGTTGAGTCTCTTTTTCCTCTTTTGGCAAGCGTCAGGCCACAGGACTTCCCAGAACCACGTCTTGAGGCGCCACAGGCAGAACAGGCCTTACCACCACCTGATTTTCCACCAGAGTTGGATCCACCGGTTTTCCCAAGGGAAGAGGTGTCTCCACAGCCCATTGCAGATGGAGCTGATGGCATGGATGTAGATGCAGGTGAGGTAGGTGAAGGTCCTGAGCCCATGACGATCGACAGGGTTGATGAGGGTTCAGAAGGGGAAGGATCTGAGGAGGAAGAAGGGGATGCGTGGTTGAACAACCTTATTCTTCAAACACAAGCTGATGTGTGGAACACTTTTTGTTTGAGAGAGTCTGGTTGTGTTTTCCCTGTTGGTGAGGGAAATGGTGATTTCTTTGTAGAGGACTTTGGAGGTCAAAAGGTTCGAGTCGACATTCCTGAAAGTTCTTTTGACGAGCTCACTGGAGCTGCTTTGGATTTTGAGCAGGTGAAACAGGGAATGAAGACTGAGGTACAGCAGCTTGAACGACTGAAGGTCGGACGCTGCCTTGTCGAACGGGATGGCCGGGCACTTGCTAAGGAGAAACAAGTCACGGTCTTGACCTCACGTTGGGTATTGACCCAAAAGACCTCAGAAATCGTGAGACTTCGCTACGGGAGGGACCTCAGCCTTGAATGCTGGGATCTACACGCCAACGTCGTCGTTGGACGGGCTTCGTTGTGTGCTCGCAGTCTCCGTGGTGAAAGATCTCAGTTTGCTGACTGCTGATGTTTCTGTGGCGTTCATGCATGCGCCAGTGGAAGCTGAATCTTGTGACTTAGTGTTACTTCCGGCGAACCTCACAATCAAGGGATGTCGAGTGATCGCATGGCTAGGGAAAGCCATGAATGGGCTCAGGCGAGCCCCACTGTTGTGGTTTCTCGAATTGCAGCGGGTGGTATATTCCATGGGAGGCCAAGATACCTTTGAGAATACTTTATTCAGGTTGCAGACGCCCAATGGAATGCTTTTAGTGCTGGTGTATCGACGACTTACTCGTCGCGGCTGAAAGTCCGCAAGAGGGGGAATCGTTTTTGCAACAGTTGCAGACGATTTGGCGAATAAAACTTACTGGAAGGATTCCAGCGCTTAAGAGAGGCGTCCTACAGTTTTTGGGGAGAACCATCTATCGAGAAAGGGATGGGGAATCCACCTTAAATCTGGGGGTAAGTGAAGCCTACATGACAGGGGTCATCGACAGTTGGCACGAGAAGTTGAAACCGAACGAGACACCACCAAAGCTGGAAGAGATCTACAAGGATCGCGAGAAACAGGGCGAAGACACGCCTTTGACAGCGGAGGGTGAAGCACGGTACCGCAGGGTTCTAGGACAGTTGGCATGGGCCGCGTTGTCTAGAGCTGATTTTTGTTTTTCAGTTTCATACCTTGCGCGATTCCAGTCGAAGCCATCAGGTGCAGCAGAAGCTTGTTTGCGTGCACTGTTGCGTTGGTTGTTGACGCGCCTTCACCGCGTGCAGATCATGCCTTCTCCAGGCGTCCCTGTGGAGTAGTTGGTAGACAGACTACCGGTGGTGGTTCGATTCCCCGCTGGTCCGCAGGTAAGCCTCAAGTGTGGTGACCAGTCGAAAGACAATGGCGCCGGCCACAAAAAAAAGTGCAGATCATGCCTTCTCCGGAAGGATCGCCAAGCGTAGGATCGCGAAGCGTTGTTGGTTTCTGCGACGCGTCTTGGAATGTGGCCTCCGTGTCAGGGGGAGTCTTGATGTTCGAAGGTTGCTGCATCAAGGTGTTTTCTAGGAAACAGGAATGCCCAGCTTTGAGTAGTGCAGAGGCGGAGTTGTGTGCGATGACAGAAAACTCGAAGGAGTTGGTGTCGTTAGGCATGTTGTTGGAATCCATTTTGGATGGGATTCCGCTGACCATTTTGGGAACCCCGCAGTGTACAACAGGGACTTACCAGTTGGTTTTGCGCAACGACGCGACGGCCGCGATCAGCATCAGCTCGATGGAAGGGTTGTTGCGACGCGTCCGGCACATAGAACTTCGTGCGAAGTACATTCAAATGCTGGTGAAGAAGAAACGCCTTTTGCTTGAGCACATCCCTGGACTTCAAACCCGAGTGACGGTTTGACCAAGTCTCTTAACGTACTTGTTTCGTTTGTGTTTTAATCAATGTAATGCTTCATTACATGTTGGCTCAAGTAAGCATTCAGCTTATTTTCAAAAATGGAAACGCTTTTTCCTTTACAGCCACGTTTCGTTGTTTCAACACTGGGTTCACTCAACAACAGCCTTGTTTTGGCACTTATTTTGCTTTGCTTCGCTGGTTGGTTTCTCAACCCTTTTTTCCCCTGGGGGGTGTGGGCTGTTTCCCTATGTGTTCCCAGAAATTTGTCAATCATTCCTATTTGCATTCCACAGACAGTTTTTGACTTTTGTGCATGTCTTCCATTTTCCTGGGGCGTCGGCCTGATGGCAGCAGCCTGATATTGGCGCGACCACACGGAACACCCGCACGTGTGGGGACAGTGCGATTCAGATCGATTTTCTTTGCCTTGGGCCCAGATCGTCGCATTCGCAGTTGCATATTACTTCATTTAGGTCAGTTGGACTGGAGACATTTGAGAAATTCCAACGCACGCTTACTGTTACTTTTTGAGTATTCATCGGCTTCAGCTGTACAATCTCCTCAAGTGCAACGTGTTCGAGCCCCAGGATCTCCAACAGTGTCAAGTGGTCCATCGGTATCTAGCGATTCCCTAGTTTCCTCCAGTGACAACTCAAATGAATCCCAATGAGACAGACTGGATTCTGATTTCTGAGACTCAGAAACCTGATGCATGTCCAGCGGCGCCTAAGAGTTCAGCACCGTTGCCAGTCCCTCACAGTAGGCTGGCGCATCGACAGTATCCTGGCCCAGATTTGACTCTTGGTGGTTTACCCATTCCTGTTCCTAAAGTGCGAGCAAAATCAGCAACAGTTCCTCTACCTGTTCGGATTCAGCTTTCAGGGGATGCACTGGTTTCAGGGCCTACAGATGCTTTGCCTTCACGATCTTTGCCATCACGCAGTACTGGACTCAGCTTTCCGCTTTTGCCAGTGGGGTCATCAAAACGACAACAGACCAAGACGTCAGGTCAATTATTGAGGTTACAACATCCATCTCAATCGGACTGGTTGGTTCAGCAATGGTTTGCCATACTGAAAGACCTGGGTAAATTTTCAACAGTTGCAATGGCTTTGCAAGACTCCAGTCACGCCCCGCAACATGCTGCGCGACTCTTGGACCAGTTTGCACCTTCAACACTGCTGCGGTATTTTCAGGCTTGGACCAGTTTTGCCAAGACCCTTAAATCACTGGATTTATCATTGAGCACACTGACAGAGGCACAATTGGCCGATGCACTGGTTACGACATCACTTGCAAAGAGTTCTGATTGCTCACCTGGGTGTCAACTGACAATTAAGGCTATCCGTTGGATGTCCACCCATGCAGGGGTGGAGCAGCTCAAAATTGCGTGGCGACCTTTGATAGAGAGCTTCTTAAAAAGCAGAATCCCCAAAGAGCTCAAGGAATCCATCCCCATTTCTCTGTATACGATTGTGCAATTCGAGCGGAGAATCCTTATGGCGGCTTGTACACCAGCAGAGACTATTATACTGGGGTCCATTCTGGCATGCGTGTGGGGTGGACTCAGATTTGCGGACGCACAAAGGTGCAGTTTCAAAAGTTTCTGCTTTGATGGGGAGTCGTTTCGAGCGACTTGTTGGCGAACTAAGACTTCATCCAGGGGTCAACCATGGGGCTTTGTGGCGCATGGCCTTTTGTCTCTGGGCACGTATTCATGGACTGAAAAATGGCTGTCAACCATGGATGAGTTGTGGCATCACGCAAAAACAACTGACTTGGACATGCCAGTCCCGGACTTTTTATTTCCGGTCATGCGTCAAGATGGCGTTGAGTTACCATGGTCAGCAATGCAATACGCAGAGGCTTTGAAATGGATTCGACACATGGCTCGGCTCCCATGGAAGAGTACCCCGCAAACGGCGGACCATTTATCGGTCCATTCAATGAAGTCAACGCTCCTTTCATGGGGGTCGCAGCTTATGGCGGAGGGCCAGGTCTCCTCCGAAGAGAGACTTCTCCAAGGACACCATCGTCAAAGTGCATCTCGCAGCTTGAGGCTCTATAGCCGTGATGACGTCCACGGCCAGCTGGCGTACCACAAAAAACTGATTGACAGTATCAGACGTGGCAAACGTTTTGTCACACCCCAACACCGAGGTGGACAGTTACCAGTTGTGGAACCGGCAGTCCAGATCGAGTTCTTTAGAAAAACCTCCATGTCAAGGCAATGGCTCTGCTTTGATTTCAACAAACCAGTTGAGGTGCCCGAGTCTCCCCAACTTCCAGCTGCTCACGACGAACAATCCTCGTCAGAGAGCTCTGACACTTCATCCTCTTCTGACTCCTCTGATTCAGAGGTCTCCAAAGAGGTTTCAGCGAGGGCAGCCAAACGCCCAAAAATGGTGATTCCCACCGACGAGCCGGACGAAGTGATGGTTGCGTCGGTCTCCTATGTTCAGCATGCCATGATTGGCACAACAAAAGACTGGTTCCCTTACTTCCAAGGGCGACACTACCAAGCCGCTTGTGGAGCCCGCTTGGATCCAGATCGGGCTCGATTCGCCCAAAGTGCCGATCCTAGCTTGCACCTTTGCCAAAGACCCGCTTGCGTCAAAGCCTGGAAGGCTATGCTGGTATGACCGATTGGCCGCTTGCCATCGAAAATAATGCAGCCGTGAGCTGCGCATCTGGTGGACCAGACATGCTGATCATTTTTCACAATTTTGTACATTGCAGGGGAAATCATTCTCAAGTGTTCATGTGTTCCATAGTCTATATTATTCCTAAGCCTTTAGCTTGAGGGGACCTTGTTTTCACAACGGAGTGCAAATCCACGTGATGGCCATGTCATGGCCAAAATTTTTGATGGTTATCATAACCACTTGCTTTCATCCTTTTTGTCATTGCGTTGCCGGCTCAGCTCACTGGACAGTGATGGCATTCTGACTTGAGGTGGCACTCATGTCCCAGCACTATTATGGGTATATTTTCATCTATTATCCCAACCATACATTCTTCATGCAACCCCTCCTTCATGTATTCATACAAATGAAAAGGCTCCCGCCATGTCAGTGTCACATTACCATATTTCTTTTCTCTCACCCTCGACCACGTCTCCATGGCAGAGCCTTTGGAAACTGTTTTAGCTGATGCTGGAGTGGAAGCGGCACTGGCTTCAGGGATCATGGCTGATGGTTGGACCCTGAGAACTTTTCGAGAAATAGCGGCCACTGCAGCAGATTTTACCGATGCTCTGTTTGCGGAGCTTTGCCCTCACAATGATCATTTGACTCTTTTGCAAAAAGCTTCCATCAGATCAGCTTGGAGGAGCGCCCAACAACCAGAAACCCTTCAAGGTTCCTCTACCGACGGTTCAGTGCAGGTCGCGCACTCAGGATCTGTTGCAGATGGGTCATGGTCAGAAGTTTTTCCACCAAAGTTGAACAATGAAACGGTAACATCGTTGAAGAAGCAATTTCTGCAGAACTATCCGTCAGAGGTTCTCACCTCAGATACTCAACCAAGCTCCAGATTACTTGCACTAGCATACCAGCTCACCCAGAAGAAGGACTTCAAGTGGCTTCCTTGGAAGTTCCGCATGTCAATGTCTCGTTCAGAAGACATGGCAATGAGCAGGGCATCCAAAGCCCCGCGCTTAGAGAACCTGCAGCTTCACCAGCTCTTGATAGATGAAGTACCTTCTTTGGAAATAAATAATCAATCGCTTGGTCTGAATGCGCTTCGCCAGATGTTTGAGATTCATAACTACGCGTGGTCACTTGTGGGGGCATGTCATTTACACAGACTCCGGGCATATACTCTGAAGTTCATGAGCCTTCTTTCAGTGCGCCTGGACCAGGACTCAGGTTTACGAGCTCCCAATATGTTGGAAGCCCAGCAGGCAGACAAAACCATTTGGTACCATATTTCCGAACTTTGCGAATCTGCCACATGGTCATTGGATGATGCACTTTTGGAATTTACACAGAACAGAGGGGATCTAGCGACACTCCTGCAGCCCAGACCGCGGTTTCAAAAGATTTCGCAAGCTCCAGCGAACACTCCTAGCAAAGGAAACAAGGGTCCCAAAGGTGGCTCCAAAGGCGCCAAGTCTTCCAAAGGTGGCTCCAAACCAGGAGTTCGATGGCTCTCAGAGATTGGGCGAGGTTCTCAGAAAAAGACTCTCTGTATGCGATTCCAATCCGGCAAGTGCTCCAACAAAGATTGCCGCTATGAACATGCTTGTGGATATCCCAAACCTGATGGCACAGCCTGCGGCGCAAGCCATGCCGCGATTGATCACGATAAAACACCACACTGACTTGTGGAACCACCACATACGTTACAGCCTGCAGTCTCATCACCACCGGCCGTCCAAGACTCAGAGCCTACTCCACTAAGTGGTTGTGTAGTTGCGAAAGAGTTGCACTCAGTATCACCTATGTTTCAAACTCCTACCAGGGAGTACCAGGAAGTATCACCGGCCATTTTGGCCCCACTGCCAACAGTTTCCGACATGGAGACGGATCCCAATATTCAGACGGAACATCGGCCGGATCCTCAACCAGAGCAGCCTGACTGTCGACAAGAGCATGATCATTTGGTGACTTCAAGTTTGACTTCTTCGATGACAAATTTTTCTCAAGAATTACTCACCCCATGGAGTTGTCAGGGTTCAAAGATATTTTTGGATATTTGCAGTGGCGTGGATGCACCTCTCTCTTCTGCAGTTTCCAAATTAGGTTTCCCGGCACTCTCCATTGACTTGTTAGTGGACTCACGAATGGATTTACTGGATGATTCCTTCTACGAACAACTCCTACGTCTTTGCGGCTCGGGAGTAGTGGGGTATTCAGCAGCGTCTCCTTCCTGTACGGAATATAGCCTGCTAAAACTCAGACCAGGGGGACCCAAGGCCATTCGAACACCAGATATGCTGAGCGGAGTTCCTAATTTAACCCCAGAAGAGACTCAAAGATTGCAAGATAGTGCCACCCTCCTGTATCGCTGTGTCAATTCAGTTTCAGTCACTTATTCTTCGGGCGGTCATGGACATATTGAACAACCTTCGGGAGCTATGAGTTGGAGCGAAGATTGCGCCCAAGAATGGATTCGCCTGTCGGGATGTGCTCTTATTCTTTTAGCAGCATGTGCCTTTCACTGGAATATCATGAAGACATGGTTATTTGCTTCATCGTTTCAACCGCTGGCAGAGTTAGCAGCTACGTGCAATCATGGACCCAATGCGCATCCCTCTATTGCAGGCGTCAAAGATGAACATGGCGTCTATTTGAGCAGACGATCAGCGGCCTATCCAAAGGCGCTTGCAGAGGCCTTTGCGTCAAAAATTTCAGTGCTCCTTACTCCCTTGGCTACACCAGTTTCATGGTCCAATGTTTTCAATTTATTTCCCATCAAGCAACTGTTTCAAAACCCCAAAGGTTTTGTGGATGGGGGAGGCCTGCATTCCACACCAGATTGGTCCAAACCACCCGACCACTCCTCTAACTTGTTTAGATCAGTACGTGACCACTGGATCCCTCGTATCCTTAATAACAATTGGCATAAGATGCTTGTTTCCCATTTTTTACAAAAGAAAACAGATCCCCCTTTCTCAGAAGGGATCATCAATGAATTCCGCAATTCTCTTGACTCTTTGCTGCCGCTGCCATCACCATTGGATTGGCAAGTTCGGGAGGACCAGCCCTTGTGCCTCCACGCTCTTTCAGCAATAGGCCAATACATGAATGACCCTGATGTTCATTTATTTCAGGACCTGATAGCGGGTGTGTCTACTGGTTACAATGATGGTATTCGTCCATCCCATGTTTTTGCTCCGAAGCCGGACAAAGAAGATCTCGCTGCACCGGACCTATCCATCCATTTGACCAATTGGAAGAGCGCAGAGGATCACCCTGATGTCACCCAACAACTGGTGGAGGAAGAGATCTCCAAGGGCTGGCTCATTTGTTTTGATGGCAGTGTCGAAGATGCCAAACAACGTTGGCCGCATGGGGTTGCCATAGGCAAACTTGGCGTTGCAGTCTCCGATTCACGCCCACCTCGGTTAGTAGTTGACTATACAGTATGCGGAACAAACCCCAACTGTAACATCCAGGAGCACCAACAACTGCCCAGCGCTAAAGAGGTGCAGCGCTGCTACCCTTTAAGGGAACATTCTGAGGAGCTGGGCGCCCTAGGCCTGGATGCAAAATCTGCCCACAAACTGTGCGTCATCAAGGAAGATCATCGTGGATTGGTGGGCTTCAGTCTGAATAACAAGTTATATTTTAATAAGGTCTGCCCCTTCGGAGCCAAGTTCTCCGCCCATTGGTGGGGGCGTTTGGGCGCTTTTTGGACACGGCTCCTGCACCTGGTGATCTATGTGGCTCATTCATTATTTCTATTTGTTGATGACTGGCTTTTGATTCAACGTATGGATATTCTCCCAATCACTGCGACTTTAGTGACATTTTTTATCCAAGCTTTTCGATTGCCCATCAGCTGGCGCAAAGCGGAGTTGGACAGGGAGGTCAGTTGGATTGGCTGGAATCTCAATTTTTCCACAGGTATCATCCGACTGCAGCATGCCAAACGAGACAAGTTACTGAAACTCATTGCAGAATTGCTCCAGCGCCCCAAGACCTCCAAGAAGCAAATCGAGAAGTTTGTGGGTCTGCTCCTCTGGGTAACGCAGATCTTTCCTATCATGAGAGCATTTATTCATCACTTGTATGCTGACTTGTACAAGGCCCCAGCCACTCTTTTTTCGGTGGACCCCGGGTACTGGTTAACCACAATAGCCTGCTTGTCCGACAACCTTCAATTCACGATCAGACCAGTGGGTACAGCCATACCCATTGGAGGCAAACTTCTATCTGTGCGTCATCAACCAGTTCAATCCCTGGAAGATGTCAGAAACTGCCGTTTATCCGACAAGCGGATCTGGTTACGAATCCTTGATCCGACCTCCAATAAACGATCACTGAGCACCAGCTCTCAACGGATTCTTCGTATGTACCAAGAATGGCTTCAACATACAACTCCTTTCGTTTCAATGAATCCGAAACTGCCATGGGCGGGCGAAGCTGCCGCAGACGCTTGTGCCCATGGAGACCGCTGCCAAGTTGGAGGCTTCTTACGCTTCTCCAATGGAGATATGAGATGGTTCAGTGAGCAATGGTCATCCGCCGACTTTCTAGCCCTGGACATCCCTGTCCATTCAGATATGCAGAAAGATATCAGCTCATATGAAACGTTTGCACAATTCTGTTTACTTTATTCTCTATGCTATTTTCTCCCTGGCCAGCGCGTTTCAATCACACTGAAAAGCTTGAGTGACAATACTGCTGCAGAAGCCAATTCAAATTTTTTTATTTACCACCAAAGCTCCTTTGTGCTATTTTGTGGAACGATTGTGTATGTTAATTTCAACAGTTCATGCCGAACTCGATGTCAGCCACATTGCGGGGCATTCAAATGACTTCGCTGACCGCATTTCCAGATTGCCTTTGGAGGATCCGTTACCTCCCGATTTGAAAGCATCCGAACGCATCCGTCTGCCTCTTTCCGAGATTTGGTTTCCATTTCATCAGCCAACTGTATTCCCAAAGGGATCCAAGGTGGCTTGGAAACTTCCAGTTTCACGTTTCTGATTCCCATCTTGTCATTGCCAGTCCTTCATTCACACTTTTTTCGAAGGGGTTTTGTTTGGCGTTCAGAAGTCCTTGTTTCGATAGTTGAATTTGGGTGAAATGGTCCATCGATCCAATTTGACTTCTGATGTGAAGCGGTCACATCTTACTGGCAATGAAAAACAAGTGTGGGAATCTGGCGCGTCGTTCCATCGGTTTTCACGTGTTTCATGCATCCATGCTTGAATGGCGAGTTTGTCCGATGTGGATTTATTTGCAGCGGTTTACAGTTTTGTGTTTAGGTTGTTTTGGTTTTATGTTTTATTTTGTCTGTGTGTTTATATGTTTATATATATATATATGTTTGGTCAGTTTATATGTCAGTGAATGCTCGCTTCCTCAAGCTGTAGCAAATGAATGCTTACTTGTTAGAACTCTTAACGTACTTGTTTCGTTTGTGTTTTAATCAATGTAATGCTTCATTACATTTTGGCTCAAGTAAGCATTCAGCTTATTTTCAAAAACCCTCCCTCCCACTCCTTGTTATTGACATTATGGTCTCTTTCTTTCTCTTATGGTAGTTCTGATACCCAAATCTTTTGTTTCTTCTCGCTGTTGCTTTCCCCAATTTCTATGTCATGACCATAAGTCACATATAGCAAGAGTGGCCTAATGTTTCACTGGTAGTCCTTTGCCTACCACTTGCAGCTTTGGACATACTGCATCCGCTCGTATGCATCCGATTTCCTGCATTCACCCGAGATCTGCCAGCTGTGTTCACAGCTATGCATCCAAGCATCCGGCCGTAGACCTCGATTCTCGGGTGTTCATTCATTCGGACTTATCCTCCATTTGACCATTTGCTTTAATTTCTTTGTTGCTTTCAACAGTGCTGAACACCAGCTTGTGCTCGAGCTACACATGGTTTCACCATCTGCGTTGTCCTCCTTTAGGAGACATTCCGCCTCCAACCAAATCGGTTTCCGAAATCGATGGGTGAAATGGTCCATCGATCCAATTTGACTTCTGATGTGAAGCGGTCACATCTTACTGGCAATGAAAAACAAGTGTGGGAATCTGGCGCGTCGTTCCATCGGTTTTCACGTGTTTCATGCATCCATGCTTGAATGGCGAGTTTGTCCGATGTGGATTTATTTGCAGCGGTTTACAGTTTTGTGTTTAGGTTGTTTTGGTTTTATGTTTTATTTTGTCTGTGTGTTTATATGTTTATATATATATATATGTTTGGTCAGTTTATATGTCAGTGAATGCTCGCTTCCTCAAGCTGTAGCAAATGAATGCTTACTTGTTAGAACATTCAAGACTAGGGATATGCTGATTAACCTCGAAAAAGAGGTAGGTTTGGTGCCAGGACTCGACACCAATGGCTTGTCATGGATCCGTACTTTTCAGCGTAGGCTGCAGCTGCTAGCCGAAGAAGGGGAGATGTCAAGTTTGTTGGAAGGGTCGGTAGCACCTGAATTACCTGAATTTTGAAATTTTCCGAACGAATTGCATGACACAAGCCTGTTCCACTGAGGCACTTTGCTAAGGAACTTTTGTTTTTCGCTTGTGAATCAACGGCGTTTCGCTAAGGTTTTGAATTCGATAGACGTTGGAACCGCAGGTGACCGCCTGGAATCCAGTTTGCTCCGTCCTACTGAAAGTCTTTGTACCTTCCTACAGTTTTCACTTTGTACTGTTCTTTTGTTGCGAATCGGCGGATGTGGACCTTGAGTACTTCTGTTGTCCCGTCTGGATGGTTTGCTGGAGTTTTTCTGTTTTCCGTGACGGTGTCCTGTCCTTTTCCGTCTCGGTTCTTTGGTCAGTCTTTGTCATGTTCGACTGATGTGCATTGTTGGACGATGTTGATCAGTAGAGGGATTCGTTTTGGACTTTTCGCTGTCTGACTGTAATTTCTGTAGTGCACATGGATGCATACGTGCTGACACTCAGGTTGCAGTTGTTGGAAGTTTTTCGTTTGCATGTCATGCCACGACACGTTTTTGAAACAAAACGACGGAAACGAAAACCAGTGAAACACCAGTTTTTCCAAAACCTCAAGTTTTGTTTTTGTGATTTTGGAATGCTCATAATGTGATGCAGAAGCCGTTTAGGAACAGAAGCCGTAGAGAGAGAGAGAACAGTTTGTTTTACTCCACAAGCTTGATCGGATCAAGAGGAAAGGTTGACTTGTTTTTGTGTTTTGTGACGTGTGGCGTATGGGCAGCATGGCTGATGTCACCACTCCTGAGAAGACTATGGAAGCCAATGAGGGCTTGGACCAAGCAGTTCCTGTGGTGGAAGGGTCTGTGCCAGGAATGGCAGTTGTGAATGACTCCATGCCTGACCCTAAGTCCCCAACGGAGGGGAAAGGAGATCAGCCTGATGAGGCTGACGTTGAAATTTTGGAACCACCGGGGAAAAAGATCCGTTTCTCTTTGGAGGAACGCTTTGAGAAATTGATGGATCGCACTCAGGAGGGCTTCGATTTGACCAGAGGAGCCTTAGAAAAGGTGCAATTGCATCTTGATCTGAGCAAGAAGGTCAGCCAAGACCTTTCGCAGTTAGCACGAGAAGTGCATTGCGAGAAAATCGGAGCTAAGTACCAGTTGGCGCAACTCCAACAGGTACTGTCGTCGTTCCAAAACCTGGAATGGCAGGTGGGCGGTACCAAGAGTGAGGCAAACACCAGCCTCAAAGGTATCAGCAACAAAATCCTGGGAGCTCAAACAGCTTGCAAGGAAGGGCTCAAGGCCCTGCATGGAGAGATGCGTGAGGGCAACGAGAGGGTAGTCCAAGCCATCACTGATGGATTCAACAAGCTGACCGCAGCTATGGTGGCCAATGCACCACCTGTGAAAGAAGCCTCAGCTCCAGCATATCCTCCGGTACCACCACCGACTATGCCACCAGGAACACCTCCTGCAGGATCCTCAGTGACGTCCACGTATGGTCTTCCTGGATATGCATCCAGCTATGGTCTGCCGACACCCAATCTGCCGACACCCAATGCGCCGATGATCAACACACCACAGACGCCGGCAAGAGTGCCTCCGACTTCGATGGGGTCAATGGCAAATATTCCAACAGCGCCTGCTGTTGCCACGGCTGCAAGGAATGAGCCGCAGCCTCCTATGGTGCTTTTGGTGGCTGATGAATCAGGCGCACAGCGCCGTGTTGCAGTATCGCCTACTCGACACCTGTCGAGCAACAACCTTACTCAGAGTTACTTACAGGAGTTTGTGTTGGGGTGCGTGCACCACGCCGGTGGCTATCACAGGCGATTGCCAGATGTCTTCTTACCCAAGTAAGCTTGGTGTACTACATTCAAAGGCATCTGGACTGGTACCTTTTGTGACAGCAGCGGCCAAGTGAGAGAGGCAATAGAGGAGAATAGATCATTGTGATCTCGAGGTTCACCTTGTGCCCAGATTGCATAGCCGAGCAGCTGAGTCCAAAAGAAGCACGTCCTCTTTGGTACAAAGATGATTGCCTTATTCTTGGGCTCAATGGTGTTTTGCTTGTACAGCAAAACAAGTGGAACTGCTGCTCATCTTCCAAGTGAAGTTTGAAAGAAACAACGAGACGTCTTGTGCTGTATGCACTTACTTTTCCTGTTTTTTGGAAACGCGTCCAACTAAACAGGCAAACTTGAAACTGTATGTTTCTTTTATGTTACCAATTTTTTGGTAGACCCTTTCGTTCACAGAACCTGTTAAACTTGTACTGTGATGAAACTTAATCTCATTTTCATTGATTTGGATTTTTCAAAGCAAGTTCAAACATGGCGAACTTGTCTGATTAAAACTGTTAATCAATTTATGTCCACGCCTCTCCTTCAAGTGGACCAAAGTTTCCACTTTGTCTAGCAGGGAAGCCATTTGGAATTTTGAATGCGTCGTAGGGGCCGTATTGCTTTTGATAGCCCCGTCGTTCTTGGTGGCCCGGTCAAGAGCCCGGTTACAGTGGTTCATTTTGTGAGTGCCATCAGTTGTGCCTTTTTCGCAGGTGCTGCATTCATCATTTGGCTTTTGCTTGCATGAGCAATCAATTCCCTGTGCACTGGACCCATTTTGACGTGACTTCAGAACAGGATTTTCAACGTTGGGAAACCTCAGACATTTGGCAGCGTACAGTGGTCTTCAGTCTTGGCAGTGTAAGGTCCAATCTTATTACATTTTTGTTCCTGGATCGGTCTGCCAGAGGTAGGTTGCGTGTCACTTGCTTCGCCTTTGCAGTGGAGATATCCGATTGTTACAGGGACCTTGCCGAGTTGACCCAGGCCTAATGGACAGCCCCTCAGAAGCTTCGCCCTCAACTCCAAAACATCTTTTTGGGGGGGCAAGTCAGGTTTTGGAATTGCATGGTGACCTCAGTGCAAACCGCTCTGGTGACTTTGGTAGGGCTGAGGAATGTCAGGTTGTAGTGGATCATGCGGAGCTGCCCTCAGATGTCGCCATTGAAAAAATGTGGCTTAATCTTGACAGGAAAGTGGACATTGAACTTCCATGGGAAAAAGGAGTTTGGAAACAGATTTTTGGCAGCTCTATCAAACCCACAAGTTCGAACAGTCCACAATTTTTGAGACCTGTTTTTGCAGCTTGTCCGACAGCAACAGTGGCAGATGCCGAGATGCCCAGCAAGAAGCTCAGGCGGTCATCTTTTGCAAACCATTGGCAACAAGTTGTCACAAATGTTGATGAGGTTACATGGACTGAATCACAAGAAGCCAAACTGGACACTGCAATGAAAAGATGGTACGACATTGTGTTGCGTTTTCCTCTTGGCATTGGAATCAAAGATCAATTGTCATTGCTAGCAGACGTCCCTGACCAATTGAGGGTTCTGAGGGATGTTTTTGCCACAAAGGCACCTCTGACTCTCATCAAGAGGGCAAACTCACTTCAGCGATACATCAATTTTCTGGACAGTCAGGGTATGTTGTTCCCTGGAGATGAGGATGCGTTGTACCGACATTTTTGTTTGGAGAGAGAGTCAGGGAGCCCTTCGAGTCGCTTGCAATCAGTTGTGGAGGCTTTGAGGTTTACAGAGCATGTACTGGGGGTGTCGCAGCTCAGCGCTGAACTTCTCTCCAAAAGAGTTTTGGGGGCCTCAAAGTTTCAATCAAATGGACCCCGAAGACAGGCCTCTCCATTCACGGTGAATGAACTCAAGATCCTACATAGCGTCCTGGTTTCAGAGGACGAGGACATCTGGGATAGGACGATGGCAGGTGCAACTTTGTGTGCAGTTTACAGCAGGAGTCGTTGGAGCGATCTGCAACACTCCGAAGCCATGCTGTCAGACCCAGATCATTGGGACCCTTGCTTCATTGAATTCACCGTCAAAGAGCACAAGACGAAGAGGGCCAATGCTTGGGTGGAAGGTTTCTTGCCAGCCGTTGCAGTAGCACACGGCGTCACCTCAGACAACTGGGGTAGGACTTGGCTTGTTGTGAGAGATTGCATTGGTGGTGAAATTTCAGCGGGCTTCCCAGTCATGCCTGCCCCTGGCGGTGATCATCAACCCACAAAGCGTCCCATAACCTCGGACGAGATGGGGAAGTGGGTCAGAATGTTGCTTGAAAGGCATGGAGCCGACCTGACAAGCAGGAAGATTACATCACATTCATGCAAGAGCACTTTGCTCTCGTACATGGCGAAGTTTGGGTGCGACATCACAACGAGGGAGATCTTGGGGGGACATGTGAGTCACCTCAAGAGTGTCCTGACTTACAGCAGGGATGGCTTGGCGGGACCGCTGCGTGAGTTGGAGAAGGTGCTGCTGTCGATCAGACAAAACAAGTTTTGTCCAGACGCGTCGAGGTCTGGCAGGTTCAATGATGCTTGCAAAGTCGAAGATCCCGAGATAGCTGGACAAGTGGCGTCTGATGGGGCTGCTGGTGTCATCTCAGTGGCAGACAGGCCTAACGAAGCGCTGGCAGTGGATTCCGACTCGAGCGATGAGGGAGACAGCGACACAGACTCTTCTTCTGACGAGGAGGCAAGCAACCTTGGGCGAGCTGCCAGGTTGGTGAAATGCCCCACCGCTCCGGTTGGCACAACTTTGATACAACATGAAAAATCAAAGATGTTGCACTTGCTGGCCGAGGGATATCAGAAGATTTTCATGTGTGGCCGACAAAGAGGGAACGCTCACAAGCCACCAGTACATGTCAGGTGGGACTCACCTTGCTGTTCCCTTTGCTGGAAAGCTGCCCGGACAAAGTTGGGCTCCAGGCTTGTGCAGCCTTGAAATCGAGCGTCCGACTCCAGCTGGTATAAAAAAGTGGTCCGCAGCACGTCTTGCTGTGGTTGTGAAAACATGGTTCACGAAAGGCCTGTGTGGTCATTAATGTAAAAGACCAAACATGACAGGTCTTGCAATTTTTTGGAGACACGTATTGTTTCCGTTGTATCCTCAATCCTCAGAGGGCCAGTGGTTGTATACCACTTCAAAGAGCATGTGTGTGACGTGGTGCTCAAAGCTTCACCATTTGGTGCGAACACGTTCACGCATGAGATGTTTTTTGACCACATTGCATCGTATTTTTGCATTTTTTCTTGTTTAGTGTCCTTTATCTTGTGCATTAGTTCCAAATGAACTTTCTTGCTGACACGACGTGTAAATTGAAAATCACTTGTAATTTTGATTTCATTGCATCACTGTAGAACCTGGCGACATGGCCCTGGTGGATTCAGAGAGCGCTTTCAGGAAGCGTTGCGAACAGTTGCAGGCTGGTCTAGCTGACAAAGCCGAGGCGCAAAGTTTGACAACTTTTTCAACGTTTGCGTTCTCAGTAGGGTCTCCACAGAACCAAGTTACAGATGCGGAAATCACGAAGCTTGCTGAATCAATTTATGGTACACCAAGTTTGGGTGATGTGGCAACTGTTAGAAGACTGCATTTTGAATCTTGCACGTATCTTCTCAATGACATGAAGACGAACGCCCTGAACACAGATTCGTCGGAGCCTTTGAAGAAACTGCCTTTCGTTGAAAAACAAACGAGGCTTGAGGCACAGAAAAAGAGAATCACAGGGCTGTTGCACAAGCCCGATCAACAGCCTGCTCACAGCCTCATCGATTTGGCCTTCCATATTGTAGAGACAGGAGCACTCACTTACATTGGGCCATCAAAATGTCATTCACGTGAAATGGAGATTCAGGCGGAGTCAAAACAGAAGTCAAAGCAAATCATCACCCTAGAACAGGGATCATTGAAGTCGGCGACCACGAGCTCCATGTCAGACGTGGACACCTCTACGGAGTTGCGTTTGTTTTTCGCATTGCAACGCAGACATCTGGCATTTGAGATTGTGCACTTGTTGTCTTGGCAACCGTGTCAGGTGTGGCTGGACAAGCTGATGGGTTCCCTGATTCAAGAACCACTGCATGCGGCATCCAGCCTGGGCCTCACCCAAATTTTGAAAGCAGACAGGGAGATTTTTACTCTCATGGCCTCTGAATACAGTGGCAGTCTCATTGCCGACAAGGGAAAGGCTCCACCTTTGGATGACATTTTCACACGTTTGATGCATGATCCAAGAGTCAATGTGCATCTTATTGCAATGCCCCGCGTTCACCAACCTGCTCAGAATCCACAGTTGAAGGGAACCAAACGGGAAAATGAACAGACTGCTGGTGGACCAAAAGGGCAACCTCCGAAGAAACCCCGTTTCAATGATCGTGAGCCAGCAAAGATCCCGGAGGAACTCAAAGGCCTCAAGCTCAGGACTGCTGATGGAAAGCCAATGTGTTGGCATTTTAACTTGAGCAAGGGATGCAACAATCAGATCAAGAACGGACGGCGCAAGTTCGGTTTCCATACATGCATGCGATGCCTCAAGCCCAAGCATGGAGCTGCAGCTTGCCATGCTAATGCAGGTTCTTGACAGGACGAAGATGTCACCACAAGTGCGCCTCTTGGTGGTGACAATGACAACGCATTAGGCGCCAGTTTTGAAAGTGAGTGTACAGGGGGCTCGAACAACCCCGATTTTTCTCCAAATTCAGTCAACTGCAGAAAGCATGAGGACGTTGGTTTGGTTGTTGAATTTTTTTCTGGATCCTGCAGACTCAGTAAAGCCTGCCGGAAACTCGGACTACGAGCCTTGCCAATAGACAAGGACCCCAAGCGTGCGGAGAGTTGTGCGGTGGCAAATTATGACTTGTCGGATCCACAGCAATACAGCACCTTGGTTGAAGTTTTGCATGCAGAAAGGGAATCCATAATACATGCACATTGCGCACCGAGTTGTGGCACAGCATCCAGAGCACGTGGAAGAAAGGTGCCAGGTATGCCATTGCATTTGCAACCTCAACCTCTGCGCAGTGATGATTATCCAGATGGTTTACCCAACCTGTCGGAAAAGGAGCAGGCCCGAGTTGACAGTGCAAATGCTTCTTACAAGGCCACTGCAGACATTTTGTCGCTCCTGATCGGGTGGAACGTTTCGGTTTCGATAGAGAATCCTGCAAAGTCCCTTTTCTGGAAGACCAGCTGGATACAAAAGCTCCTGCAGCGTTTTCATGATGGCCATGACACTTTCCTAGATCACTGTCTGCATGGTGGTGCCCGTGACAAAGCCTCTCGGTTTTGGTCGTACAATCCATGGAGACCATCTGAAAACATGCTTGAATCACTTGCCTTGAAATGTGATGGAAGCCACACGCACAAATCTTGGAAGCCATCTATTGTGGATGGCGTGGTCTCATTTCCCACAAAGGAAGAAGCAGCATATCCAACCACGTTGTGCGAGCGGTTGGCATCAATCTTCTTATACTGGGCAAGGGTTAGAAACCTCGAGGGACCCAAAGACCTGGTGGAACAAACAACAGCAGATTTGGACGCAGGCAAACGACAGTTGTTCACCGGTCAACCCAGGACAAAGACCATCCTGCAGCCGGTGTCGGAGTTTGGTCATTTTGTGGCAGTGGCTATCCCCATCAATTGTGACGATCTGCATGCAATCATAGCTTCCTTGCAAAAGGGCTCCAAGCCCACATCCCGTACAGTTCAGCGGGGGTGGTCCAGGGATGTCTTCAAAGCAAATAACCATGGCAAAGTCATAGTGCACAAAGACTTGAAACATGGACAAGACTACGAAGTGGTCATGGTTGGCGTCCCCAGAACTCCAACTGAGTTTCTGGAAGCAGCCCGGTTGGTTGGACATCCTCGAGGTCATCTGGTCAGGACTTCAATGGATGTGGATCAAGCAATTAAGGCCAATCTGGAATGGCCACAACATCAGCTCCTTGCGCACAGGGCGACAGTGTTCAAAGGTTGGCTGAAAAAAGCAGCAGAGCTGAGATCTGAAGAGAGTGCCTTGCATGACAAGCTCCCTCAACACCTGAAACAAATCCTTTGTCGCAAAAAGCTACTCTTGTGGAAGCACATTCTGGTCAGTCTGGGCTATGGTGATGCAAAGATTGTTGACGACATCATAGAAGGTTTTTCTTTGACAGGGTGGGCACCTGCAACTGGTGTGTTTGACAAACATGTCAGAGCAGCCTCGATGACGGTGCAGCAATTGGAGGGCATTGCGCTTGGTTTGAACTCCGCAGTTGTGGGAGCGTTGATGAAAGGACCTTGGACTCCATTGGATGCTGATGCCTTGGAGGAGACTATTTCCGAGGTTGATAAAGGTTGGTTGGCTGAATGCAAAGATGTTGACATGAAGGGTCAATTCATAGCAAAGCGCTTTCCAATTCAACAGAAAAGCAAGATGAGGTTGATCGACGACTTCTCGGTGTGTGGTGTCAACTCCACTGTTGGACTGCCTGAGAAGCTCAGGGTCGAATCAGTCGACCAGGTTGTGGCCATCTTGCTGGCGATGATGCGATCGGGTCAGGGCACCATGAGACTGCCGTGGGTCGGCCGCACGTTCGACTTGAAGGCGGCGTATAAACAATTTGGGGTCAGTGAGGAAGACTCCAAACGCTTGAAAATAGCTTTGAAAGCGGGGCCGGATGCAGTAAGATTCTTTGATGTCTTGGCTTTGCCATTTGGAGCCACAGGCAGTGTGGTTGCTTTCCTGCGAGTGGCGGCATCCCTAGCCTTCATAGGCACCAATGGACTCCACATATGTTGGTCAAGCTTCTTTGACGACTTCACTGCGGTGTCGCCGATGTCACTGTCGGATAACACCCAGATCTACGCACTTTTCAGGCTGTTGGGGATTGACTTTGCGTCAGAGGGTGACAAAGCCCCGCCTTTCAATCAAGTTTTCAAATCCCTGGGTTTGCAGTTTGACCTGAACAGGGTTGATGAAGGATACTTCACCTTGGGCCACACCGACTCGAGAAGACGGGAGTTGCTTGAACAGATTGAGACTATGATCGAAGGACGTGACACTTTGGTCAGCGCCAAAGAACTTGAAAGGTTGCATGGACGTCTTGTTTGGTTCAACGCTTTTGTCTTCGGTCGCACCCTGAAAGCAGCAGTGAGTGTGATTTCAAAGTTTTCTAGATCCTCATCAAACATGGTGAAAGTGCACGGAACTCTGAGAGATGCTCTTGTGATTCTCCGAGCTGAGCTTGCGAAGGACGAGCCTGTCCTAGTGCACGAGGCAATCTCAAAGACTTGGATGGTTTTCACTGACGGTGCCTATGAACCAGATGGCACGGTTAAAGCATCAATTGGCGGTGTCTTGGTGGACGAGAATGGCCTGGTGGTTGAATGCTTTGGACTGGAGATTGACGACAGTTTAAGAGAGGAGTTTTTGGCCAAGAGCCAGCACCCGATCTATGAACTAGAGATCTTCCCTGTCCTGGTTGCCCTCCGAACTTGGAAAAAACAATTAAGCAATTCTCAGGTAGTGTTTTACTTGGACAACGATGCAGCAAGGAGCGCTTTGATCCGAGCGGATGGATCGACTGAGTTGTCACAAGTCCTCATTGCTGAGTTTGTGAAACTTGAAAAGGATACCGGTATCCTTCCTTGGTTCGCAAGGGTCCCTAGCGCCAGCAATCCGGCGGATGATGCCTCTCGACTGGTGTTTAACACCCCGTGGCTTCTTGGTGTGCCAAAACCTTCCATTGTCCTTCCAGCTCGGTTGTCACAGTGGGGTATGTCATAGGAGCTGCAAGCAAGAGGCAGTCTGGAAACTAACAAAGGAAAGCTCTGGTCTGGATTGGAAGCATGTAACCAATCAACCGACCGAAATCCCTTTGCATACACCAGTCGGATAGCGTGTCCGATCCAAACCTTTCCCCAGTTGACTTGAGAAATCTTTTGGACAAAAAAGGTGTGTGCGCCATCTTTGCGAATCTTTTCTCAGCTGAAGCCACCATGTCATTTGTTGTGCAGTGACGTTGTTTTCCTGAGGTTGCTTTCGTTTTTCGAACATGTCCATTGGCGTTTTCGACGTATCGCGTGCGCGTGGTTACATACATAACCTTGTTCCTCGCGTATTGCGTTAATCTACCTACTTGTCTCCCTCTTTCTCACTTCACTGTAGGGAACCCTGCAGCTGTCCACGTCCATTGTGCCCAAGAATAAGCACGTCCTCTTTGGTACAAAGATGATTGCCTTATTCTTGGGCTCAATGGTGTTTTGCTTGTACAGCAAAACAAGTGGAACTGCTGCTCATCTTCCAAGTGAAGTTTGAAAGAAACAACGAGACGTCTTGTGCTGTATGCACTTACTTTTCCTGTTTTTTGGAAACGCGTCCAACTAAACAGGCAAACTTGAAACTGTATGTTTCTTTTATGTTACCAATTTTTTTGGTAGACCCTTTCGTTCACAGAACCTGTTAAACTTGTACTGTGATGAAACTTAATCTCATTTTCATTGATTTGGATTTTTCAAAGCAAGTTCAAACATGGCGAACTTGTCTGATTAAAACTGTTAATCAATTTATGTCCACGCCTCTCCTTCAAGTGGACCAAAGTTTCCACTTTGTCTAGCAGGGAAGCCATTTGGAATTTTGACCCACCCTGTTCAGCACGCTTCTCATCCCACCCAGGGGTATGTCATAGGAGCTGCAAGCAAGAGGCAGTCTGGAAACTAACAAAGGAAAGCTCTGGTCTGGATTGGAAGCATGTAACCAATCAACCGACCGAAATCCCTTTGCATACACCAGTCGGATAGCGTGTCCGATCCAAACCTTTCCCCAGTTGACTTGAGAAATCTTTTGGACAAAAAAGGTGTGTGCGCCATCTTTGCGAATCTTTTCTCAGCTGAAGCCACCATGTCATTTGTTGTGCAGTGACGTTGTTTTCCTGAGGTTGCTTTCGTTTTTCGAACATGTCCATTGGCGTTTTCGACGTATCGCGTGCGCGTGGTTACATACATAACCTTGTTCCTCGCGTATTGCGTTAATCTACCTACTTGTCTCCCTCTTTCTCACTTCACTGTAGGGAACCCTGCAGCTGTCCACGTCCATTGTGCCCAAGAATAAGGGTGTGCAGATCTTTTGAGATTCATTGCAAGTCAGTTGAACTTCATTGCAACTCATTTGAACGTCATTGCAAGGCTTTTGAACTTAGATGCAACAGTTGTTTTTCATTTGCTTGCATTTGTTTATTGCTTGTTGTTCACGTTTTTCAGTGCAGAAGCCGTCCTAGGAACAACAGAAGCTGTCAGTACCGAGCTGCTTGCAGAAGCTGTGTAGGGAACTGTTGTCAGGGGATCCAGTTCTGTTTGCAGAAGCCGTCCAACTATCTTGCAGAAGCTGTGCATCGGTTTTGTAGGTGTTTGACAGTTGCAACAGTTTTGGATTCTTCATGTCTTGTGATGTCAGTTCATGTGATGTTCATTTCACTGTCTTGGATTTGATGTCAACTGTTTTCATTTGTAAGTAGTTTGATGTCACTTGCATGCAGTTGGACACATGTGGACTCATTGGACGATGTGTGCAACAGTTTTCACAGTTGTCATGGTTTGCAGTTCAACTTGTTGACAGTTTTTCACTGCTCTGTTTTTGGGATGTTTTTGTAACTTGTTGCACTTGATTTGAACGTGTTGTAAGTAACGTGAACTAAGGTACAACGATGATCCAATGATGTAGCTGCCAAGGGGTCATGAGAAAGATGGCAATGCCATATGAAATACCCCTGCAGCTGAGGATCATAACATAACATGTTTGTTGTATGTTCTTGGAACTTGGTTGAAGTTGTCTTGAACTTGAACTGTTTTTGGACTCTTCCTGAATGTCCTGTCCTTGTGCGTTGCGGTGGTTCTCCTGTTGTGGACTTCCTCTATGGGTCGTTGGTCACTGTTGGTTTGGGCTTATCTTCTGAAGGGTTTGAACCCCAGTGCACAACATGTTGGACTTGGAGGGTATCCATAACTGGAAGCCCAGCGCTTAGCAAAACCCATCCAGAGTTTTAGAACTCTTGGATACCCTGTGGAATGCTTAGCACTGGTGCCACTGTTCAGCGCTCAATGCATTCAGCTCAGCTACCAAGCCTTTGCCATACAGAGTTGGGCTGATAACCAAGGAAGTTGTAGAGGTCTGCAACTGCCAAGTTACAGGGTTTAGAAGCCAAGGTTCCAAGAGACGTGAAACCGTTGCCAAGCATTTGGAAAAACGGGTTTGAAAACATGTTTCAGTTTGTTTTGGATTATGGTTGAATGATCCTAGTTTGAGGGGTTAGGGTTCCCAAGGCCATTAGTCAGAGACCTGGACACTTGGTACCCGTTGGGGTCTATCCCAATACCCAAAAAGAACTGGACACCAAGGCCATACCCAGAGGACAGACCTTGGCACCAGTTTCCCCTTACTTAGATGAAATGATGATGACAAACGTGAGACAGTTTCAAATACCAAGGTTTCCAAATGACAAACGTTTTCAAACAAAAACTTTGTGCAGAAGTTGTGAACTCAGTTCCACGTTGTGGGTTACTCAGAAAGATGGTTATGGGGTATGGTTTGTTGGTCTCTTTTTGCACCGCTGCCACTGCCCTATGATGATCAAAAGATGGAGCCAAAGAGACTCGTTTCTCATAAAACATCCATCTATCTGAGGGCACCATTAAAACACAGGACCAATTCGAGTTTTCTGTGCGCTAGTTCCTAGCTTAGTTGTTGAGCATGGATCTTAGTTGGTGATGTCTGGAATTTAGTTGTGTGGGTTCAGAACTTAGTTGCCTTACAAACAGTATGGTAGTCTATAGGTACTTCGGTGTACAGCACTACTATCCAAGAAGGGGTGTGAAAGTTTGGTGAGAGGATGTACAGTATACTGAACCACCTTGAACCTACTTGAACATCTTTAAACCTATCTTGGAACAATGCATGTGCATGTGAACAGTTAGGTAACCATTTTAAGTTTGTAGGAACCGATCTGTGAACTATAGAACCCATAGGAACCTATAGGAACCAGGTAGGAACCAATTTGGAACCAATTTGGAACCAAATGGAACCAGTTTGTGCATGGAAGAGCTTGGAGATGGATTTTCGTTTGTTTTTGTGGTTTTTGGTGTTTTTGGATGTTGTTTGACCCATGTCTTAGGAACTTGATGTTGTGAACTTATTTGGTAGGAGTTTTGTAGGTTATTTGTGAGTTTGAGCTGAAGACGTTTTATTTGGAGAAGCTGGAAGAACGTTTTGAAGCTTGAGAACTCTTTTGAAGTAGTTTGAGAAGTTTGAGAACGTTTGAGTGTCACTGCGTTTTACTCTGCACGACTCTTCTAAGAAGAAGAGTGACTGAGCTGTCAAACCTGTGTGGTTTGGCTCAAGTCCGAGCTGTGAAAAAGAGCTGCCACGCCGCTCTCGTGTTTTCACACGCTCACTCTAAAAGTTTGGTGTCAGTCTCAATTTCTTCACCTGTAACTTGGCACAATGTCAGCTGGGCAATTGATTTGGCCATGCGGTTCAGCGCAGCTTGTTCTATTTCGGATATGTACTTTGACATCGTTCTGTCTACTGCCACCAAACACGGAAACAAAAGACCCCCACCCCCAAAAAACACAACAGAAGGGGGAAGCCATCCAGCGCGCAGCTAGCGTTGCACGGTACGATAGGCCAGTCATAGGTCTCCCATGTTGGCATTTTTTTTTAAACAAAAAGGGAGTATGGGCATGTGTACGGGCATTACCAGTTGTGGGTCTCCCACGTTGGTAACCTCCGCTACAATCGCGCTGAAACCGAGCTTGTGGTGCTTCTGCTTGTGTGGTACTTCTTGGGGGGCCGAATCCGATGAAGAACTCTGCTATGAGCATGTCAGTACCTCCAAGTTGAGGCCCATACCCTTCAAAAGAGCTCATATTTTGGTTCCGTTCATTTGGGCCTACGTAGAAGATATTTGGAATCCATCGATGTTTTTTTTTGTCCCGAGCCCATTACCTTTCGGCGGGTCTACGGTCGAATTTTACTCGCGGACCAGTGGGGAATCGAACCACCACCAGCAGTCTGTCAGCGGTGTAAGAGTGCCGGCGATGGACAAAAAACTTTGCATCCATTCTTCTGCAACTCTTTCTAAGAGAAACTCAATGGCTATACCGCAAGAGCTAGTCAGTTTGTGCACCAATTCACAAGCTCCATGGCTAAAAACTCACCAAGGCTGCAAGCTTGTTAACTTGATCCCATCTTTCCAAAGACGAGTGTCATTCACTGCTCAGGCCTCGCCAAATCCAGCATCACACCCAGCGCACAAACTTGCGTCCCGCATTCCACATCTTTCTGCCCTCCTTCACAACAAAACCCCAGCAAACCAAAAAGGCTTTCTGCGGCACCGCTGAGCTGCGAGACCGCTGAGCTGCGAGAACTCGTTGTTTTGACAGCAATTTAGAAGAAGCTACACGCAGTATCCGAAATATGCCAGGCCCTTGAGGGGCGATGCAGGCCAGAAACTTTGCGCAGGTTGCGCAACTTTATCGACATCACATCGATGGATTCGAATTGGTCGTCCTCGGCTTAGTTGGTCTCTCCAAGCACCTTTTCTTTGAACTTGAGCTGCTTCCGGTGTGGATCTCGCTTGTTGAGCACAGTTACCTTTCGGCCGGTCTACGGTCTTCAGTCTTGCTCGCGGATCAAGTGGGGAATCGAACCACCACTGTCAGCGACGCAAGAGTGCCGCGATACCAACTGCACCACGAGTCGTCCTCGTGGCTCAGTTGGTATCGCGGCGTTCTTGACGTCGCTGACAGACTGCCGGTGGTGGTTCGATTCCCCGCTGGTCCGCGAGTAAGGCTCAAGACCGTAGACCCGCCGAAAGGCAACGGGCTCGGACAAAAAAAAAGATACCAACTGCACCACGAGGTCGACTGCTTGTCGAGGGTACTGGTGGCTGCTTGCAGGAAACGATCTCCAGTGTCCTAATCCGACCTTTTGAGAAAATTTCAAAGACTTCCAACTGTCAGGTTGGTTCCAAGAATCAAATGTTTTCCGAGCGGCGTTGAAGCGCCCCGCACACTCTTTCGAGGCCATTCGCAAACACACTGTATCCGTTTCAGTGGTGGGATCCGTGAAGCATCGGCCTCAAGTCTAACAAGTGTAAGGACAATAGAAGGTGACGAGGAACACTGTGCCAAGAAACCCCATGGAGCCCTGCCAAAAAGCTCAAGATTGGTCAAGTTAAAGAGAAATGGAAGCATGCATCAGGATCGTGCGTTTTGCACCGGTGAGGAGCCAGAGGTTGAGACAGAGGAGATCGAGAATGACGTCTGCAGCGATTCCTTTGAGTATGAGGAAACCAATGAGATTCCTGAATGCTTGTGGGCAGATGGAAGCGAAAAGCCAGGAGGTTGATGCAGTTGCTGAGTATGTGGAGTTGCAGCGCCTGGCCAAGATGAATGTATTGCGTGCTGCAAATCATGTTGATGACCACCGCATCCAAAAGACACTCACCACTCGATTTGTTTTCGACTGGAGATTCAAACCCTACGACCAGAGCACAAAGCGTTGGCTTCGAAGAGCACGTTTGGTGGCAAGAGAGTATGCATTTGAAGAGGGAAGACGAGACGATGTTTTCAGTCCAGCTTCTTCATCCCACCTTTTGCGTCTTCTTCCTACCCTTTATTTGGCAAGCCTTCTGAGACTGCTTATGTGAACAAGTCTAACAACTATGAATACCTTTTGGGAAGCTTAGACATCAAGGATGCGTTTCTTCAAGTTGCTCAGAAAGAACCCTTGAGGATAGAATTGGGAAAAGGGCAGTATAGAAATCAAAACTACATTGTCTTGCGCAACCTACTTGGACAGCGTCTTGGAGCACGAGCGTGGTTTGATCATCTCAGTGAATACCTCCAGCAGGAGGCAGACTTCCAACATTGTCCTTTGAACCCATGTCTTGCACGAAATGACAAAATGATGCTGCTTGTACATGTGGATAATGTGATGCTGATGGGTGACAAAACCTATGTGCACGAGATCTTCCTTCCTTTGCTCAAGAAGAAGTTTGACTTGAGTTGTGAGTTGTTGAAGGACGCGGGTGATTCAATTTTGTTTTTGAAGCGGTTGTATACACGTGTCGATGACGGCATTGTTGTGAAACCTGGTAACTACATCCAAAAGATGTTAGAAGCTTTTGAAGAGCGCTTTGGCATGGTTCGTATTCAGCAGGTTCCCAGCAGATGGTGGAATCCAAGTTCAAGATGGTTCACAGGAGTTGAATGGACCAGACTCCACAACATACAGGCCAGTGACAGGGATGGCATCGTACCTGGCACAGGAGAGATACGACATTGCCTACTGTGTCAAAGAGCTTGCTTCAAAGACTGTGAAGCCCACAATCCTTGCACTTCAGCGTTTGAGGAAACTCTTAGGGTATCTCAAAGGAACCCAGCACTATGCATTGAAGCTTACCAGTCCAGTACCTGGAGTGGGAAAGCTGATCCACAGTGATTGTGAGTATGTTTTGGAAAGCTACAGTGACAGCGATTGGTCGGGACACAAATCCCACCGCCGCTCAACATCAGCGTCCTTGCATTTTCTCAGTTGCCCTCATGGCTCAGTTGGTATGACGTCACTCTTGTGGCGTTGACAGACTGCCGGTGGTGGTTCGATTCCCCGCTGGTCCGTGGGTGAGACTCAAGACCGTAGACCCGCCGAAAGGCAACAGGCTCGGACAAAAAAAAAGCGTCCTTGCATTTTCTCAACATGGAGCTGGCATCTACATCGTTTTTGGATAAGTTCGGGCTTAGCATTCCCAGCATGCGTTGGTCTCGCAATCATTGCCGTGGTAGGATTCATGCTTTTCTCTCTCCTTAAGATGCGTCGCGAGATGGAAGAGCTCAGAGAGAACTTGAGGGTTTTGCAGACAGATGAAATTCATGGCATCAACACCATGGGTGACCGTATGCTTTTCCAGCGCAACTTAGCCGAAGTGGCCAGGTTGAATGGTTTGTCAGCGGCAAATCGTGCAGAAGGGCGAACCGAAGAAGCCTTTCAGATGTTTTTCCGTTTGTGGGAAGGTGTGGTCAGACTTGGTGGCGACATCGAAAGCTTTGAGGACCCCGTGAACGAACATGAGCGTCGTGAGCTTTTTCTTAGGAACAGTGACATCAGAGATGGTGGAGAGAGAAGGAGCAGACATGATAGTCCTACGAGCCGCGGTGACTTGGAGGATGAAGACTTTGCCGAGTTGAGTCCAGGAGAAGCCCAAGATGGAGCGCCTCAAACATCACCAGAACCTGAACCACATGGTATTCAGAACGAAAACCTCCCAACTGGCTATGAACAGGACAGTGAGACCCAACTTCCTCTTGATCCTGAAGAAGAACTGCAGGGCTATGCTGATCGTTTGGACCAAGAAGTTCGAGATCTCAATGTGATGTGAGATGAAGCAGTTGGAGTGTGAGATGAAGTTGAAGCCGAGCGAATCGGCCAGATGATTCGAAACCTTGAGAGGTTACTTTTGCATTTGCCGAGGCCAAGAAGGCTGAGGTAAGAAAATTTCAAAATGGAACTTCGGGCTTAGGCTTAAAACTCAAAATTCCAAGGAAGAGTGTGAAACATAGAACGCACTACTCATGTCAATTTCAATGGTCATTGCAACAGTTAGGAGCACTTTGCACTTTGGCCTTGAGTTGGCTCACACATGAAACATGTGATCAGTGTGCTGTGACTGCGCAGCCCCTTTTGGTGAGAAAAGGTTTGCAAATTCCCAGCATGTTTTCACCCGCTTGAATGATGATGTCCGGTTCCGTGCAATTTTTTGTGATTTGTTGTTGGTTTCGTATCACGTGTTTCCTGTTTTTTTCTCCCATTTGTTTCCCGTCATGTGCTTCCCAAATTTGCCATATTTGTCTCCCATGAGTCCATTGATTTGGTTCCCATCATTGTTTCTTTTTTATTTCATGTAATTTCATTTCATTGGCAAACGGTTCAGTCTTGGGGTTGTCGATTCCCCTTCCTCAGAATTTGTGGATGGTGGTATCCGGTTCAGGTGGTTTCATTGGTTCCCTACCATGTGTCTCCGATGGGCAGTGCATGCAGGGGTGTCAGAGTTGTGCCCACCACGCGCCAGGATCACTGGTGTCGTTCCCGTCTCTCGTTTGGTTGCCGTGCCTCCCATCCTATTTTTCCAACCTCATTGGTGGTGTTGCAACATCACTTGATTTGTGGGTTGTTTTTTGGTTTGTCCCGAATCCCGAACTTTTCTTTCACTTGGTTCCAGCACTTTTAATTCAATGCCTGAGTGATTTATTTCCATTCATGATAAATTTCAAATTCATTTACGATGCGGTGTTTTTGCTTGTTGATTAATGTTGCATTTTGTTTTCACCAAATGAAACGGGGAATCTACATGTCACGTGTGACAATAGATTATTCACAAACGTGAATTGTCTTGCAATTCAAACGATTCTGCATATTGGTTCAAGTGGAGGGCGGGTGGGCCCTTGTGTTAATTTTTGCGGAGAGCCATGGGGTTCAGGAGAGTTTCTGACTTGTCAGAGTATTCAGTTTCTGAGTTGTTGGATTTGATCGAGAAGGCTACAAAACTGGTAAGGGACAAATTGGACAACAGTTGGGATTGTGGTGCCTCAGGTGTGTCCTCATCAGGTTACTCTGTGGTGGAGCCGGAGACTGCAGGAGCCTCTTCATCAGCTGCGGTGCCCAGGAACGCTGCTGGGTTGAAGAGTCCATACACTTGTGACTTTCATTGCAAGTTTTGTCAGTCGCAGTGCTGTCGCCCGCATCCACACAAGAACCATGCATGCATTGAGCACCGCAAGTGGCGATGAGGAAGACGCTGACCAGGCCACACAGTCGAGGTCTGAAGTGCGTGGCCTCAGGAAGCGATGGGCCTCCATGGCAACCACACAATCCCTTACTCCTCTTGCCGGTCATGAAATCGATGCAGATGATTTGTTTGGCCGAAGCAGTGAGGAGCAATTCAATTTTGAGCCGCCTCAGAAAATTGGGAAGATTGCACAAGCAGTGGATCCGATCACTGTCGTGGATGTTGCAACAGATGATTTTCTGGGTGTAGGCAGTTCCAACAGTTCCAAGCCTTTGAATTCAGGTCACAAGCATGAGCGTGATGCATTGCTTTCTACAGACTTGTCGCTGTTCAAGTATCCTTGGGAGAAAGGAAGATTGGCCGCCATTTTTGGGCCAAAGCCTACCATTAAGGTACCTGTGCCGAAACTGCAGCCTGGAGGTAGGAATTTGGTCCATGTGGATTTGACAGTTGGAGAAGGTGGACAAGTTGCAACCAGAACGGTGTTGAAGCCTGAGCGTTCTGAGACAGCCGCCTTCATGCAAGTAGTGAGAAAAGTTGAGGACATTGAGATTCTGGATGAAAAGGCAAAACGTAGGAAGCATGCGTTGGAAGGTTTTTGGCACCTATTGGCCTTCTCCATTTGCTCTTCTGCGGTAGGCTTAAAAGTGTCCGTGGAATCTACAGCCGATACAGTGGCGCAATGTGCTTGGCAAATTTTAGATGCGATATTCGCTGTCAAAAGCGCTGGTACGCTGCTGAGACGATTGTATGCATTGCAATCCTATGAACAATGGTGTGTGAGCACTGTTGGTGAACACTGGATACCGGTGTCCGAGCGCCGGGTTTGGAACTACGTCCAGTGGTTGCAGCAGACCAACGCAGCCGCGACCAAGGCGTCTAGCCTTTTGGCCTTGAGATTTTCCTGGTTTCTCCTCGGAGTGGAGGGAGCTAGTGAAGCAGAACAAAGTCTGCGAGTGAAGGGCATATCATCGCAGATGAGAGCGGCTAAGCGCCCCTGGCGACCAGCTGATCTGCTGACTGTGGAAGAAGTGCTGGTCCTCCACAAGGTGTTGGGTGACAACAATGCAGAGCTGGGTGACCGTCTTCTTTGTGGGCATTGTTTGCATCTGCTGTACAGCAGATCGCGCTGGAGTGACCTGACACAGGTCGCCAACCTCTTCATCGACGAGGAGAAGCGCTACTTGGAAGTTTCAACCCGTGCTCACAAAGGTGCAAGATCAGCTGAGATGAAGTCGAGGCTTCTGCCAATAGTCTGTCCATGTCAAGGCATCAGCGACCAGAACTGGGCTGTCATCTATTTGAACTTGAGGGATCAGGCAAATTTGCAGCTGCCTGAACACGGCTATGGACCCATGATGCCAGCCCCAGCAAATGATTCAGCTACAGTTTGGTGCAAACTGCTTTGACTTCTGAGGAAGGAGCAGACTTCATGAGAGCAATCCTCAAGGCTCCGAAGAGCGCAGAGAGGAGGGTGTCTACGCATTCCTTCAAGTCCACGCTCATTTCGTGGACGGCGAAATATGGCTTGCCAGATACCTCCAGGGCAGTGCTGGCGCGACACCTCTCATGCGCAACAGCCACAACAGCGGTCTATAGCAGGGATTTGATATCTCCAATTTTGAGAGAGTTGGACACCATGCTGCAGGCAATGAGGTGCGCCTTGTTCCAGCCCGACAGGACAAGGTCTGGCATGGTGACGCCGGCAGTGATGCCGACAGTGCCTGGCACGCCATTCAGAGTGCCACCAGTGCCAAGCACTCCCATGCCACCGGTGCCGCCGGCAGCTGCGGCCAAGCAGGCCGATGTTGATGAGGAGTGGCAGGTGGTCACTGAGGAGTGTGGCGCTGCTAGCCCTGTTGAATCAATGGCCAACAGCCCCAGAGTGCAGTGCAGTCCAACAGAAGCGGTGGACAGCAGCAGTGAGACCTCGGAAGAGGCCAGTGAACAGAGCACGTCTGACAGCGACGTGGAGCTGGAGGGAGAGATGGTTCCACGTGATGTGGAGCCAGTTCTGAAGTATTTCATCAACGGAAAGTCACTGGTCATCCACTGTGAACGTTCTGCTGGATTGCTGCGGTGTGGCCGCAAAGTATCCCCGCATTTTGTGGTGGTGTATGAACTCCACGGCATCAGGTGTTCCAGATGCTTTGACGTGTGAGAGTTTGCCTTGCGCAGGCCGTGGAAAAATGTGAGTGCTGAGTCACTTGAAGCTGTTGATACAGCTTGCAATGAACATAAGAGGTTCATGTGAACTTGAACCTTGAAAGTTAGGTTGATGCAACCCTGCCTACATTTGGCATAGAGCTGTTGAAACAGCTTGCTTGTTGCTGGCGTTGACACGTCAGTTGAATCAAATATATGTTGAAACATATTGCATCCTTGAGGCTCCAGTGAGAGATGTCAGCTGAAGCGGCATTTGTTAATTGTGTGCATTTGTTTTCAAATCTCAAATTTTGTCATTGTCGTTTACCTTGTGGACAGTTGAAATTTTACATGTTGGCACATGTGAGAACAGTTGAACTGGACGTTTGCATTTGGAGTGACAGGTTTTTCTTCGCAACTTCCGTCTCGTTGTAGGACATGGCTTCCTTGTCTGATAGCAGTGCGTACTTCAATGCCAGGGCAACAGAATACAATGTTCCTCCTGAGTTGATGACTGCTTTGAACGCTGCAGGTGTCACAACCATGGCTCATATGGCCTTTTCCATTGCTCGGCCTGGACAGGAGTTTGATGAAAACAAATTTGAGGATTGGTTGAGGCAGGTCAATGGAGGAACGTTGCCATCAATGGGAGCCATTGCAGCTGCTAGGCGCTTACACTTTGAAGCTGAAATTGTACTTACAGCAACACTCAGGTCTTCTGTGGATCAACCTAGTGATTCTTCAACACCAAAACCTTTGCCGTTTGCAGAGCGTGTTGCAAGGATGGAACAGCTGAGGGGCCAATTCCCTGGGCTGAACATCTCAGGTCTGAATGAGCCAGCTCAAGCCTTATTGGATGAGTGCGTTTTTCAGTATGAGAATAGGTTGCTACGATACATAGAGCCAGCGAAATGCAATAGCAGGGAAGCAGAAGTCATGGTTGGGAAGTCAGATAGAAAATTGAGGATTGAGGCCAACAGTTTGTCAGTGAAGGAATCAAGAAACACACCTGATGAAGATGTGAGCACGGCTTACAAACTACAACAGTGCTTGCGCAGACGTGCCGTTGCGTACGAATTTGCAAACCTGGTGTCTTTTTCAGTGCATGAATCTTACATTGATCGTCTGATGAGAAGGTTGAACACTGACCCGCCACCAAATTATCAGGCGACTTCTTTGAACCAAATTCTTCGTGCTGACAGGGAAGTTTGGGTGCACCTTTCTCAGACTGTGACAGACATTCGTCCAAATGACAGGAGAGAGCGGCCATTGGACAAAGCCTTGACAGATGCCCTGAGTGATTATAATGTGGCTTTCCACCTTTTGCCTTTGCCTGTTAGCAGTGGACATTCCTATGCACCTTTCAGAAACAAGGAAGCTCAAAATCGAGGTGAGGATTCTGGAAAGGGTTACATTGCAGGTCGAAAAGGTGGTAAAGGCAAGGGAAAGACAAACTCCAAGGGCTCCAGCGTTGCGCCTCGAGGAATTCAAGGAGCCGTTGGTCGTGATAGCAGAGGCAGACCAATTTGTTTCAATTACAATCTGTCGGAGTGCGATCAAGCTCCGGCTGGAGGCACATGCAAAAAGGGCAGGCACATTTGTTTCAAAGCAAATTGTTTCAAGAGTCACCAGTTTTGTGTTGCGCACAAAGAGGAGATGCCGCGCCAAGCAAATGACTGACTTGACGTAAGCCTCACAGGTTTCACTGAGGCAGACTGCATCATTTTGGAGCTGTTTGCAGGGACAGGTGGCGTGACTGCTTGTTTTAAACAATGTGGTTTTGTGAATTCAATCGCAGTGGACAAAACAAGAACACCTGGAGCATTGGTTGCTATAGTGCCTTTGGATTTGACCAAGCATGAAGATCAGCAGGCAGTGCTTCAGTGGATTTAACATCCTGCGGTTAAGGGAGTCTTCATGGCACCTCCATGCGGCACAGCTAGTGCTGCAAGAGAAATCAAAATCCCTGGGATGAATCCTCCAAAACCTTTGCGCACTCTTGAGGAACCTGATGGCATATCCACTTTAAGTGGTTTAGACTTGGTCAGGGTAAGCGCTGCTAATGTGCTGTACAGTTTTTGTGCGGAAGTGCTTGAACTTTGTTGCTTGCTGGATAAGTTGTTCATGTTGGAAAACCCTCGCAACAGCCTCTTTTGGGTGACAACTGTTTGGAGTGAGTCGGACAAAGCAAAGCATTTGTACTTTCAGGAGCATCAAGCTTGTGGATATGGCAGCAAGAGACCAAAATGGACCAGGTTGACAGCAAACTTTCCGGAAGTCCATACCATAAATGCTGTATGTCCAGGAAATCATCAGCACGACAGTTGGGGAGTCGTACAACAAGGTGCCAAAAGAGTTTTTGCAACTTCACTGGAAGTTCATTACCCACCAGCATTATGTAAAGCCATTGTGCACGCGTTTATTCTTCAACTTTTGCAGAAAGGATTGAAGTTTCAATCACAGCCATCATTGCAACACTCTGCAAGAGCGGCAACGATGGAGCAGACAGCAACGTTGAAGCTTCCTCCTCTTGTTCCTCCGTTTAAATCGAGGTTGGTGGCATTTTTCGAAGATGAAGCCTTAGTTTGGCCACTTACTTTTTCAGTTTCAAAGGCTTGCAAACAACTGCACGTTTTTCAAGTGGGGTTCAAAGTGGACGTGAAGTGTTTGGCAGCGGCACCGGGAAAGAACAAACCTGAAATTTTGGAGCGGTTGCATGCAGAATTACAAGCCTGGGGAGTAAATTTGGACTTGGCAGTGTTAGCAGAAAGTTTCTGTTTCAAATTTGATGCGGTCAAAGTTTTTGGAATTCAATGGGAGCCACAAGAATTTTTGGAGCAAGCATGTGCTGTTAGCCACCCAATGAGTCCAGCCTTAGCCCTTCCGTGTGAACTTGCAGAGACAGTTGAATTTTGTGCCAGAGCTGGAGCAGTAGCAGTAGCAAAACATAGACTGGAATTTTTCAAGTTTTGGCACAAGCGTGCAAAAGAACTACAACCAGAGGAGCTGGCGCTTAGAGAGTCTATGGATCCTGTTGTGGAAAAGGCAGTGAAAGGAAAGAAGTTGGCACTGTTTAAAGAGATGTTGGATTACTACAAATATCCTGATCCGGGAGTCCTGGAAGAACTGATCGATGGAGTATCTCTGATTGGAGAAGTTCCCAAAACTGGTATGCTGCCGTTCAAGTTCACCCCGGCGTTACTAACCACTGATGCGTTACGCAAACAAGCTGAATTTCGTCGAGCTCAAATATTTGGAGATTGCAAAGGTTCAGGAGACATCGAGATTGACGCTGAAGTTTGGCGTCAGACCCTGGAAGAGCGAGACAAAGGGTGGCTAGTGGGCCCGTTAGACCCTTCTGAAGTGGCGGTGGACACGCCGATATCGAAGAGATTTGGATTACGGCAGAAGCACAAGGTGAGACTGATAGACGACTACAGTGAGTCATCCATCAATCAAACAGTTTTGGTTACGGAATCCCCGGTGCTTCACACAGTTGACGTTGCTTGCGCGTCGGTAGCTCACTGGTTTGCTTGTTGTGAAAAGGAAGAAGCAAAAAGGGAGCTTGTTGCTCGCACTTTTGACCTGGCATCGGCTTACAGACAAGTCGGATTGAACGCTGAAGGTAGACAGTTTGCATACATCCGAGTTTTCAATCCGGAAGAAAACAAATGGGTGGTTTTTCAAGCTCAGGTGTTGCCATTTGGGGCTATAAGGAGTGTGCATAGTTTCCTTCGCTTAGCGAGAGCAGTCTGGTGGATAGGTACAGTGGGGTGCAAGCTCATGTGGTCATCTTTCTTTGATGATTTTATAGTTTTGAGTCAGCCAGAGCTGGCTAAAAGCTCCGAGCTCGCTGCGTCATCACTTTTCAAGCTGCTAGGCTGGGCATTTGCAGAGGAAGGAAGAAAGTGTGTGCCGTTTGGTCTGGAATGTGAAGCGCTTGGAGTTGTTTTCAATTTAACTGAGTCGAGTTCTGGTGTATGTGCAGTTTACAACACTGAAGCGAGAGTTCTGGAAATAACTGCAGAGATCAACAGGATTTTAGAGCAAGGCCATATCAGTCAGGTTGAAGCGCAGAAACTGAGAGGACGGATGCAGTTTGCGGAATCACAACTGTATGGTCGTACAGGCAAGCGTTGCATTGGTACACTTCGCGATTTTGCATGCAAAAGGAGATCCAAGATACAGAAGAGAGAAGCAAATTTTCTTAAACTGTTCACAAGCCTGTTGAACTCAGGTACACCGAGGCGAGTGTTTTGTGAAAGCAAACATTCTGTGGTTATCATAACTGATGCTTGCTACGAAAGGGATGCAAGAGATAGAGTTTGCGGCATTGGAGGAGTTTTGGTAGACGCGACCTCAGACCTAAGGCTGTTTTTCTCATGCCAACTTGATGAAGAGCAACGGAGGGTATTGGGAGAACCCAATAAGAAGCAAATAATTTTTGAAGCTGAATCACTTTGTGCAGTCCTTGCGTACAAGTTGTGGGCCGAGTTCATTGCAGACAAGAAGAGCTTCTTGTATGTTGACAATGAAGGAACGAAGTTCAGCTTAATCAGAGGGAAATCAGACAACAGCGTAGTGGATGCAATTGCTCAAGTTTTTGCTGAAATTGAAGTTACAACAAACACCTTATGCTGGATATCTCGAGTGAGCTCCTACAGTAACTTGGCTGACGACCCGTCCAGAGGAGATCCAACAATTTTGAGGAATCTGGGTTTTACAGATGTGTCGATGAAAGCCAGTGATTGCTTGAGAAACTTGTTGTTGTCAGTGGATGAACAGATGGGGAAGATGGCTGACAACAACAGCCCAGTTGTGAAAATAGATGCTTGTGTCGACCTCCTTGTCACTCTGTGCAATCAATTCTCAGCAGCTTTAAAGTCACGTGTGACAATAGATTATTCACAAACGTGAATTGTCTTGCAATTCAAACGATTCTGCATATTGGTTCAAGTGGAGGGCGGGTGGGCCCTTGTGTTAATTTTTGCGGAGACCCACCACCTCCCCTACATCCTCCTGTTTGACATTGTGGTCAATGGACGACTTGGTTTTCACCTTACTTTCACCATTTCAGGACCAGTGGCAATACGCCATACCCGCAGCCAAGATGGCTGACAACAACAGCCCAGTTGTGAAAATAGATGCTTGATGTCGACCTCCTTGTCACTCTGTGCAATCATTCATTCAGCATCAGCAGCTTTAAAGTTCTCAGAAGAGTGGCGTGTGAGAATAAATTTGTCATTTTCTGTGTTCAACCAATTTTTTGAACAAATGTACAGTACTGTTCGCGTGCAAAAAACTCTTGCCGGTTTGACCCCAAGGTAAAATGCAAAGCGAGGTGAATTTCCGATTGAAAATTGACATGTATTTAGACATATAGATAGATATATATATATTTAATATATATAAAATAACGGTATATAGGTAAAAATCAACAATTTAAAATCACACCAAGTCAGTGATCAAAATATGGTTCGGGAATTATAAAATTTGCTTTGCTTGCAGTGCTCTCAAATGAGTATTGCCACTCTGACAAAATGTGAGCGATGATTGGAATGTTTTATTTGTTGTCCCGCTATTTGACCGGGTTGAACGTGGTTCAAGAGTGAAAATCTGCAGGCAATTGATCCTGCCAACCCAGTGGCTCGCAATGGTTTCATTCAACTGGAGATGTTGCATAGTGCTAACATTGATTGTGTGTGTTCGATCCGATCAAGAACGCGAGATGTCGTGTGAAAATGATTTTTTTTCGAGTTTGTCTATGAATTTACGAAGTGATGGAAATTCCCCCGAAAGGGAAGACAAACTGATCCAATGTGCCAAGGCACCACCAGGTTCCCCAGTTTGCTTTGACACGATGCCGCCCAAAGAATTCGTGGTCCAGTTCCACTTGGCCAATGGACAGAAATTTGCGATTCGTGTGTTCCGGGAGTGGGCCCCGGTTTATGCACAACGTTTTTGGCAAATCTCCAGTTTGAAGTGGTGGGAAAACATCGCGATCTACAGGAATGTGTATGTGAATTCAAGTTTTCGCTTTGTCAGTCAGTTTGGTTTGAGTGGGATGCCTGAAGTGGATAAGGCTTGGGCCAAGTTCAAATCGAGCAACGCCACTGCACCTGCATTGAAGTCAAACACCGGAGGACGAGTGAGTTTTTCTATGGACGCAGTGTTGTGTAAACAAGGAGATGGTCAGGACCCATGTGCATCATTGCGGCCGAACTGCACTGCCACAGATTACTGTGCCCTGGGTTTCACCACTGAGATCTTCGTGAATTATGCAGACAACTCGCGCCTGGATTCCCATGGTTTTGCCCCTTTTGGGCAAGTGGAAACTTCTGAAGATATGGAAAAATTGGAAAATCTGGAATCAGGGATGACCGTCTTAGATTCTCTGGGTGAACGATTGGGCCGACAATACGGAGAAGTGACCGAATTGTGCCCACAAAAACCATCCGCTGATGCAAGTCCCTATTGCGTATACCGGAACGACACTTGTGCAGGCGTTGATGTTGAGGCTTTGCAAAAGGATGGGAATCCATACATTGCAAAAGGGTTTCCTGAGATGTATCACCTCAGGATTGTCCATGCTGATGTGTTTGCCTGAAATGTTGAAGGGTTTCTGTGCCAGGTAAATGTCTTGCAGTTTCACACTTCTGCCTTTGTCCTGTTGCGCATCCAAAGAGGTGTCCAACTAAAATACCCAGATCTGCCAAGAGCAGTGACAACCTTGACATTTTGTGTATCTGTTTTGATTTTGGCGAATTTCAGATTGTTGTACTTGCGACAGAAAACAGGATTCCGACCGTTGTAAACATGTGCTGTGCCATGGAGAGCAAACACATGCCGCAATTGCAACTTTTATATACTTGTTGTGCCTTGGTGGTTTTTGTAGCCTTTGTGTTCAAGGTTCTGGAGAATACATAAAAATATAGAATATATTTTATATATTACATAATATATATATACATGATATGTTTGTGTTTTCAACAGTAACCAAACAGGGCGTTTTGGAAGGAGATGTAGATACGCTGGCTAACGAACGTTTCAAGGCTTGAAACATTTTGATATCGGAGTGTCAGCTGTCGTTTCATACACATCAAATATGGACACCCCACAAAAACACATATCATATTCTTTCTATGTTTGGATTCGATAGCGAAAATGGTGTAACCAGTTGAGCAACAAACATGTTCGAATCTGGTTAGTTGCAAGATGCAGAAACTGGTTGATGAGTGGCGGCCGTGCGGCCCAACCTGGATGGCATGAAGGCCGTCTAAAGAGGTGCACAACCTTGCGGACATGTCTTCCGTTGCACCATGTTTTATCCCCCAGATTCGGTCGGGGCGGAAGATTGCCAAATCAGGCAGAGTTTGGCAATTCTTTGCCCAAGTCAGTCTGCACATACACGTGATACACGTGCCACCTGGGATGGTGACTTGCCAGGGCCACTGGAATCCTCACTTCGTGGGGTAAGACCTTGCGTTGGAAGGATGTGTTGGATGGTTTGGAAGATTTGGTGCGCGTCTCGGTCTGGGCAAGTGAATATATAAGTGTCTTGATGGTGCAGACAGGGGCGAACGGATTCATTCTTTCCCTGAGGTCAAGAGCAGTCCAGCCCTTACATCTCCGGTCTCGGCCAAGTGACCAGATTTTGGTCCTTGTTGCTACAGAATTATCAGAATTTATATTGTGCATATTTAGATGCATTGCAATGATTTCAATGCATATTTATGCGGATATTTATATGTAGATTATGTAGATGTATTTAGCACATTTTTAACACTGTTCAACTTCCGAGGCCTTCAGTGCTGGCCTTAGCTCGAAAGCGGGCCTCCCAGTTGCAACTACCCAAGGCATTTCGCTGGTAATTATTCATATTCTATCTACATATATGATATGATGTGTATATATATATAATGATATAACACAATACGATATAGAATATATAGCATATGGGTTATATGAGATAATATAGCAATATAGATTGTATCGACTTATAATTTCTATGACCCATTTCCACCCCTGTACTGGTTCTAAAAGATGTCGCAACCCGAACTGGCATCAACGGCTCATCAAAAGAACCTATCATACTGGCGTAGTTGACTCATGTCGATTCATCCTATAAACCCTGATTTTTCTCTGGAGCACTGCTTAAAGCCGAAATTTCAAAGGCCCAATGTCTTCACCTTTGGCGCTGCTATTGCTGCCTGTGTGAGGCCTTTGATAGCGTTTCAGATTTTTGGTGAAGCCAGTGATGGGTCATGTCATTGTGCGGCCCAAAATGATACCAATGAGTGAACATGAAAATTTGACCAAAGGCATCCGCACGCATGCGACTTCCTGATGCCAAGTGGCCAGTCTTTGCTTCCCAAAACATTTGTTGTAAACGCAACTGTAGCCAGGAATGTGCAGACTTTTTAATACTCTTTAGACTCTTTACATCATTCTTGTTGAAACGGTTTCTAAAGTCATTCCATGTCATTCCAAATGTGGCTAAAGCTGCGAAAGCTTTCGCCACCTTTCCCCCCCGCCCAGGGCATCATTTTGGTCCCAAGCTTTGCACGTGTCTCTAACTCTACGGCAGGAAGGTGTTGAGTCGGCGCCTGAGAGCTTTCCTCAGCTGAATCTTCCGCAGAATCAGGTAGACATTGCTCACTTTGTCCCAAAATTGGCAAAATTGTCCACAATACATCGGAAATTCATAGACCCAATTGGGGTATAAAGTGACGACAATTGACGACAATTGAGGTTTCAATTTGTTTCGAACGAGCATGGCCGTGATCCCAAGGGTCCCTGGCTCAACTTGGCTCAGCTTAGGCCGAGTATCATCAGTGCTACGTCTGCTGTCAGTGCACGCGCGGAAGCTCGGAAGGCCTTATTCAGCTCAGATGCCCAGAAGCCCAGAAGTAGCCAGAGCAAAGATCTTTGTTTTTTGGATAATGGGACTTCCAACCTTTGTCAAATGATGGGTATCTAATCGACAGAGAGAGAGAGAGAGAGGGGCGGTAAAATGACCAACGAAGAGCGTCTCCAAAGCTCACAAGCGAATTTACCAACATGATCGCCTGCTTGGTTAAAGGGGATTTTTCATCCAGGGATGGTAGATGATCCCCACGCATGTGTGCTACAGAGCCCAACCCCATCAGCTTTGTCTATTCGCCTCTCTGGCACACATCACACCAGGTGAAAAAAACAAGAATTGGCCAAGTGCAGTACAAGCTTTGGTGGCGAAAGGCTCAGCCATGTTGATCCGATTTGAAAATTTGATCTGATTTGATCCATGTTGTATTTCCACTAGCAGATCTCCTGTATGATGTCCTCAGATGTCCTCAGATGTCCTCAGATGTCCTCAGATGTCCTCAGGACATACGTGGGAGCACCTTTGCTGCACTTTTTCTTTGTCGTTGTGAGGGCGGAAGCAGAGAAACTGTTCGGACAGTTAGTGAAGTCAGTGAAGTCTCGACTGAAGCATCACCTGCGTTGCATGTATCCAAAGATGGCTTGTGTCAGGCCAATTGGAACCCAATGTCGTGGGATTCGGTGCAGTTGCGCCTATGGCTTGTTGACATTGCTCAGGGCCCAACAGCACCAGCAATGTCTCAGATGCCAATATTGATTCCAACACTCATAGGGAACAGCCCATTAGTTCCAGTAGTTCTGCATAAATCAATCTTCGGAAGACATGTCATGATTCATGATAATCAAGAAATGATAGAAAATGTATGGAAATGTGTCTATTTATAAATTTTGATTGATTGCAGCTGGTCATCTTGAGCTCTGATTGCAGCATGTGAAGAAACTCCTTCGCCTTGAAGCAGTCCTTCCTTGCCAGGCATCCACGTGCGAAAAGGCTTGTGGTGAATGGTTGCAAGGCTTCGAGCTGATCTCGCAGCTCAGAAGGCCCAGCGGACCGATTTCAGACACGAGACAGCACGAAACATGAGACACAATGAGGTTTGCTCCTCTATTTACTCTATTTGTACCTATCTTACCTGGTAAGCCATACCTCGAGTCAAGCTATTTGAAATGATTCTGCTGTTGTTGTACTCTAGGCACACGTTTTTGAGGTTGTTTGGGGGTTTTGAGGAATGTGGGGCCAAAGGTGAAAGGGGGTTTTGCAGCTATAGCCGAGGGTTTGTTTTGCCCGATAACAATTCATTTGTGGCTGGTTAGGCACGGCACACGCACACAATGTACAGAGATAATGCTGATTTAGCTTACACATTAATTCTATCCCCACCTTTACTGATGGTTCACCCTGAAGGGATGGCATCAAGCCGAGTCTGGTTCTCCTGAATGCTGCCAGCTCTGCTTGCGAGAAGGCTGAACATGTCCATGTTGTGAGCTCTGCCCTCTTGATTTGTTGATTTTTGTTGAGTCCCGTGGGGCAAAGTGGTTGGTTGTTGCTGTACAGTTGCTTGGTATCCAACTTGGAATCTTAAATCCCACTATCTCACCTTTTCTTGTCCGCTCTCTGTCTGAGATCAGCTTTGCACAATGGAAAAGACTGTTATTGCTGCCCTTGAAACTCGGCCAGGGTCCGCGTTTTGGGGCCACGGAGATCTGCAACCCATCAGCTGGGCGCAAGCAGCAAACCCGGTTTCTGTCCAGATGTGTGCCAGATATGCTAGTGTCACAAGGTTATCATTCCCGCTGCTGTCTGGTAGTTAGTAACTTCAATAGGTATGGTTGGCTTGCGTCGGAAGAGCGGGCAGCCAAGAAGCCATCAAGGGCGGATTCAGCCGGGTTGGCAAAAGTTGGATGTTTGGACTTTGAACGTCTTTGGACGTCTTTGGGCCTCAAAAAGAGAGAACTCAAGATAATTTGACATCTTGGGCGGCTAGCTGTCGGGGCGCATGAACGGACATTTGTCAAACAACTCCTCCCACTTCTCATCGAATGTCCTTGGAATGGCAACCCCCAAGATGTCAAATTATGTTGAGTTCTCTCTTTTTGAGGCCCAAAGACGTCCAAAGACGTTCAAAGTCCAAACATCCAACTTTTGCCAACCCGGCTGAATCCGCCCTTGATGGCTTCTTGGCTGCCCGCTCTTCCGACGCAAGCCAACCATACCTATTGAAGTTACTAACTACCAGACAGCAGCGGGAATGATAACCTTGTGACACTAGCATATCTGGCACACATCTGGACAGAAACCGGGTTTGCTGCTTGCGCCCAGCTGATGGGTTGCAGATCTCCGTGGCCCCAAAACGCGGACCCTGGCCGAGTTTCAAGGGCAGCAATAACAGTCTTTTCCATTGTGCATAGCTGATCTCAGACAGAGAGCGGACAAGAAAAGGTGAGATAGTGGGATTTAAGATTTGGTCGGAGAAATGAGTGGAGTCTTTACCTGACACCATAAATCTGCCCAGAATCGCAACAGTTGTTGGCCATGGTGACGCCCACATGCCTATGGGATTGTTCCAGGAACAACGGACTGATGAACAACCGTGATAGACCAACCGTTTATTGGAATAGTTTCAAAGGGTATTGATTCTGTCAAGAGCGCGCTATGGATCAAGCACTTGTGGATATTAACCCAGAATGAAAATATCATAGATATCATGATATCATCCAGAAGTGATGGTCGGCTAACGGTTAGATGGAACATGGTACTTTATCGGGAACGATGTAAGCCGGTCGATATCAAACCTGTTCAACCTGCCAGGCTTGTGCACAGATGTCTGGCTCGGCTGCGAGGCGACTGGGGTTGAGTCTGAGTGCACGAGTTCTGAGACTTTCTGGAGAACTTTTGAACAGATCCGATCCGAACTGCTAAAAGAACTAAAAGCTTCCACTGTGTGCCTCACACCCGTTTTACAACGTTTTACAACGGCAGTTGTTTTGAAACGGCAGTCCTTCTGCATTGAAGGACCTGGCAGTTGAGCCTTTCCCTTCTTCTCCTTGCTCCATCTTTGGAGCTCGAGTTACTTGGGCACAAGGAGGGAGCGTGACGTGGGGCCATGTGCAATATGCATCAATATGCAATCTCCCACTTTCATCCGCTCATTCATCTGACCTGTTTCTTTCTGTTTCTTTTTACTGCCCATTTCCACCCCGTTTCACTGTGTCACATGTGTCACCGTGCGTCGGCCAAGGCCTGACACCATCGGATACAGTGCTGCAATCGGCGCCTGTGAAAAAGTGGCATGGGAACAGGCTCTTGAGGTCCTCCAAGCAATGAGGCGATGCGAGATGCGGAGATGCGAGGGGAACATAGGGAACCATTGATGAAAGTGAGTGAAAATGAGTGAAAATGAGTGAAAATTGCACAGCAAACCAAGAGATGGTAAGAGTGTGCAAAGAGATGTTGGTCAATGTTGGTCATGGTTGAATATTTTTTGACACATGTTGATAGTGGTTCATCTCGGGGTCAGGAAATTGGAACCATACCCATACCCATCTCTTGGTACACCATGGCTAATGGCATAGTATGTCTGAATCACTTCCTTATATCACGTGATGGTTGAGGTGGTTGAGGCGGTTGAGGCGGTTGAGGCGGTTGAGGCGGTGACTGAGTGCGCCAGGCGACAAGAAATTTTACCAAGTACCATCAGCTTCAATGCTGCAATTAGCGCTTGTGCGTTTGGACACAACTGGGAACTGGCCACAGCCTCAGCTCTCAGCTCATCTTAGCTCTTCAGAACTTCTTCAGAACTTCTTCAGAACTTCTTCAGCTTTGTCTCCAAGTGTCACTTTGCTTTTTCCTCAGGCGCTTTGCTTGTCGGATGACATGCAACTCCTTTACGGGAGCCTCGTCTGAACCAGAGACATCCAGACCTTGTTTCATTATGTTTCCTTGGCAAAAATTAAGGAGGTTCCACTGATCAGAACTGATGAGATACAAATCAAAAGATGGTGACAGAATGGTGACAGAATGATGACAGAATGGTGACAGGTTGAAACCTGACGTGATTGCCTACAGTTCCTTGATCAGTGCTTTGGCCGCCACTTTCTCTGGTATTTGCGTGGGAGAACTTGGATGGGTTATGGCCAGTTATGGCCAGTTATGGCAGATGGCGGTTGCGAGATGTTGAGAGATGAATCCACAGATGTTGGTCATGCTTTAAGTCATGTGTTGAAACATGCTTCGTGATCTTTTTGCAGCATCTCCGAGACTCCAAGGTGCCTGTGAAAAGGGCCGGCAGTGGCAACTCACCCTGGTCCTGCTCAATGAGCTGTCCTGGGGCGAAGTGAAGAGCGAGGACAGACCACCATGTTTTGAAGTTCTTTTCAGTACCCCTCATTTGTCAGTCAAGAGTCTCAAGATGTCTCAAGAGTAAAGACTCTCAAGAAGTGACAGTTGCTTGCAATCCAGGAACTTCAATTCTCCATTGGGGTTCAGAGCACCAGAGATTCGCCAGATATGTTTTGAGATGCCGAGAGCACTTGAAGAGCTTAGTGTTTGGAGAGGAGATGCAGCCGGATTTGATTTTGTGCAATGCGGCGATCAGTGCCAGCAACTCAGGGCATGCCGAACAGAATGACCTGGCTGCATGGTGCTGCATGGTGCTGCATGGTGCTGCATGGTGCTGCATGGTGCTGCATGGTGCTGCATGGTGCTGCATGGTGCTGCATGGTGCTGCATGGTGCTGCATGGTGCTACATTGATCGTCTTCTCTTGGACTTGAGGCATGTGAGAAGGGCCAGAAATGGGAAGAGGTGCATGGAGACGAACCTGTGGATTGCTAACTGAAACTTTGGATAGAGAGGTTTGACTCGATTTGACTTTGTGGAAGGGATTCGAACACAAAGTGGGAGACTTTTGCTCGAATAGCGACTTTATTTCCCGCAAGATGTGCCTCAAAAACCCTGGTCTGGGAGAGTTCAGAAGCTTTATCATGGCTTCATCCTCCACTTTTGCTTCGTCGATTCGTCATGATTCGTCCTATTTTTGCCAGGCCTTGTGGTTGCTTTGGGCCTTAGGGAGCTACGGCCCGCCTCCGGATGACTTCAGCTACTGCTCAGCGATCAATGCTTGCGGAGAAGTCAATCAATGGCAGTGGGCATTGTGGCTCTATGATCAGGGAGATGCAGGCGAGCTGTTCTCTATGGCGAAGATGAGACTTCTGGGTGGAAGATACGGTACGTGTATGTAAACCTAATTGTACATGTAATTACACACACATATCATATATATATATATATTATACATATGTTTAGTATACACATATAATATAGATATATATATTTATTATATGATTTATTTTTTTACATATGCGTATGTGTGTAAGCGGGACTTCTTTTGTTTCCAGGTTATGTGCTGATTCTTGGAGACGGCCTGCATAGAACCTTGGGAATGCACTGCTCGTTGCTGTTTCCCATCCCCGGCAGGACACCTCCTGCAGCTACAATCGACCGCAGCAACCATTGCGGCACTGTGTCGCAGCAAGAGCTGGGAGGTGCCTGGAAGTCGACAAATTGGGCTTCAAATCACGAAAGCTAGCGTCAGCTAGCTGGAGTCTTCTTGCTTTAGCAAGTATTCCGGGGGCTGCTCAAGGACATCACGTGATTTTTCACGCGAAAGGGGGGGACCCCCCCCACCACCACCATCACCATCACCATCACCATCATCGTCATCATCATCGTCATCATCATCATCATCATCATCATCATCATCGCCATCGTCCTCGCCATCGTCATCGTCATCATCATCATCATCATCATCATCATCGTCATCATCGTCATCGTCATCGTCATCATCATCATCATCATCATCATCATCATCATCATCATCATCATCATCATCATCATCGTCATCGTCCTCGCCATCGTCCTCGTCATCGTCATCATCATCATCACCATCATCATCATCATCGTCATCCTCATCTCATCATCATCATCTTCATCTTCATCTTCATCATCATCATCATCATCATCATCATCATCATCATCATCATTGCCATCGTCCTCGCCATCGTCCTCGTCCTCGTCATCATCATCATCATCATCATCATCATCATCATCGTCCTCGTCCTTGTCCTCGTCATCGTCATCGTCATCGTCCTCGTCCTCGTCATCGTCATCGTCATCATCATCATCATCATCATCGTTATTCACTTACTTTTTCATCATTATTGGCAATTGTTGGCATTATCACGAAAGGTGGCGTCAGCTCGCTAGAGTCTTCTTGCTTTAGCAAGTATTCCGGGGCTCCCCAAGGACATCACGTGATTTTTCACGTATCATATATCATTGTTGCATCCTCGTTGGGACGAACAATGCCGCGACACGATGATGACAGTCCCTCCGCAACTCACCTCTTCCCTTCCTTCTTTCTCCTACCCCGCTAGCTTTCGTCATCCACCCCCGGCCTCAAGTTGACAGATAAAACATTATAAAGCAGGAGACGATGTGCTTTTTTTCGTCCCAATGTATCAAACGCATGCAAGCATGTAGGATAATTACAAGGAAAGCGTTGCACAAACTGCAACAGTCTGGGCAAGCTATTTGCGAATCAGCGAACTTGTTCGAAGATTCAACTACTTAACTATCACAAAGATCACAAAAATGCAGCTCTATTCCCTTATGAGGAGAAATTTGTGCTAGTTTTCGACATGTCGCGAAACCAAAATGCGAGAAGCATGCACAAAGACTTCAAACACATGAATTCTGGATTTCCATGTGTGTTTGTAACAACAGTGTTATAAGAGACATCAACTTAAACACATTGACAATTGCATTACATGGAAGTGTTGTTTTGAACACCAGCATAATCGCTGGACTCAGTTTGTAGGTGGCTTTGGCACTGGCCAAGCGGAAAGAAGGCCCTGGAGAGTGGGAACTGTGTATTGGTGTTGACATGTGCAGAAAAATTGGATTTTTGGGCAACGCAAATGGAGATGAGATCAACACTTTCGTAAGAGCAGCCCAAAGACCTGAGATGACCTGAGTTTGGTCTCGTTTGTAGAAAGTCAGAAAGAAAGGGCTGGCCCAGGTTTATGCTTTCCTGCTATTACGTTGCTGTGAGGTGGTTTTCAAGCATGGGTTTGTGCAGCTTTTTGGGTAGTCATTGTAGCATTGTCATTCGCACACACCATTGCCTGGTTGATGATTTCGAACATTTATTCACCATCCTTAAGACTTAAGAGTTGTGATGTTGATCCCAAGATATTCCAAGCCACTTGTTCATTTGTTTTGGAGGTTAAGAGCGGTTAAGAGCGGTTAAGAGCACCAAGCAGTTGGCATTTTCATCCCAACAGACCCCACTGCGGGCAGACCACATCTGGAGGTGCAGTGCAGGCGGGCAAGCTGGCCGAGATTGCGGATGCTGCCAGTGACAAAGTGTGCTTTCCAGAGATGATGCAGGACGGACGCTTTCACAAGCTTCATATTCATACTTGAGAAACTATGTATATATATATGATCCATCATGATCCACATTGATCGGCAATTGCAGCGTTTCCTTGGCAGAGATGGGTCTAACATCTTCGCTGTCAGGAGGCGCAAGCTTCTTTGATTCAACAATTTCGCTACGTGCAGTTGGAAAAGATCTTCTGCGCGATTTAAGCTATTTAAGTCTTGGCGTCCAGGCTCAGATGCCTCTCCCTTCCGCAGGTATTGAGAAGGGTTTGGCTGTTTGGTCAAAACCTGGGGTGTGGCTCCAAAATTCGTCATCAACTTTGAGTTTCTTAATTTGCTCCCATTTGCTTGCAAGTTCGTTCGGTTTGATCAACCCTGCAGTTTTCAGATCAAGCCAGTGCCCCGAGATAAAACGGGTTCATGGGAGGTTTTGAGCCATGCGTGCGTCGCTGCACCGGGTGTCTGCAACTTATGCTGGACGGTGCAAGCTGACGCCCAGGCCATGTGCATTGGGGGATCATCATGGAAGCACATGGAAAAAAATATGGAAACCAGGGAAGCAATCGCTGGTTTTGGTGGTTTCGGTGGGTTTTGAGAGGTACCCCGCCTGTGCGATTTTGTCTCCCGGACCGTGCAACTGGCAGCGACGATTTGCTGCAAGCGTTGAGGAGCTGTGGATTTTTAGCAGATTCTTGAATCTCATTTGCCAGTAGCAACTGCTAGTAGCAACAACTACAATATGGCTATGGAGATGCAACTAGCCAAGCTTTATGAAAACACTGGATGAAGGAAGGCCCAGGATGGTTTCCCAATAAGAAGGTGGACGTTGCTCCAGAGGATCATGCTTGGCCAGTGAACTGACTGGTTGGAAGCTCACCTATTGACTTATTATTGTCACATGATACATATTGTCGTATTGTCAAAGAAGTTTGATGATTTGCCTTTTGATACTTTAGCTTGACGCCGTGCACGTTCGCCTTACTGCCAAACGGTAAGTTACGTGACATTTCTTGCAGGAAACGCCACTGGAAAAGTTGCGCAACGTCGCGATTATTGCCCATGTCGACCATGGAAACTTGCTGGGATGCTGTGTGGGGTCATATCGAAATCCTGTTTCTGACTGATTCAAACAATAGCGCAACATGTGTCGATTCATCGAACAGGTGAAAGTCTGGTACTCGTTCTTTCTCTGCTTTAGCAGTCTGAAGCACCTGAGAGTCCAAAACTTTCTGCTATGGTTTCCTCCACTCCCAAACGGTCCAGAGGTTTGGGAAACGCAATATCACGAAAGCATACGAAAGCTATATAGCTTGTGCTAGCTGAAGTTGCCCTTGCTTTAGCAAGGAATAGGTGGGCAGCCGGAGAGTCCAATCGCTAGAAACTTTCAATGTTATCTCCCCCTCCCCCTGGCAAGCCCAGGTTCAATCCCCCTGGTTTACGGTTCGAGGGCAGGTACAGGCTTGTGATCTTCATCGACGTCTGCGTTTTTATCTTCATTTTTTTCATTTTCATCTCGATTAGGAGCATTGTCATCATCATAGTCGTCGTCATGATGATCATGAGCCCCTTTCGTCGTCACTTTCATCCCCTTTCCCTGTTCGGGTCTCAATCCGGTGCTTCCTTTTGGCAGACACTCCCATTGAGACCCGAGTTCAGCCGAGGAAAGACCACCTTGGTGGATCAGCTGATGAAACAAAGTGGCATGGGCCTCAAGGTGACTGAGAGGATGATGGATAGCAAGGCTCCACTGGATGGGGAGGTTAGGTGTTTAGCGAAATTGGAGAAGCTGTATGGCTATATGATACATCTACATATGATTAATATATATATATATATACACGTACACATAATAATATAATATATATACAGATATGTATCTTTGTATCTATGTATATGTATATTATGAATATAGGTATCTACCTAATTATAATAATTATGCGTACATGTAATATATGTATAACATATATATATGTATATATGGAACCATGTATACATACAAATCATCGCCAGGAACTGACAAGGTTCTTTGGTCATTAGTTCAGTATGGAGCAATAAGAAAAGGAGCAGATCCTGTCAGAGCAAGTATATAGATAAGTACGTATAGCAATCTTTCCGAGAATTGTTTGAAGCCCCGCCACCGTGGGAAGCTCTCCTATTTTTTTTTAGTTTCCGAAACAACAGCCGCGTCAAGTGCGTGATTGGATTCAGCTGACTTTCGCTGTTGTTCCGACGTTTTATTTTATTTTTTATTTTGCTTGACATGGAAAGGATCTGGAACAAGAAAGAGGAATTACGATTCTGTCGAAGGCCACCCGAATCTCTTGGAGCCTTGGGATGTAGCACATTTTTTGCCGCTAAGACTGAGACTTTCTGCTGCGCAGGGATGTTTCGCCCTCCAGAGATGCACTAGTTACACTAGTTAGTTGAAACATGTTGAAAAACTTTCTGATTTCAGGGCCTGGTCAGAAACTTTCCAAGCAACCCTGTTTTTGTTTTGCAGATAGGAACGGCTATGTCTTCAATATTGTAGATACTCCTGGCCACGCTGATTTCGGTGGCGAAGTGGAGCGAGTCCTTTCGATGGTGGATGGTGTAGTGCTGTTGGTGGACATCATTGAAGGTCCCAAGACACAGACCAAGTTTGTGCTGCAAAAGGCTTTGAAGCACCCAAAGATGAGGCCTTTGGTTGTCATCAACAAGGTTGACCGCCCCATGATGCGGGACAAAGGAGAGGTTGAGAACGACATTTTCGATATTTTTGCCACGATGGCCAGCGCTGATGAGCAGTTTCCTATCTTGATAATCTTGATACGGTTCACTTCATTTTCCTACCTTGCCACTCAAACAGACTTGTTGCGGCTGTTCATTTTGTTTGATGGCTTCAAGCGTAGTCATGGCGTAGTGTCCTCATATGTCCTCATACATCAGGTGTTGTAGTTCGGTTGTTCCCGTTGTTCTCCACTTCGTTGCAATTCTCTATGCCTCAGAACATCTCAGTCCAGGTTGGAATACCCGACTCTCTACGCTTCAGGGAAAGCCGGCTTCTGTGCTCGATCACTGGAAGAGGCACAATCTGAAAATCGACCTACGGATATGGTGACACTTTATGAGACGATTCGGGACGTGGTGCCGCCACCCGAACCTGCTGAAGTCGTGTCTCGGTTCTGTAATAGTGTTTTCGTTTCTGATTGAAAGGATAGTGTATATTTTTTGTTGTCCTTGATTTTGGTTGGGCTTCAGGGCAACCTTTTGGAGTTGTTGGGAAGTTTTTTGAGGTGTTTGCAATGCTGAGGATCCAGAAGTCATCGCAGCAGACGAGAAGAACAAGGGATTTTCCATGCTGGTTTCGCAGCTGGACAGGCAACTTGGGAACTCCTCACGACGGTTGTGGGCCATCATCGGTGAGTGTGTGTGTGATCATCAAAAAATGGGTTCATCAATCCATTTCAATCCATTTCAGATCGATGATTGGGATTTTTGGGATTTACAATAGAAATATCTATAGATGACAATCCATCATCATATGGTCATTTCTATAGATGATATAGATATATCATGGGTATCTGCATCCCTTTTAAGGGATTTTTGGGTGTCAGCTGCCAGATGCTGCCAGGCTCCCAGCCCTCGGGCCCACGGTGACAGGAAAGATCCACAGTGGACAGATCCACAAAGGCGACAAGATCAGCTGCAACCTGGCGGGAAAAAAAGCTGGGTCACAGAAGTACCACATCCACCAATTCGAGATGCTATATGACCCTATATGGGTATGGATCAATACCTATAAATACCATTTTTAGGGGGATGAACATCCATTTACCAGCTATTTTGATGTTCACCAGGGGTACAAGGTTTTGACACACTGCCATATGACCCTATATGATGATGCTATAGAAAATAATGAAAGGAATAAATCGCCATTCCGAATGTCCTGTCTTAGATATCTCAATACCTTGTTGGAAGCGTCAAGGCTTGAAATCGAATAAATGCTATCTGGTGGCAACCGCTCTGGCGTCCAGGGCTACTTGTAACACCCTCTGATTCGCAAGGCAAAAACCTGAACGGCGAGGTGGTGGGCTCTGGAAAAGTCAAGGAGCCTTGACGGTGCTTGATGCCGCTTCAACCTTGTTCCAGGGAAAACCAGCTCTGGAGCGGTGCAAAATCAATTTACGGATACGGATGTTTCGATGTTTGTTTGTCTGGGTTTCACGGTTTCCGTCACATTTCCTTTGAGTTTTATCTCCATCAGATCAGTGGAGATTGCTGAAACATTTTCCTTCGGTCAATTCCTCATGTGAAGTCACCTCCAACATCCTCCAACTATTCCAACTCCAAATGGCACCTCCCCAGTTCTTTCAATCTCGGGGCCACATGGCCATGGTATGGTCACCATGGCCATGGCCTAGGAGATCACTGTGGTGCTGGGTGTGACGCGTGAGGCTGTGAAGAGCGCCAAGGCTGGGGACATCGTCTCCATTTCGGTCACGGGCTTCATGCCCCGCTGGACACAGACCTTGGTGTCCCACGCCAAGGTGCGGGGTGGGAGTTGACCATGGGATGGCTATGGCGATGTTGCTAAGGCTAGGTGGCATGATTGGGATGCAACCTCTAAGTCTAAGGAGTAATGGGATGGAATTTTACGTTGTTTCCAGAGATGCTGAAAAAAAATGCCCACAATCTTGTGATAGGATCAGAAAGAGAGCTTCTGATCTTCCTGCTTTTGGTCCACTTGTCATGATAATGTCATGATATGTCATGATCAGATATGATCAGTCGATATTATAGGGTTTTTCTGTAAACTTTAGCGGCTATTTGCAGCCAGGCAACAATGTTCCACTCGAACTGGCCCATGTCTAGCTGGCCAGTATAGTCATGAGCCGGTTGGCTGTGAAAAAAATAGCATAGTTAGTTTCATTGATTCATCTATCAATTTGGCCTTTCATTTCCTTTCATAGTGACAACCACCAGGTTTGCGGGGATCATCTTGGTGGATCCAGATCCCATGTGGTCAGATCTGTCAGGTACCACCGGTAGAGTGTCAGCCCATTGATCCTCCCATCTTGGCGGTCCGTGCTGCGGTGAATGACTCGCCCTTGGCGGGGAAGGATGGCAAATACATCACACTCAATGCCCTGGGAGAGCGCTTAGACAAAGAGGCCTTGACCAATCCGGCCATTGCTCCTTGAACGTCACAAAGTGTTGGTATGTTACGGATTGTTTTAGTTATTTTATGTTATTTTACTTTCCATTATTTTGGGTGGAAATATGTGCTTGCGGCTTACGCAATGTCCAGCAAATCACTTTTCCCCGCAACATCCAGTGACAACCTGAGGAAGTTGCACCTTCGCCCAACCGTGATTATTTCGAGATTCGCGGACGGGGTGAGATGCAGTTGGGCATTCTCATCGAGGAGATGAGACGTGAAGGCTACGAGATGTCGCTGTCACCGCCCAGTGTGGTGAAGAGTACAGGCTGGGACACCGCACATGATAACACTTGGGCAAATGAAAAACTATTGGAACCTGAAGGAGTAGGAGTTTATCCGAGAAGTCCAAAAACTTGGGGTAAAACAGAATTGGTCGAACTTCCGGTCGAACTCGTTTCCAATCCCAACAAGTAGTGGGTGCGTCATTTGAAAAAAGTCCTTGTTGTGCACACTGGAGATATTCATCCCAAGATCAGAATTGTAACCCAAAGCCATGTGAAGAGACTCTATCGGAAGAAAAGTTGGTGTGTTCGTCTCGCCTCAGGGCATTTTTTTGGGAACTGGTTTCATCCGATGTTCCAGGAGAGGACGGTGGGGTCCTGGAGCCTTGGGAAGACGTGCAGATTGAGGCGGGCCCGTTGGACACATGTTTTTCTTTTTTCACACTGTGGTTATTTCATGTTATTTCATGTTATTTCACATGATTTGTGACGGGGGGCATCCCATAACAAGCCTACTTTGGGGTCGTCAACAATTTTGTTTTGTGCCACATTGAGAGAATGCCAGCACCATCAGACCACGCACACGCAATCTAGAGCTGTTTTTGCATGGTTCACCCTGCGTGAAGTTAGCCAACTGCTACAGGCGGTTGGTGGTTCAAGATTAACACACCATCATTGGCTTCGTAGATACACCAAATGGTTGCATCCATTGGACACAAATGGTTTGCCCGCAGTGCCAGGTCGATATGAACCAAGGAAGCCAAGTCATGGACCGTTTCATGGCCATGAAATTGCTACAGTCAGTAGCCAGCAACAGTTTGAGAGTTACTATATGACTATATGACACTATATGACTATATGACTATATGTTACTATTATTTACTATTATATTATTCCTTTGTGCCTCCTAACTTTTCCAAACTTTTTCGACAACTGGCTGCTGGCAATCAAACAACCTTTCGATGTGACATTGTGCGATTCGTGCTGCGAGGTATGTCTATTCGAGGCGCCAAGGTCATTGATATGCAGACGGCGGGCGATCGCCAGACGATTCACTTGGAGGCCAGATGAGTTTGTCGTTCAGTGCTCCCCCACTTCCCCCAAAGGTGACCGTGGGGTGACCCTATTCTTGGTGATTGCTGGTGACCCAAGGCCTCTACCGCCTCCATGCTTGGTCTTAGAAGCCTCTCGGATGCAGATGTTGATGAATTGATTGGGCTGGTGTTTCTTAGATAAACCGCCACTCATCCACTAGACGACAGTGTGGCCCAAAAAGAAAGCAAGAGATACACATCAAATTGTTTTTCCATGAGTCACACACATGCGATGAGTTCCTTTCGAAAAAATGTAGTATAATATTGTATAATATTGTATAATATTGTATAATATTGTATAATATTGTATAATATTGTATAATATTGTATAATATTGTATAATATTGTATAATATTGTATAATATTGTATAATATTGTATAATATTGTATAATATTGTATAATATTGTATAATATAATATATACATACATACATACATACATACATACATACATACATACATACATACATACATACATACATACATACATACATACATACATACATACATACATACATACATACATACATACATACATACATACATACATACATACATACATACATACATACATACATACATACATACATACATACATACATACATACATACATACATACATACATACATACATACATACATACATACATACATACATACATACATACATACATACATACATACATACATACATACATACACACTTTAGTTTGTTTTGGGAAGGAAAGACTTCAGGAGCACCCTTTTCCAAGGGCCTTCCAATGATCCATGCCCATCAGACTCATGCTTGCCTCATGAGACTCATGTATTTAGATATTTTTGGTTTTGGCCCATCAAATGGGCTCCCAACGGCAAGGTTGGCTGCGTGAGATTTCAGGCGGAACCGCCACGGTGGTCAGTGACTTCAAGGCCAAGTTCTCTCAGCGGGGTGGCCTCCCAGCATGGGATGCCAGTATTTCCATGGGCTATGCTTCTCTGGCTATGGCTAAAGGAGATACAAAGAGAAACAACACAATTGGTGCTTTTTGGTATTGAAAAGTGCAATGAGTTTGAACCATACCATGTCTACAGTTCGTACAAGTATTATGTATGCTTATCATGTCCATATGATTGGTACTTGTTGGCTCAGCCTCGCACCTCGAAAGTTGTCCTTGTGTCACAAGTGGCCAGGAACTGAGACCTGAGGGGCCTAAAGCCCCCAAAGACAGGACTGCAGCTGCTAAATTTGTGTGGATCGTGTGGGATAGAATGGACCACAAGGCCCCACAAGGCCCAAGTTTTTTTTCGGTCTGAGACAATTTGGTTCCTGGGGATTCCTCCACAGTGATGCCCTGTCAATGGCAGTGCAACTCCCTCGACAAACCATTTCTGGGTAATCTCACCTATTTTTAGGTGCAGCACGGTGCAACACTTCCATATATTTCCATGATTTTCCATGTTTGCTGGTGAAATCCATGTGAAATCCATGTTTTTGTTGGTTCGCAGTGTTAATCGGTCATTTCCTCATTTCCGGCGAATCCATGGAATCCGATCCAAAGACGATGCGGCAGGAACGGTGTACTGATCGCCAACACTGCTGGTATCTCCACCTCGGTGGACTTGGGGAAGGCGCTGAGCCGGTTTTGCTCTGGAACTCACGTCAGAGAGATGGGGAGATGGGTGGTTCGGAGGTCTTAAATCAAAATGTCCTGAGAACCAGTGGTCTTGACGCTTGGGTGACAGCCAGGAACAAAGAATGTTGCCACAGTTTCCAACCTGTGGTCTCCAGGGACCTCTTTGTGGAGAGAAGATGAGCCTGACATACCAATAAGCTAATTAATTAGTACTTCTCCAAGAAAGCAGGGTGGTATCTGAATACCTGGCGTGAATTTCACCCAACTTGTCGGAATTGATCCAATCTGGCTGTGGCAAGGTTGCCCGCATGGGCAAGCTCTTCATTACGGAGGGTGTTGAGGTTTATCCAGGCAGGAGACAAAGCTGGACACAGCCAGTCACAACATCCTGGCCAGTGCAGGAATGATCTTTGGCGAGAATAGCGGCCAGAATGATATCGACACCAACATCTCCAGGACTGAAGGGAAAAATCTAGATAATGCGTGAACTTCCCTCATGCTTTGCTTAATTTTGATGTTGAACAGAATCTCCAACCAACAATAAGTTGTACTATGTAATATTAAAGGGCTACGCCCTCTGCCGCCGACCCCTGGACACTGGAGGGTCATGCCTGCCTCTGTGTCGTAAGCATGAAATGAACCCTAAAGAAACCAGAAACTGACCTAAACAAACCATTTGTATGTGCGTTTGGCACTGTGCACATGCAAGCAGCATGGACCCCTGCAGGATGACACGCACAACTATGTGCTCTGACACTTTTTCATGGCTCAAGAAATAGGAGCTTTCGTCATTGGCCAGGTGTCTTGGGGACCTAAAGGGTTGCTCTAGCACTTAAGACCCATACCCGAAGCCCCCGTTCGTAACCGCAGTATGAAACTTTAAATGGCATCCTAAAGAGACCCGAGACGACACTGCGCTGCCAACTGCCACCCTGCTCGTGTCCTCCTGGAGCCGGCTTTCGTTCTGCACCGCTTCGGTCCAAGCTGGAGTCCAAGGACCGTGTCGCAGGGCTAAAACACCATGGCAGTGAAGGACGGATTGGGCCCGCGGCCCGTATCCCAGACTGCCAAACGTCACTTTCTGAACCGACTAGAAACTAGCTCCAAACCTTGACTTTTCCTGCGTTTCTGCACTGGTGTCCTCCTGGAGCCGGCTTTCGTTCTGCACCGCTTCGGTCCAAGCTGGAGTCCAAGGACCGTGTCGCAGGGCTAAAACACCATGGCAGTGAAGGACGGATTGGGCCCGCGGCCCGTATCCCAGACTGCCAAACGTCACTTTCTGAACCGACTAGAAACTAGCTCCAAACCTTGACTTTTCCTGCGTTTCTGCACTGCCAACTGCCACCCTGCTCGTGTCCTCCTGGAGCCGGCCTTCGTTCTGCACCGCTTCGGTCCAAGCTGGAGTCCAAGGACCGTGTCGCAGGGCTAAAACACCATGGCAGTGAAGGACGGATTGGGCCCGCGGCCCGTATCCCATACTGCCAAACGTCACTTTCTGAACCGACTAGAAACTAGCTCCAAACCTTGACTTTTCCTGCGTTTCTGCACTGCCAACTGCCACCCTGCTCGTGTCCTCCTGGCGCCGGCTTTCGTTCTGCACCGCTTCGGTCCAAGCTGGAGTCCAAGGACCGTGTCGCAGGGCTAAAACACCATGGCAGTGAAGGACGGATTGGGCCCGTGGCCTGTATCCCAGACTGCCAAACGTCACTTTCTGAACCGACTAGAAACTAGCTCCAAACCTTGACTTTTCCTGCGTTTCTGCACTGCCAACTGCCACCCTGCTCGTGTCCTAATGGAGCAAACGTCACTTTCTGAACCGACTAGAAACTAGCTCCAAACCTTGACTTTTCCTGCGTTTCTGCACTGCCAACTGCCACCCTGCTCGCGTCCTCCTGGAGCCGGCTTTCGTTCTGCACCGCTTCGGTCCAAGCTGGAGTCCAAGGACCGTGTCGCAGGGCTAAAACACCATGGCAGTGAAGGGCGGATTGGGCCCGCGGCCCGTATCCCAGACTGCCAAACGTCACTTTCTGAACCGACTAGAAACTAGCTCCAAACCTTGACTTTTCCCGCGTTTCTACATTGCCAACTGCCACCCTGCTCGTGTCCTTCTGGAGCCGGCTTTCGTTCTGCACAAACTCTTCGCCCCTTCTGGCATCTTGTTGCTAGTAAGGCCTCCTCTGACGCGCTCCCCCTGCTGACGGCAGGGGTCGGCGGATATTGTTTCTTAGAAGAAGTGGAGGAGTGCTGCAATCCATCATGTTGGTGAACTTGACGGTGGCATATTTTAGGATTGAAAAACAATGAAAATCAATCGTCGTGAGTCGTAGGGCACTGCAATGCTGTGGACGCATGGAGGAAGCATGATGGATACCAAACTGCTGCCAACTTTTCCTGTGCGGAGAAACGGCTGGAGGAGGCTGGGAGTCAGTAGAGGTCACGTTTTGTATGGCCACTGTGAGTTGGCTCCACAATAGCACTGACATCTGCTGTAAATGATGGTTGCATTATGTTACATTTCCCAATCATGCACCATCTTTTTCGAGACCTAGCACGTGCCTCTGTTTGTGTTCATCTTCATACGTATGGTATATTAATCTTCATACGCATGGTATATATTTATATAGACCCCTGCCAAGATCGATGCTGATGCTGGACATGGGTATTCTCCATCATTTTCCAACCATGTCCACTGGCTGATCCCAGTTGTTTTTCATTTTTTGTCGGGCCGGCCAACTGGTAGCTCAACCTCGTCTCCGGTCTTGTCAATGAAATCAGTCCCAGACTTGTTTGATGAACGATGAATCACCATTTCCTGTGTGCCGGTGAGGCTCTGAGTTACATCCTGGAGGATGAAAAGTTGGAGGTGACCCCCAAGCGCATTGCCATGCGGAAGGTGGACCGTGGCTGTCAGAGGTTTTGCTTTGGCGGCAGCGTGATACAATTTTCTTGAATGTTTTTGGTGAGTAGAATGAGTAGAACCCTAATTTAGACTAGAGTTGGAACATTTCAAGACTTGGTTGACTTTGGTTACAAGTGTTACAAGGCATGGGATAGTGACGAATAAACAGAAAGTTGCCAGGGATAGATGTCGGTGGTAGCCTACAGTGGTTTAATTGAATGGATTTCAGTGGTAAATTGTTGTTGGACAACACACTATAAATACGCACAGTATTAAAAGATATTAAAAGCAAGTCACCCAATTCATTGAAGCTGTAGAGTTCTATGGATCGAGGAGAAAACACAGTCACAGTGGGGATTTCGTTTTTTTTTCCCAGTGAAATGTGGACCATGGCTGTGATCCTGTTAGATCCAGCCACTGGGACGGGGTGTGAGGCCATTCTGGATGCCAATGAACGGCGGATCCTGGCCAAGGCCGGTGCCAAACTTGTCCATTGAAGACCAGCATCTCGAAAACTGTATTGAAAGATATTGAAAGCATTGAAACCAGCAATTTTGGATTACCCTCAGGTGAACAAATATAGCAGTGGAAAATCGAACGTTGGAGTCTTCGGGAACGGACGCGCAATTTGACCTTCGAATTGTCGGGACAGTGAACTCTCGGACTCCCGGTGACCTCAACCTCTTTTGACCTCTTCGTATTTCATGCATTCATTTGCATTCATTTGCATTCATTTGCATTCTCTGGTAAATTTTGGTCAACAGTTCCCTTGTAGTGAATAAATGTGAATAGCAGCCATTTCCAGATGCCAAATTCACGTTGGCTGCACGCAGGCAGCAGCCAAGAAATCCTGAGCAGATCCCATTGGTCATAGGAGTGCCTCTCTGCGTCACCAAAACGGAACATCGTTTCAAAAGCTCTTCGAAAAAGAATCACCCATGAATGCCATGAATCAGATATTAGCCACACCTCTTGATTCTACACTGTCTACACCAAAGATTGTTGCTTTGGGCGGTGATCCCATTTCATGGGCAAGTCTGCCATGATTTGTTGGGTCCCAAAATCACGGCCGCAGATGCAGCTCTGCATTTGTGGACGGTATACGGGCAATTCTCGTGACGCCCGGCTGGTGGTCTGTTCGAGAAACTTGAACGGATGCTCGGTTGCGCGGATATGTTGCCCCTATCTCTTGAGAAAAAAACGCGTTCAATGCATGGATATGCTGGCCCTTCACCCTTCAACCAGTTGTAAACAGATGGAAGCCCCTTCCGGAGTAAATGATATGATATGATATTTTTCCTTTTCTGCTGGACTAGTAGGGTGAAGAAAACACCGCTCCAAGCCATTCGGTATGTCACCTTTTGATGGGTTGATTCATTGATATTCACTGCTAATGCGGCATCCCAGGAAATCTGGAACCAAACCAGACAGAGCTTATCGCGGTTTGGGAAGTTATTTTGCACAGGAAACACACAATGACGACGTTTGTCATCATGTGGCGCATGTAGCACGACCCTCATTCATAACGCAGCTTTTGCAGCAGAGCCAAAGGACGATCTCAGGCACATCCTGATCGCACATGATTTCTGTAGATTGCTGAGCATAACAGTGGCTTGGCAGTAATTGAACCGGACCCAAGCAGCTTGAAAAAGGCAACTTGAAAACTATTGGAATGACAAAAACTCGAGTCGAAACAGCAGGACCATAAGCAACCGACGGAGCTGGGCGGCATTGATGTGTTCATGGCGACTGGTGAAAGGCTCATAGAGCTCTTTCGGCAGTTGGACAGGACCGCAGCGGAGGAAGCAGCCGCAACAATGGATTGACCGACGAACGTGGGGAGATTAAGCGCGCAAGATAGGGAACTATACTGACCCAGGATATGATGATTTTGAATGGGCCAAACGGGCCAAACGTGATAGTTCTTCAATGTTACGTTTTGCCATCGTTTGCATTGGATTCATCATGATTCATCGCTGTGTTTGCAGTAGATGATTGAAACCCCTATCCCTCGAAGCCGTATTTCTGCAGAATTCTGGAAGCTGCAATCCCTTGGACTCGCAGGAATGGAAATGGTGTGATTGAGAGAGAGGACTGCTGATGGAAACCCAGTGACAGTAATGGTCTTAAGGTCGGCAGAGCAATTGCAAGTAGGAATTTGTCTATTTCGTTTCTCTTTCCTTCTTCTTCTTCTCAGTTGTATGCTGCTCTTCCGCAGACATTTGAGCAGTGCCCAATGTCTTGTTGGTTTTGTGTTATTTGCAGTTGAACGGTCCGGTCTGGTTGCGTAGGGATCATTGCAATCCGTTGCGGAGGACTTAAGTTTCCATCCTTGCTGCAGCCTAGAATGACAAACTGTATGACTCCTCTAACTCTTTGGAAGGGTGGCTCGACTATCAGCCTTTTTGCCAATTTTTGTTGGAAATTCTAATTGGCCAGTTGAGCATTTTTACCATCACGATCACAATTTAGGCAGTGTTCACCTTTGTTGCTTCGTATCCCTCTTGTCTCTATCATCCCCATGGGTTGTTTCCCCCCGTTTCCAGTTGGTATTTTGCAGCCAGAGTAAGCCCGCCAATTCATATTCCCAGATGCCAAGTGATATTCCCCGACTCTACTCTATTATTCTACCTGATTCTACCCCACATTTCTATTGATTTCCATTGATTTCTATCGTTTTCAGTTGTTTTGTTCCCCAGATTTCATGGCTTCAGCGGCAACGGCTTCAGCGCGGGCCCCAGGAGCTGGGCCGCGTCTTGGAGGCCTTGGACGAGGTGACCTGGACAGACGAGCGCTTGGATCAGATCCTCCGAGAGGCGAGAGCCATGGACGGCACGACTGGGTCGATGACTATCTATGAATAGCAATCATACTTATGGATACTTCTGGATACTTATAGTGTATTAATTGTGTATTATATGACATATTAAACATATTATATAATATATGTATATATGGTGTACATAAAATATGATATATGTATATATATATATAGCTAATTTATAGACATATGTCATGCATCATGTATACTTTTTCTAGATAGGTATATGTATATATGTAAGCTATATATATATATATATACACATGATACAATCAATACCACTTAGACGTATACATGTATACACTGTTTTTATACGCATACAAAAAACAAAAAGCTTATAGAACAAATTACACACATACATACATACATACATACATGCATGCATACATACATACATACACATACATATACGTACATATACATACATATACATACATATACATACATATACATACATATACATACATATACATACATATACATACATATACATACATATACATACATATACATACATATACATACATATACATACCTATACATACATATACATACATATACATACATATACATACATATACATACATATACATACATATACATACATATACCTACATATACATACATATACATACATATACATACATATACATACATATACATACATATACATACATATACATACATATACATACATATACATACATATACACATATACACATATACACATATACATATATACATACATACATACATACATACACACATACACACATACACACATACACACATACACACATACACACATACACTCACACACTCACACACTCACACACATACACACATACACACATACACGCATACATTACATTACATTACATTACATTACATTACATACAGTAATTACATACATTCATACATTAATTACATACATACATACATACACACCATTACGTTACATTACATTACATTACATTACATACATACATACATACATACACATTACATACATACATATAACATTAATTACATTAATTACATTAATTACATTAATTACATTAATTACATTAATTACATTAATTACATTAATTACATTAATTACATTAATTACGTTAATTACATTAATTACATTAATTACATTAATTACATTAATTACATTAATTACATTAATTACATTAATTACATTAATTACATTAATTACATTAATTACATTAATTACATTAATTACATTAATTACATTAATTACATTAATTACATTAATTACGTTAATTACATTAATTACATTAATTACATTAATTACATTAATTACATTAATTACATTAATTACATTAATTACATACATACACACACGTAATTGTTGAATAGGCATCACAGGCATATCACACAACACGTCTATCATATATATATAGATCTTTATCAGGTTTGTAAAAACATCACAATATACTGTATGTTGAAGTGAATGGATGGGTGGCGAAATTGTTGTCGATGTGGCAATGTTTGGTGGGCGCTCTTCCGAAACAGCTTGAAGAGAACATGGTGCCAACACGCAGGAATGACGTGTTTTTTTGCAGAATGTGTGGGTGATGTGATTTGTTGAAGCCCCTACGACCAACAAAAAACCCAAAACGGGTTTGTAGGATTATTCTTGTTTTGAAATTCCCTGTCATGTAGTTCATTTTCGTCTCAAGGCTAGGATTGAAGATAAGATGTTTTGATGACTTCATATTCAGGCGGATGCCAATCGCGATGGGAAGATCCAGTACGGTGAGTTTGTCCGATGGCTCTTCTCCGAGGGTGGTGGTCAGGCGGCACGGCACGCAGTGTTGAAAGTCAAAACCTTGGGCTTACCTTAGCCAAAGAGACAGAAGTGAGTATGAGTATGGGTCACAATTTACCAACCGTGTTGTGTTTTGGGGGTGCACAATGAATTATGACCCAAGTACAGTTGGTGTCTTAGATTGTTTGAGACTTTTTTCTGGCAGGCTGCCTTCTGCAGAACTGTCAAGGCATGGACTTGCTAGTGGACTTGAAAGGGCTTACCACGATTGCCTGGCCACCACAGTTCAGGATTCCGTATTTAGAGATATTAACATTGGATGATAATCCCCCGATCAATGAGCACTATTTGTTTTGGATGAGATTGGATGACCATCCAGTCCGCAGGATCTGTCCAAAGGCCTTCGTTTCCAAGTAGAAGCCTTGGTTGGACTGCGAGAGCTCTCTGCCGTTCCTGAGTCTGAAAGGCTGGAGCACTGTATAGCACTGCATAACCAAGGGGCCAATGAGCCAAGGGTGTTGCACAGCTACTGCATAGTTGCTGCATATTTACATATGTTGCAAATGTTGCAGTCCAAAAATGAACTGTGAAGGTTTGGGGTTTGAACAACTCAATTGGGTTGCTCACAACATGAACCAACCAAGCAGGAATTTTCTGGGAAACAGCGGACATGTGGGTCAGGTGGGGATTGGCAAGCTCTGCCCCCTCAACCAATCCATAAGTATCCATAAGTAACTAGTGAGAACACAAGCGCAACATATTAGTGTCTCAATCCATATCAATCCCTGACCACAGGCACGTAGACAAAAACTCCCCGTACCTTGAGAGGTGGACCAATCTTAGATTTCCCGCTTGGAGGTGTTGTGATTTTCATGACGTAGGACTTGCTTCAGACTTGTCGAATGCCGGTGCCAGGAAGAAGGCTTTGGACATGATGTTGACACTGTTGAACAAGATAGTGCAGGCGCGCAACCTATAAAGGTTGAAAGTGGTGGAAGTCAATTTGGTTCTTGGGGTGTGTGAACTGCCCAATGGATTGAAAGTTCTTTTTTGTGTTTGAGTCTCGGATGTGGTTGGCATGTCAATTGCTACTGTTGGCATGTTCATCATTTTGTTTTTCAAACACGGGCTTGTTGGACGTCAATTGGGCATGGCTCAAATTGTCTACGCTGAAATAAGATGTCCAGTGCCGAAGAATCACCAAATGTGTGGGTTGCTTGGTCACGGGCCTCTGTTTCAAACTTGTGTTGTTGATGTGTGCGGAGCCTAGACATATAGCCACTGTACAGAATTTTCCATCTGGACCGGACCTTCCTGATTGGTGCGTTTGGGACAGCTGGGGCAAGCTGGACATTCCCAATTTGACAATAGCAGGACAATGATGACAATGTGTCACCTCAGTCACCTCCCACTGATGGTTCATTTATGGTTCTATCGTGTTCTATCGTGTTCTATCGTGTTCTATCGTGTTCTATCTCCCGGTTCCATTGCTTCCATTGGTTCCACCCAGTCTGCCCATCTCGGAGGCTCCATGGGATTTCAAGCTTCGCACCTTGAGCTGTTCTGAAGATCCAGGGAAGACGTTGATGGCGACCAGGTCCGAGAGCTGGGATGGAGCTTTGATTTCGATCTCTTTTCTATCTTAGTATACAACTTATATAACTTATATAACTTATATAATACTTATATACTCAACTTAGTAGTGCTCTTAGTAATCTTGGGATTCTTACGTTATCCAAGTTATCCAGGAAGTGCAGCGAATTGTACGCCGTTTGTTCCTTTTTCTGCCTTCTTATGCCTTGCGCGCCTTGCGCCTGGCTCAGGGGGTGTGATTGGCTGCTGGAGCCTCAGGATGTGGATATCGTTTGCATTCCCTGGGCAGCTGCCTGGGCAGCCGGTCTCGGTGGAAGATCAGCGAAATTAGGTTCTCTGCGGCAGGCTTTATCGATGACCTCGATGTACCTCGGCCGCATGCTGGCTCAACTGTGAGACAATGCAAAATGATTCTTGTCGGAGAACGGCAATCCTATTTTTGAGGTGAGAGTTTGCATGATTTTGCTATATAAGGCAGTTCTATACAATGTGCTAGATACATGATGGAACACGAACGTGATGGAAGATGATGAAACATGCAGAGACATTTTCGGCATTTTCAAATTGAATAAAAATCGCATCGACAGGAGCTCTCTCTGCCATCTAGGACCGACCCCACGTGGCTCGTGGAGGAGATCTGGTGCAGCATGAACCCATCGCTGGAAATGAAATGCTTAAGAAATCCTAAGAACTGGGAACAGATTTATGACAATTTTATGACATTTTATGAATTGGGTCCATCAGTTGATAGTCAATCTAGTTGATGTATGTTGATATAGTTGTGTTTCTTTTTCGAAGGCTTTCCCACCGTTACCCGTACCCACGATTTCGGCAGAGCTGAGGAGCTCATGAAGTTCAAGAAGAAGGACTGGGACCTGTCCGAGGCCTCCTTGGGACCGAGTCAACCGAGTCAAGCGAGTCAACCGACTGGTGAATGTTGCTGCGGTTCTTTTTTCAAAATGCCAAGAAGTTGCTTTAGGCATCCAAGATTAGGCATGCTTTTGAGAGTATCAAGGAGTTTCTGGTGGGTTCATTCCCTTTTCGGTGGCCACATCCCATCTTTATTGATGAATATTATTGTATAAGACATATATAATATAACTATATCTCTGTCGTAGCAACCGCAGAACACCTGAACCGCCATCAACGCCGTGCTCCAAGGTGGAACCCCCTGAAGATTTCCCCGACAGTGTGCCATTGCCACCAGTGGAGAAGGGCAAACCGCCCAGGTGCGATGAACATTTTTGACAGACATGGGGGGGACATTTGGATCATTTGGGTTTGTTCCAACATATCCAAAAAGATCAAAAAGAAAGTCTCAAATTGCTTGGTTGATCATCAGTTTTTCCGTCAAATCTAAAATTTGGGATACACACTGTTGCTGGACAAACCAATTGTTGTTGGTACCCCACAGCCACAATCATGTTTCTTTCAGCTTAGGACCCGATGGTTGGTTTCATGTTGTGTCCGTACCTTTTTTTCCAGCTTATGGTCTAGGAAGTCGTGGATAGAGTAGATATGAGTAGATACACCAATGATGGTCTTCATGGAACTATAGTTGCTGATTCCACAACAAGTAGTTGGTTGTGACCGAGAAACAAATTAGTGAACCGTTCCATCCAATACCAACAGATGTGATTTTTCGACAATTTTCGAAGTCATCATATTTTCTTGTTTTTTTTCTTGGATTTTCTGGACGACTTCAAGAGCAGAGTGCCTCATTGTGCAGGTGCAAAGTGTATCTGGGCGCTGGGAGCTCAGGAAGGAGGATTGGTCATTTCAAGTGGAAAGACGTGGGTTCGGGTTGACACATTAGCTAAAAGTGACCAAAAGTGACCATGATTGTTTCGCTTAGTGGTTCATCCCAACCAATCCATCCTGCTCATTCTTTAGATGCGAAAGCCCAGGGTTTCACACTGAAATGACCCGTGCCCCCGTGGATACAGTCGGTGGTTTAGTCATTTTTTAGAGGCTTCCCCTTAGCGACATGGCACTTGAATGACTTGGGTTTGTCTGAAAATGAGGTACCCCCAAATCCATTGGTTTATCATTACCTTCACCATTGAAATGGCAATTTTTGAGTATCCCGCATTTTGGGGCAAACCCAAACATCGTATGGTAAGAAAAACATATCCCATCAATATACCCATTCATATCCTCATATCGGCAATGATGTCCTCAAATTATCGCATGATTTCCGCTTTTATGAGGCCTGCAAGGTGACTGCGGAGCTCCAACAGCTGATAGATCAGCTGCAAATGCTGCCTGAAATGGACAAACGGACTGTGGGGCCAAGGGCGGTGTGGTTATAGAAGATATATATATATGTACATACTAACGATCTGTAATATTCAATCATGATTCTATACATATATATATATATTAATTATGCTGTATATGATATAGAGACAAGTAGATATTGAATACAATGTACATAGACATAGAACCTGATGTGCTTTTGAGAGGCACATTTGAAACCAATGGCTGCCTGGTGTGGCAGGACCATGGGAGGCAAGTGCATTGCCCAGACTTTGGCCATGGAGGATTTCATGACGGAGGAGGCCATGGATCTGGAATCTATTTGGCATTGTCGTAAAACTGAATATTTCAAAATCCGACCAGGATCCAGAGATGATTGTTGTTTCGATTGATTTCCGTGAAGAGAGTGAACACTGCTCTGTGTTGTGTGTTGGTTGGCGACATGCCACAAGCGTCAGGTGGGGATGAAGCAGCTCCACCACAAATACTTCGTTCAAGGCGTGAAGGCCTTTGAGCTGACGAAGCCTTTGTCCGACTTTCCTGCTGACAAGGACTGGGAGGAGTTGCAGATAGTTGCAGCACGTGAGGTTGGGAATGTTGGCGTCACTGAGAATATACCATTCATAGAGCTATAGGATTAGTTTGTTTGAGTCACATAATGCAATATGTTTTCATGTTTTGACTTTGGATTTTTGTTTGTAAATTGCTGCTGGGTCACTTTGCGATGCAGCCCACAAGAATTCTGCTCTTTGTGGTGACTTTTCAAAACCAAGGTTGTGATTTTGCAGGTTTCCACAGGAGGTACAGCTCAGTGCAAGCTTCGTTCTTTCCAGGAGCTAGTTTACAAAGGTGTGGGCCAAGACGGCCGCTCGCTTGCTCTGGAGCAACGGAATTCGCAGGAGTTGACATGCATCGTTTCAGTATGTTTCAGTCAGATACGGTAAATATCGGTGTTTTTGTTGACTACAGTGACTACACATCGCCACTTTGGTTGCTTAAATATCCGCTTTCTTGTTGGCCCTGATTTATGCTGCTGAGAGATCAGATTTTTCCCATCAGTTCCGCAATATTTCTGGTGAACACCTAGGTCTGCCCTGCTCCTTCAAGGCATCTGTGAGTGAAATCCTGCAGTGGCAGTCTTCGTTTCGTACCTACTATGCTGACAGCCTCAGATGGTGAGATGTTGGACCTTCAACTGTACCACTTGATGTGATGTGTTTTTGATGCGGAGGAGAGTGAACAGGGATTAGTTGAATAACCGTCCTGGGTTCAGAATCCCTGGGACCTTTTTTACCACACCCGCTTGAATGATGATGTGGAAAACTAAATTTGAAGGCTCAGTTTTCCTTGCGTTTCCCCATTGTCAGAGTCACTATGATTTGGTGCAACCTTTCCAATTTTTAAGTTTCGACTTTTGGATGATCTCCATACATCTTCATACCAAGCTCGACTTCATTTTTGGAGTCTTCTACCATCTATTCCACCATATTATGGACATTTATGGACCATCTTCTTCCACCATATTCCATCAATTTCCATCATCCATCAGGCGCTGGGATCTGAGGCCTCGGACATTTATGTGGGCGAGGAAGGCAAAGACCTTGTGAGCCAATCTCTGCAGGGAAAATCCGAGGTCCGCGGTGTAAAAAAAAACACCGGGGTGTCGATGAAGCAATGCTTTTGGGATGGTGATATGGTATGATATGGCGAAAATCAAGAGAACCAATGAGAAACTTCAACATGTTCACCATGTGGAAAACTGAGATCGTCCAAGAAGGTTCGAGGACGTTCACTTTTTTTCAGATCCATTGTTTTTTCAGGCAGGCGAAGAAGCCTGGAAGATGAAGTTTGCCATCAGGCAGGAACCCAAGTTCTACAGTCTCTTTGGACGATTTCTAGCACCCTCAAACCACCTCACCATGAATGATGGTAAATCATGGTAAATCCCATTGTAAAAGCGGGGAAAAACATGAAAGATGGTGGCTTTAAATGAGGTGCACAAATCTCTCTCATCCATGTTGCTGTGGCTCCAAACCGATTGCTTTCCAGGTCCGTTCGCCCCCCTGTTTTTGAGCCACGCTCACTTCATCTTGTTGAATCCATTGGTAGGTAACTAGATGTAACTAGTAACTAGTTTTACGTAACTGCTACATCGATCACCGGGATCACCGGTTGTGGTATGTCCAGGTGCAGCACGAACCCGGTGATCATGCGCTTTGATGGGCGCGTCATCGCACGGGAAGTTGGAGATCCAACCTTGACGCGGATCCATTTGGTGTCCGTCTGCGGTATTGACTTTGCATCACGGGTACATGACCATGTGGATTTGACGCACTACATTAAGAACTGGAAGGAGGTGTACATCTTTGATGAGCCTTGACTGACTTGGGATCTGTGGCGGAAAAGGCTTGAAGTCTTTCATGGCTGATACATTTTGGTACCTTTGAAATGGAGAAACAAAAGGAGGTGATTATATATGTCTTCATTTTTGTTCCAGCATGTTTTAAGTATGTCTTCAGCACTGGCTTGCTGGGTCCTGGTTTCATGCCCGCATCATGCCCACATCGCATATATATATATACATACATTGTATATATAGATATGTATGCATCGTGTTTGGCAGGCACTGGGTGTGCATTATCATTAGGGTGAGTATGTAAGCTGATGAATCCATTTTGGCTCAAGTCTGAGCCAAACTGGCTTCATCGTTCTTTCTTTTGCTGGGGTACCCACGCCACTTCTAGGGAGTTACCCTAGGTTCAGTGGTTTCTCGTTCCTCTACTAGGGCGTTACCCTAGAGTACAGAGGTTACGAAGGTGGGAGGTCACCCCCCTCGATGCCAAGGGCCTCCATCGTCGTTCGGCCCGGTTGGAATGAGGCGGCCCACACGGATGTGGAGCTGCTTCATGCAGCTGCCTACTACGAGTTCAAGACGCACGTGGAGAGCCTACTCCAGCAGGGCTTGGTGGCCGAGGCCACCCGGTTGTGGGCTTCTGTGTGCCAAATTGATCATTTCCCCCCACATCCAATTGGGTTGGGGGTGCAGGGACTTCCCCCTTTCAGACGGTCACCTTGCATGGAAGAAAACTGTAGGAGGTGTACTGAGTATCAGGGAGGATTCAAGTTCCCTTGGATCGGCACATGGAACAGCTCAGCTGTCTTGGCTCTGCCCGGGAGTGACCCGCGGCGTGCGTGGCAATCCTACTATGATCGCCTGGGCGAGGCGAAGCTGGATTTGCTACTCATCGAGCCGCTGCGGACTCATTGGACGGCTCGGGACTTTGCGCCGGACAACATCTTTGGTTTGGTCGCCTTCATCGAGCACAATGCCGATAGCATGGTCGACCTCACCGAACTTTGGGATGTTTGGAGGACCTGGCAGTCCCCACAGCGTGGATGGAGGGACCCATCCATGGTGCCCATCCCGGCTGACCTGGTTGCGTGGAGAGCACCACGGGCCAGAGCAGTTCGGTCGTTATGGGGTTGGCTCGGTGCCATGGAGGCTGGGGAGGAACCCTTGCCACCTTGCAAGGCTTGTGGACTGCCGACACCTGAGCTCTGTGAGCGATGCTTCTCCTCAGTGTGCAGTACCTGTCCACCCTCCCAGTGTCCAGGATGTCACCCCGTCTTGCGTCGAGACCCATCTGCAGCAGCTGCGGCCTAGTGATGTGTGTTTGTTACCTGATGATACTGAGGTGTGGTCTGCAGTTTCAGGCCCAGCCCGTACGCTCCAAACCTTGGCGGCGGTGGTGTCAGGAGTCGCCATGGAGTACCATCCAGGAGCCTATGCGGTGCAGGCTGCTGGTGAGGCTCCACCTTGTGCAGAGACGGCGATGGAGAGGGTGGCATCCACCCGTGTTGAACAGTGGCGAGCTCAATGGGGACTACATGATGAGACCGACTTCGCATATGCGTTTGCATCCTATGACAGCGCAGTGGCACATGGAGGACACCATGTGGCAGATGCGTGGTTGCAAGCGCGCTCCAAGACTGCAGAAGCTGACCTCATCCCTCAAGCGGCTGCCGTGGCTGAAAGCTCGGGCTCCAGAGACCGGCCAACGACATGGCCTGCGCCCAAGGCGTCCATGATGAAGAAGAGCAAGATGGTCCAGATCAACCAGAGACTGTGCTGCTGCGAGCTGCGGCATTGAGGAAGGCCTTTTCTCAAGCCAAGGTTATGCGTCCTCAAGGGGAGTTGACCCCTGAGAGGTACGCTCAGTGGCAAGACGCTCTGGATACCCTGTCCAAGCGGAAGGTGACGGAGGCCGAAGGAGCGACGGTGGTGAACGCCCTGAAGTCCTGGGCTGAGTTGCGGGCCTACATGGAGCAGAAGGACCGCCTGTTCCCACCGGATGCATTGGACCTCTACGGCTTCTTGCAGAACGGCACGTCGGGGCCTTACCGAGCCTTTCATTCCTTGAAGTGGTTCTCCAAACATGGCCGGTTGCAATGGGACTTCAGTGATGTACCAGTCCCAGCTCGCAAGAATCCACCCAAACAGGCAAACCCAGAACAGGCTGTCGCAGTTGAGCCCCCAATGATTGCAGCGCTTGAAGAGAAGATTCAATCGTTGTACGAAGCAGGGGACCCGCGTTGGAGGGGCTTACTGTCCAGTTGGCCGGTTACCTTTGGTGTCCTGCGATACCAGCACATCATGCGTGCCAGGCCAGTCAAAGTGACCCCCAGCTCCTTTCATGGCTACTGCACGAAGGGGAAGCAGAAGGCCAACAGGGGCGGGTTCTCCTTCAGCATCCCGGCCACATTCGTCAATGGATGGGCTTGGGGCTCGGCCTTATTCAGGGACTACAGCAGTCTGGACAAGGCTAAGCAAGCCGCTTCTGGGTTATGCTTTGATGCGGAGGGCACCGCATACACATTGAAGTTCGTCAATGAGCTCAATCGTGAGGTCTTTGAGCATTTGGTCCAGAATACAGAGGATTTGTCTTCCTATTCCTGGCGGCGAGCAGCGCCCACAGTGGGCACTTTGATGAAGCTGACGCCTCTCGAGCTATGTTCACTGGGGGACTGGGCAGATCGTTCCCAGATCCCAAAGGAGGCGACAATGCCTATGCACTACAGTGCAGCTAGGTATGAGTCTTCATTGAGGACCAAGCACATTGTGAGGTTGGCCATGGAAAAGCTGCTTGCCCATGAGTCATGGGAGACCATCCCAACAGAGACCTATGCTGAGGCCCTGGAGTATGCGCGCCAGAACGTTGACAAGGTGCTGAAGCAGGAATCCAGGGTCATTTGGGCAGCTCCTTTGACGAAGGCGGAGATGCAGGCGCGTTTCCAGCTGTCGGAGGCTCTCAAGCTCAAAGCTGCGGCCAAACGAGAGGAGGCACAAGCCAAGGGTGGCCTGTCTGCGATGCCGGCATCCCTCAACGGGAAGGTGCTGAGCGCATTCATGAAGAATGGGGCGCCTATTTGTGGAGCCTTTCAGACAAGGTCTTGCCCCTTGGAGAAGGAAACGTGTCCTGGTCGCCATGCATGCGCCATTCTGCGCAAAGCTGGACGAGTTTGTGGTGGAGGCCATCCGGCATGTGAATGCCACGACAAGAAGTTCATCAAGGTGGAGGAGATGACTGGCGAAGGGCCTGGTTCGGGATCTGCTAAGGCCAAGCCTACTAGCAAATCCACGGAGGAGCGACCTCCGGAGCCAGCTGCCCCTCCGAGGGCGTCAGTGAGGCGCTCAAGGTCCCCACAAGAGCCGCCGTCTAAGGCACCGCCAGCGAAGAAGGCCAAAGCAGCCCCAGCTCCACCTCCAGCGCCATTGCCAGCCCTGGTTACTAGTTCGGAAGAAGAAGAAGTTGAAGTCGAGGAGGAGGACCTTCCGATTCCAGAGGCGCTGGATACTCGAGGGCCCGACCAGAAGTTCGACAGGTTGGCGACAGTCCATGGCAAGACAGCGGAGAGCCCGAGCCTTATTTATCAGAATAGGGCAGGGGGCAAGCTGTGGCTGAGTGGAATCCCAACCAGGAACACGGCAAATCGCTTTCCAAAGGGAGTTACCCTTCAGATTGCGTGCATGGCCGAAGCCCCATCATCCAGAGGAGGAGTGGTGCTCACAGATGCCCTCTTGAAACACCTGTGTGTGGCCCATGGTGGTTCAAGGAACAGGGACTTCGAAGAAGGCAGGCGCTCGTTGGACATTCCGGGGATCATCCATGAAGAGGGTATGAGGTCGTGGGTGGACACGACTCTCAGGACCAGCTCCCTCAGGAACCCGTTCCCAGAGCCCTGTGGCTACATTGCGACACTTCGTTCAAAGGTCCACCTGGAGCTCAACAACGGCCAGACCCTCTGCTCCCACAAGCAATCTGCCGAGCGTGCAATCCGCTTGGTGAAGCCAATGACGACGCAGGACATGAGGGAGGCTATGGCTTGGGGCCGCGCTTTTTGTGACGGTTGTTTGGTGCGAGCAGCAGCGAGCTGGCATCCACGCTGACCTTGTCAGGAGTGGCGCACCAGAATTCATTTGAATAAGAGACGCACAGGGCCGATTTTGGTAAGCTGATCAATGTGGTCCATAGCTTGCCCGTAGGCTAACATGCATTTGAACCATTTGAGAGCTTGACTTCTGCGTGGAAAATGGCCCTATCAACATCCGGGAGGATGAAGTCATGACAGGCTGTGATAACTAGTCTTACCGGTATGTCATGAGGTGGCTTACACAGGTATCTGTGAGGACAAGCTACATGATGTGCGCCGGGGATAGAGACTAGGATACAGTCTGTCGTACCCCTGAGGAACAGGGGAGTTCTTGTCTTACCCCCCCTGTCACCTCCTTCTGTCCCTGGATGGCAGGTGATGTGCAGCATGCGGGAGGCATGTTTGGGGGTGAGCAGCTTTGAATGTTCAAGTCATACAAGGAGTTACCTTGAGAAAATGACTAGTGTTCGATTGGTTCCGGTGGAGAGTACCACCATTCAGGAAACCATGGAGTCTCTAGGGCTGAATTTTTCGTTGGACCCCGTTGTGACCAAGGCGTTGTTGGCCACCAAGATTCAGAACCTTGAGGAGTTTCGGTTCCTCTTTGAGGATGAGTCGAAAGTCGACACGTTCTTGGCCAAGTTGCAACTCGGTGATGATAGGTTGATTCAAGGCTCTAGGCTGCGTAGAGCTTGGACTGCAGTGACCTTGTACTACAAGAACCAGGACCAGGATAGGTCCAAGATCAGTGTCAGCGATCTTGATACTATGTTGGCCGACACGGAGTTGCGTGATGTCAAATCCAACTTCTGGGTTCGGTATCGGATGAGATTCCCACCAGAGATCCATCCAGCTGATGCCACACTCTCTCGGATCAGCAGGGAGCTATCCAAGAGGATGCTGTGCGTATATAACTTGTGGAAGGTTCGCACTTTGCAGTACCAGCTCCACACGACTCAGAAGAAGCGCAAGCTGGCGGAAGGGCTCTATACTGAGGAGGCTGAGGACGAGGACAAGATCCCTCATGACTGGGAGAACTATCTGGATCGTCTCCTCACTTTGCTGGTCGCATATGCCATGGCGGGAGTGACCCCCAGGGCTAATGTGCGGGATGCCTCGGCGGAGAAGACCCTTGGCGCCGACTCGACAACCTTCGTGGAGGTGCCGCTGGATGTCGTCATGCAATATTTCTACAGAGCGAAGCGTCAGTCAAGTGCACTGCCGTTGTCACAGAGGTTAGCCTGGCTAGAATCTCGTGACCTTGAGGATCGCTCCGATTGGGTTGCCAAATTTCGGGAATCATCCAAGTCCTTGGGGGAGGTCATCAAGGAGACCTGTGTGGCACGTGATGCCCATTGGGTACCACACGCGGTGCCCGGAGCACTCAAGGCAGAGGCGAGCAAGCCCACCACAGTGGCTGCGGCAGCAGTTCAGCCACCATCCCAGTTTGCGCTGGGCAAGCCGGTCAGTGGCAAGAAGGTGGCCAAGGTGATGCGCGATGGCTCCAAGATTTGTCAGGCCTTCCAACATGGACAGTCCAAGAACCCCAAAAGCTCTTGCCCCCAAGGTCAGCACAAGTGTGGTATCGTGGTTCGTGGTGAACGCATTTGTGGTATGCCGGGGCATGGAGCCATCCAATGTCGGGCGAAGATTTCGCCATGACGGGGCCCAGCGGGAGAGGCGGGCACTTCTGCTGGGCAGGATGAGGCAAGACCCGTAGACAGAGTTGACTGTCAGCTGCCACGGATGGCGGACCTTTATGCGGGGCCTAAGACACCTCTGTCCAAAGCCTTCATCTTTTGTGGTTGGGAGACCATTTCCGTGGATTGGATGTTGGATAGGAGTCATGACCTATCCAACAGTCTCAGGCAGCAATCGTTGCATGAGCAGTTGCAGTCCGTGTGCTTCATCGCAGCAGCTTTGGATTGCTCCACCAAGAGCCGCGCGAGGGAAATTCCGCGGGACTTTGGTGATGGGCGCCCACCACCCCGGCCGTTGCGATCTGAGCAACACCCGCTGGGTCTCCCTGAGCTAACAGGGTCTCAGCTGACACGGGTGGAGCAGGACAATGCGGCTGCAAGCTTCGTGCTGTCCGAGATCGATCAGTTGGTGGACAGGGGTGGTGGATCAGTCCGCGAGAACCCATACAACAGCCTCCACTGGTGGACACCGGATGAGGTGGCGATGTGGGAGAGCGGTCGCTGGTCCGATCAGCGGTATTCAGCCTGCTGCTTTGGTGGTGCCAGATCGAAGCTGCAGCGGCTGCGCCACAACATTGCAGAGATCGCCCAATGGCCTAGAGCTGACTGCAACCATTTCCATGATCCCCAGGAATGGGAACCTTGGGTGCAGGATGGTAAGCGCCATTTTCCTTCAGCTGAGGAGTCCGAGTATACAGCAGAGCTATGTTTTGCAATTGCCACGGCAGCTTCGTGGTGGGCAGTGCGTGTTGGACACGCCAAGCTCTATGTGCCGAGGTCCCCATCGCCGAGCTGCACCGGACATCGGGACCATTGGCTTGACCTCGATCCCAGAGCACTTCGTGAGTGGGCTATGACCCCACTAGCCATCAGCCTGGGTTTGAGACCCTTGGACACAGCTGAAGCAGCTAGGGTGCCCACGAGAGCATGTGTTGAAGATGTATTGCAACAGGGTGCACTTCCCCCCGGTCATGTGTATGTGGGGCTTGGAAGTCATACTCACCGCCTGCCGACCACCAAGTGGAAGTCTCCATGGCAGTTGGGCGTGAATTGCACCCCTCAAGACTGGGTCCCCTACTACGTCCAATACATCAGGGAGACACTCTGGTGCGAGTTGGATGAGCTCGAGGGGTCAGTGCTGGTCTGTGATTGCCCAGCGGCCCAAACTTGCGAGGCCGACCTCCTAGCCGGATTGATTTTTGATCGCTTGAGTGAGCAGGGCCCGCGGGGTGCCCCACAGGTGGTCCAAGGTCAGCATGGCAGGAGTCACCAGGGAGTTACCCGACGTGTCCTCTTGTCGAGTGTAGCGCAGGCTACAGGCATCCCTTTTGGGCCATTCTACATTCTGCAGGAGTCCTTGGCGCTAGCTTTCAAAAAGCTTTATCCAGGAGAGTGGTTCGAGGGAGTGGCCATCCCCTTCGTGGAGGACTTAGTGAACCAGCACCCACTTGACCTGTATGTGCGATGGCGCCACCAACAGGGGCTGGACATGGAGGGCAGCTGCAACCCCGTGTTGGCAGCCCCTTCAGTGCGGCAGAAGATGAGGACGGCAGAAGGTCAGCAGGTGGGAGCGATCAACCACAGAGCGGCGCTGGCCCCTCTTCTGCCCTTTCACCTTCAGCCAGACCAGCACTTTGAGCAAGCCCTTCAGCTCAGCATGCAACCGTTGCCTACTGAGGGGCTTCCCATTTTGGACGATGACCTGAGGTTTGCTGCATCTTTCTCCAGCCTGCCAGGAGTGGACCTGCGTAGGTTGCGAGAGCGCTCCATGGGCATCTTATCTGAGATGAAGAGACGGTGGAGCTCGATCACGGCCCATTTGAGACACAAACAGACTGAGGCCATCAGGACAGCAACAATGCAGCGTGATATCGGTTTCACTGCAATTCTCCTTCTTGTAGCCAATTGGGGCGATGTGACACTGCCAGCAGGCCTGTGTATGGGGCTTCCAGCAGTGGGGTATGCGCCGCCATATGGCATTTTTCCGGAACAAGTTGCCACCCGTTTGACGCGTGAGGATGTACTCCAGGACTGGCAGAGCCACAACAACACCATTTTGGCTCGGCTCAAGCCAGATGCCGATGATGAGTTTTTGTTGCAGCAAAGCCTCAAAGATGCAGAGAAGGGATTTTGTGGTTTGCCCATGACTGCAGAGGAACTGCAGCGTTGTCTGGGTGCGGAACCCTACCGGTTGATCCCTCGATGCGTCATCACACAATCCTCGGGGAAGCAACGAGTGATTGACGACGCCTACGTTGGCTTGCAATCTGAGCGCTCCAGTGACGCGAACAAGCTCACCCTTTGCTCAGCGCTGCGGCCGGCCCAACACCTGCAGTATGCCTACGCCTTTGGGAGTTCACCCAACTGGGAGGCAGAAGAATGGGAGTCCGGAGGTGAGGATTGGCCGGATGCCTATCGTTTTTGCCCTATGAGTTGGGATGAGGCTTTGTGCTGCATTGTGGCCTTCTTCCATCATGAATGGCAACAACCAGCGTTTATGATTTACACAGGTTTGCTATTTGGTCTTCCTCTTGCGGTCACATCTTTCAATCGATACAGTCGTTTTGTGGAGGCTTTATCACGTCGATTTGCCTTTTGTTTGACCAGTCTGTATTTCGATGATGCTCACTTGACAGACCGCAAGTCGTGCCGAGGATCAGGTCAGAGAGCTATGCAGACCCTTAACAACCTTTTGGGCACACCATTTTCCGAGGAGAAATGTCAGAAGATGCAGAGTACCGGCACCTTCCTGGGCCTGGATCACGACTTCAGTCAAGTCCATTTGAAGGGTCTGGTTCAGTTTTGGGCCCGTGAACGCATCGAGACCAAGTTGCTTCACCTCATGCAGACCGCCGAGGACTCCGGCAAGCTGCAACCAGGGGTGGCGGCCAAGCTCTACGGCATCGCCAACTTCTTTGAGCTTGGCGTGTGGGGGCGCATTGGCTGCGGTGGCTTGGCCCCAATCAAGCATAGACAGCAGGAGCGCTCCGCAGAGTTAACTGAGGAGTTGCGCCAAAGCTTTGACCTGCTGCGCACTGTCATCACCACCCGTCCCTCTCGCCACATTGAGATCTGGCCACATGCAGGGCTCCGCTTCCTCGCTGCTTCGGATGCTGCGTTGGAGAGCCCAGGTCAGGGGACTGGGGGCTTCTTGGTGGTGTGGCATGACGATCACCGGCAACACCGAGAGGCGTTTGTTTCTCTCATTCCCCCATTGGTGTATAGCCTATGGGAGCCTGGTGACAAGAAGATTGCCCAGTTAGAGCTGCTGCAAGTGCTTTACGCTTTGTTTTCTCGGCCGTCCAGATTTCGAGGCAGACGAGGTCTCTGGTTCATCGACAACACAGCAGCGTTGATGGCATTGATTCGAGGTCGTTCTGACAATGCAGATTTAGAGCATATGTCACGGTTGATTCATGTTACTCTTTTTGGTCTTAAGGCTTGGTTTTTCTGGGAGTGGATCCCTAGTAAGGCCAACTGGTCTGATGAGATCAGCCGTGCAGGCCTCCAGGCAACATGGCACAAATGCCATGGGTTCACCACGCATTTTGCATTTTTCCCCTTCGAGATTTGGTCTCTACCACTTCCCGCGTTTCTCCGGGTTGTGGAGTTTCTCTGAGTGCTTTGGGATGAAGTGCATTGGGAGAGATTCAACCTGTGTAGCCTCCTGAGTTTACAGGAGTGCGGAACAGGGTGTACGGATCCAACCAGTGCTGCTGTGCAGGAGACTACCTGCACAGCGTTCCAAAGCACTATCCTGCGAGGAGCAGGTTGAGACCGCACGAAGAGTTTGGGAAGAAAAAACCATGCGGATGTGAGCCTGGATAGAGTGAACCTTTTGAGTATCTATGCTTTACATCTCACAACTAATGTATATATATATATAATAGTGTATAATATATACACGTGTTAATCAACGCTTCAACTGGTATTGGTAAAGTTATTCATTCTTGTTCGTAATCTTCCCGCTTTGGTTTGTCGAATGCCAATGTTGTGTTTGCTCTCGATTGCTCTCGCAATATCCACTCCATTTCAGTGAAATCATCTGAGACAAAATGAGTTTTTTCCATAGTTTTTCCATGTTTTTCATGGCCCTGGGACACTGGAGACCCCAGGAAGAGGGCTATCCCAGCGTGAAACACGGCCGTGACTTCGAGCTCAGCGGGACGCCTGCGCAGCTCAACGTCTCCAAGACCCTCTACGACTTGTGACTCGGCAGAACTCGGCACAGCCCAGGGGACCAACAGATTGTACCCTCTGGTAAACTAACAAAAAACAATGGAAAATCACAATTTTTAATGGGTAAATCCACTATAAAAAACCATTTTCAATAGCTATGTTAAATTACCAGAGGGTAGGTTGATGGTCATTGATGGTCATTGATGGCCATTGATGGTCATTGATTCATTGTGATTCATTATGATTCATTTGGTAGAGAGTTAACCACGTATAGCGTTGGCTTTCCAACATGAGCTATACAGAGTCACTTTTGTCCAAAATGATTTCATGCAGATCTTAAGCCATAGTGCCATACTACATTTCGATTCGTTGCAGCCTCTCGCTGAGGAAAAAGATGTGCAGGTTGCGGCTGCGTGCTCAAGACGATTTAGGCCTGGCTCCAGTGACGAAGTGGCTGTGGGTCACAATTTCAGAACCCAAGTCCAAAATTTGAGAGATGTAGATCGACAATCTGGACCCACAGAAATCTCGAAGCTGTGAATGGTTTAGTTTCTTCAAACTCGGCTATGGTACTCATGGTATGGATTGGAGTTCTAATTGTATATATAATACAATATAATACAATGCAATATGATATAATATATATATATAATTATAGAATATTTCTATAATATAAATGTATCATTGTATTTCAAAGAACTCCAGGGAAGCTGTTTACTCCGGCTTTCTGTTCGCAAGGAATCCAGGTGGTGGTGGAGGTGGGCCTAGGGCTGGGCGTCTTTGCCGGTGACGCCCTCGGCATTGGCAACAATGTGCGCCAGCTCTCGGCCGCTGGGCGAAAAGCCGTGGAAGGGTTGTGGGAGGCTTGAACTATGTGGAAATATCTTGAAATATCTTGAAATACTCAGAATGAGCAACATTTCATCATGTTTTATAATGTTTTATGTTTTATCCATAAGTGGTCCATAAGTCTTGCAGATTTCTTGTGTTGCAGTTTTGATTGAAACTCAATACCGCTGAATACAGCAAAATTCGCAACCTCTGGATTTCTGCTCCAAGGCTATGGCGATGCAGAAAGTCTTGGAGGAGGAGCAGTTCAAAAACATTTGCCTTGTGGTGCTTTCCTTGTACCTCAGCAGCCTCAGCGGCCTCAGCGGCCTCAGCGGTCTCAGCGAAATGTTTGGTGTGGCCATGGCCATGAAGAAACCCAATGGTGGGTGTCATCGAGGGAATCAACAAACATGGGGGAGAATCACCACATGGGAATCATCGAGGAATGATGGTCTTTCGGTCTTTCTTCCTTTTTGGAGTATAAGACTAAGATACACCACATTGCTTCCATCAGACAGAGGATTTATCACCCCCAACCAGATGGAGAATCCCTGAAAGTGGCCGAGGCCCGTGTTCTATCAGAACGACAACTACGACGTCTATGAGAAGATTTTCAGTCGTGAAGACAGTGGCTACCAGGGCACCGTTCCAGTTCTGTTGATGGACCAGGTCGGATTGTCCGAAACCAGCTGATTTTGTTGAAGCAGTGCAACATTCAGGGACTGAGCGGCTAAAGATGGCTCAAGCAAACACGATCCGCTTTCGCACTTTAGAGGAACTTCGGGTCTTGAAGTCTTGCGAGTTCTCAATGTTTGAGAAGACCGCCATTTTGCCAAGCTACCCCAATCTCATGCAGGACATGCACGCCATCGCAGTGGCAGCTGCTGGTTGCTTGCTGGCATGATCTGGCATGCTAGCTGTTCGGAATGGTCACCGTCTGATAAATTCCCGAATATTCCCGAATTGCGGAGGTCTGAAGAATTGGTCTCCCCCATGATAGATTGGTGAATATTGGTGAATATTGGTGAATCTTGGTGAATATTGGTGAATATTGGTGAATCTTGGTGAATATTGGTGAATCTTGGTGAATATTGGTGAATATTGGTGAATATTGGTGAATCTTGGTGAATATTGGTGAATCTTGGTGAATATTGGTGAATCTTGGTGAATATTGGTGAATATTGGTGAATATTGGTGAATATTGGTGAATCTTGGTGAATCTTGGTGAATATTGGTGAATCTTGGTGAATATTGGTGAATCTTGGTGAATATTGGTGAATCTTGGTGAATATTGGTGAATCTTGGTGAATATTGGTGAATCTTGGTGAATATTGGTGAATCTTGGTGAATATTGGTGAATCTTGGTGAATATTGGTGAATCTTGGTGAATATTGGTGAATCTTGGTGAATATTGGTGAATCTTGGTGAATATTGGTGAATATTGGTGAATATTGGTGAATATTGGTGAATATTGGTGAATCTTGGTGAATCTTGGTGAATATTGGTGAATATTGGTGAATATTGGTGAATCTTGGTGAATATTGGTGAATCTTGGTGAATATTGGTGAATCTTGGTGAATATTGGTGAATATTGGTGAAAGTGTTAACTTTCAAAGCTGATCAGTGCAGGTATGGGCTTCACGGTTGGTGAGCTCAACCCTGCGGATTCCCATGGCATCTTCGGGGAGCCTGGAAGCCAAGGATGAAACATCCAGGGAGATTGAGCCAGGGCCGTCTGGTTTTTTGAACATGAGAAGTGGAGGTGCTCAGAAAACCAGGTCTTGCCTACTAACTTCATGTATTTCATGTACAGAAAATCCTGGTGGGGTTTCTGATGCATTCGATTTTTGACTCCGCGAGTAGCTGAGGTATTGGCAGAACTTTGGGCCTGGCACAGAGGAGACTTTCGCGTCTAGAGTTCCCAAGGAAGAGCGCATGGATGAATATGGATGCCTCTGGTCTTTGGGGATGTTTCCTCCGCCGTCTGGAACACCCACAATTTCATTTTTTGGGATGTGCAGTCCATCTCTTTGGTGGCCAGAAGGTTACTGCAGGGTTATGTACAATGCACACTGCTCTGGTCGCAGGAAAAGCTGGCCTTAACCACCTGTGGTTTGTTGACGCAGCATCATGCCGCCATCTCAAAGCTTGGGGCACTGGAGGTGGTTACCCTCTTGTAAGCAGATATGGCAACGGAAACTAACTTGGAAACTTGGAAATTAAGGCTTACATTAGATTGAACACGTACGGGTGGAGTTTTTGCGCGTAGCCACTCAGCCACTCTACCAGTGGTGGCTGAGTGGTGGCTGAACATCCATTTTCGAACGGCCTTACAATAGACACTGCTACCATCTTTTGTGGCATGAGAATCATATTCTGCGGCAAGGATGCCAAATGACAATTTTTCCAGTGCTGGATAGCCAACCAGCTTGACAATTTGAATTAGCGCAGCATGAAACTGTTTGGAACTGGGCAAGCCTTGGTTTGACAGACATAGTATTACATGATCTTATATGTATTCTTTCAGGGTTGCCAAATAATAACACAAACCATGAAAAATCAGACTTTCTGATCTGGATACTTTTTTTTGGCAGCAACGTGTAAAACGGTGTCTTGATCTTTTCATTGTTCAACCTCCCAAAACTTAGGAACCAAGGGGAGGTGGTTGCATCCAAAAGTATGGATTAAAACTTGGGAACCCCCGGAATCTGTGTTTTTTTTTTTCCGTGCAGAATTCACTTTCCGAATTTTGACCCCTGGAACCACCTGAAAACCCCAGCTGCGACGTCGTTTCACGAGGCGGTGAATCCTTCAGTGACGGATAAGAATAAGTACATTGCAGTAGATGTACCTGAGCCCACCCGGTGAAGCTCTTATTAGGTCCGGTATGGTCCGGTCAAGGCAAACATCCACTGAAATCCACTGAACATATGGACATTTTCATTTTAGATGTATTCGGATATCCGGGTATCCGAAAATTGGGGATAAACTCCCAAAGAACCACACCAGTTTGGTTGACACTTTCTTTCACCGTTTTCACGATTCCTGGACCCCCTCATATTTTCTTTGGGTTTACTACACACAACTTTGGGCCGACAGCCCTTCCTATATCCCAACAGTCGTCAAGTGGAACCTAAAGAACTCACCTTTTGTTCTGTTTCACTCAGTGCAGGGCCAACGTTTGCCTTGTCACTCTGGATGACCTGCAACTGAATCTGCAGTGTTTTGCTAGAATTTTGATTAACAAAATATATTGCATGAAACAGGCAGACATGGTGACTTCTCAGGGAAAGGCCATCCCAGGTTTTAGCGAGTCAGAAGTAGACCCCGAGTCAAAAAAGGCATGATGATCACGATGTCCAATGAAGTCTGGACATTTTGAGTTTTGGTTGTGCTTTGTTTTGTGTTTGTGGGCTGAGCTCAGTTCATTTCCAAGTCAGCTCCCGGAGTTTTTCTCAAGGCGCGGCCGGAAGATTTTTGTTTCGAGCCATGGCCATGGAGGATGCAGTGATGGAAGAACCTGAGGACCCTGCGAGCTTCGCAGATCTCTCGGTGATCTTTGCCGTTTGTGCTGGAAAAGCTGGACGCTGTGGCATTGCCTATGTGGATTTGGAAGATGCAGAGCGGGTGCTATGTGTGGCGGACGTGATGGATCCCGACTTTACTCAGTTGGAGCGCGGCACAACTGCAGATTGAGACAAACTTGAACCGGTGATTCAAACACAACCTGCCAGAATAGGACAGGTTTTTTCTTGGTTTGATTGCACATCATTTGTTGCCTTTTATTGCGCTGCCAAGTCGAAGTAATGTAGTTGCATCTTGGCACATTTCCTTCCCAATTTCCATGCCTCACCATTTCGCGATGTGTTGCGCTTGCAGCGGGAGTCAAGTGAAAGAACTGGAGTCGAGTCACCCAATATCTCGCGCCACAGGTTGGTTTGAACACATAAATCGTGCGAGATGATGATCTAATGATTAGAAATCGACCTTCATATTTTTTTGAGATGGTTTGAACATTTTGAACTCAGAAAATCACCAAGCTCAGTGGAGGTTCAGCAGAGGTTGAGGTTTCCAAAAAGGCAAAAAGGTTTCTACGCCTCAGCAAGGTCTGAAGCAGCAGATCCTGGGCCAGCGGCACTTGGGCGCCGTGTCGGCACCACGGCAGGGGCTGTGCGTGTTGCCCTCGCGGTCGCCGGCGGAGTTGGTGGAGACGGCGGCACGGCCCCTGACTCAGGTGGGGGATGTGCTGGGCGGTCTGGGAGTAGCGGATCAAATTCTTGTAGCATCAAGAGTCAGAATTGGAATCAGATAGGTTTTAATAAGTTCATGATGGGTTGATGCTCACTTGTTACACTTGTTACAATTGTTCAAAGTTGTGGTTCTTGAGCGGTGCTTAGCCAATCATTGTCAACTGTTTATGTCAATGTCAAAGGTTGATCACTCTTGTGGTGGATGGTGGTGCATGGTGCCAGACATTGCCTGAAGCCCTTGGCAGGATGATGATGGGAACGAGCCCTTCCCCACTACCTTGCTGAAGGCTGGCGATTTTGCTGTGGAAGGAGCAAAGCCGCGACTGGCGCAGCTGTGGGCAAAGCTTGACCAGGATTTGCCATGCAACATGGCGTGACCAAGTGACCTTAGTCAAGTATATCAAATGCAAAAAATGCAGACATGCACAGTAGAACTGCAGTGGTTGTGGACGTTGTGACATGGTGACATCGTTGAAGAGGAAAGAGAATAATAGTCTAATCATGTCTAATAGACATGAACAATTGCACAAGTTACTCAGTGTTTGATGTCAACATGTTTCTTGGGTTCCTTAGCTCCAAACCTTTGCTTTTGAGGCACAACCCCTCGCAGCAGTCCGCTGGCAGCTTTGGATGGAAATGAGCAGTTGCTTCGTGCGGCTGGCGGTCTATTGCGCTTCCTTGAGCAGAATGCGACTCTGCTGGGGGATTTGCAGGGCCGATGGCAAGGGCCGTGTGTCCAGGACAGCTCTCAGTTGCAGAGATTAAAGAAATATAAAGAAATGTAGCGAAGGTGAATGCATGTTGAACATTGTTGCACTATGTCTGATTTGACCTTTTGGTTGTTTGGAGGACATTCGCATTTTCTCACCGGATGATGCTGTGTTTGTCGATACCCAGACCATGATCGCGCTTCAGATTTTCCAGGACCCTAGGGCTAGTCCTTCAACAAGGTGGCGAAGTGTGGAGCTTCCCCGCTTTACAATGTTTACAATTCCTATTGTTTTCTTATGTTTTCTTGCTTTTCAAGGCACAACATCTTTGGATATCTTTGGTACATACTACCGATACTAGCCATGTTCCCAAGTTGGATCTCGGAGTCTTTGGCTATTGGATCAATTGGATCGCTCCGCTAAAGGCCCTTTGTTGCTCCCTTATTTGAAGCAGATCCAAGCCCTTGAGATCCAAGTCCAAGTTGTGTCTTGTAAGGTATCGGTATGGGTTAACTGTGGGGTATGTTCACTGATGTGCAAATAGAATTTGTTCAACACCGGCATCATTCTAGGATTTTCTCGACGACCCATATGGTCATATGAGATCATATGAGTCATATCTTCAAAGACGGGACACCTAAACCCACCAAGTGATGATCTTCCAAAGTATAAGTCAGATTAAGTAAGACCTAACCCATCCGCCATGGATGTCATGGATGTCATGGATGTCATGGATGCCAATGCCATGGGACTCAGGAGCAGCACAACCTGTTGATGAGGGCCAGCAATAGGCCTTCTGAAGGCCTCTCGTTGTGGAGCCTCCTGGAGCCCCTGGTGGCCTCCCCGTCGGGTGCCAAGCAGCTGAGACGTTGGTTGCAACAGCCCAGCACCTTGGAAGCCTTGGAACTTCAGAGAGTTCAGAGGTTGGATTTTGGAAGCCCATGGAATTCTGGTTTGATGATTTGAGTACATTTATATAATGGATATCCATTTCATGCTGTCTGCTAGAGATGAATTATGTACATAGAGATGACTCAAGATGACTCGTATTGAAGAATTGGATCACTGACATCCAGTGCACAAGTTGGGACAATTTGACAAGATCATCTTGTGCATGCAGATACAACCCAAATTTGAAAGATTTTGAGTGGTTGTGATGGTATTTTCTTCCATTCTTTTTTCCAGCCAGATTTTAAGGAGATCTTGGCCGGTGTTATTTAGAGGCTTACTTTTCATGATCATTCCCACAACTTTGGGAAAGTCAATGAAACGTAGGTGGAAAAAAGACTAAACCATCCATATTTACCACATCAAACCACACTAAACCAATCTAAACCACACTAAGCCACATTAAACCACAATCTAAACCACACCAAGCCACATGAAATGCAGCGTTTTGATCCATTTTGGCTGGGAAACTCTTCCCCCATTCCAACACGGCCGAGGGGCATGGCCGAGGCCGCCAGGTGGAGCTGCTGCAGCAGCGGCACAGTGCCGTGGAGCAGCTGATCTCGTTGCTGCAGGGCGCCGGGGCCGAGCTGGTCCCTGGGCGTAGAAAAGATACATGCAATGTATACATGTAAGAAAATATACTGTAGTACATGTTCATGATAGAATGTGATATGTGATACATGCTATAGGCTATATATATATATGTATTATATAAGTTATTATATATATATATTATATATTAAGGGGCTCCGCCCCCTGCCGCCGACCCCTGGGCTGAGCCTGCGATCAGCTTCTCCATGGCCCTGAAGCACACACACACACACACGCATATATAAAGATATATATATATATCTATACATATATATATATATATGTATGGTTATACACTGCAAAGTTAGGTGTGCGTTGATTATGTATACATAGGTGCAATTCTGCTAAGGGGCTGACATGACAAAGCCAGAGTAGAAACATAATTATATCAGTGGTTCAATCTTGCTTGGTTGCCGAATCAAGGCTGTCTGGTGCCATGCTTTTGCAGCTTTTGGATCGATAGTGTGAGAAGTAGCAGCACAGGCACACTGGGACAAATTTCACCCGCAATAGCGAGGGTTGTTTGCGCTTTTTGTCCGGCCATGGATCACATTGAATTCAAAGTCCCTGCTGGGTGCTACACAGAAGCTTCTGTGAAGGACGCAGCCAGCATTTGTTCCACCAGCTGTTGCGAGCAGAAGTCTAGGCAACCAACTACTTGTAGCTGCAACTAGCTGATTGGTTCTGTTGCGGTGCCGAGAGTTGTGACATTGCAGGAACTGAGAGCCTTCCTCAGCTGCACGCATCGGAAGATCGGCGAAGGATCTCTTCTGTGGCGCGTGAGGCTCAGAACTTGACATTTTGGACCACTTTTGCGAGGTTTGGTAGATTTCGCCTGTTGGTCCTGGAAATGGTAAAGTCACAGATGATCACAGATGATTTCGCCGTTTCGCGACGATTTACGTCTTTGTCTGTAAGACATTTTAAGAAGCCTTTGTGGTGGGAGGCTTCAGTTGGCCGACATGAAAGAGGCGCCATGGGGAATATCTTGATTTTCATTATCTGAGCACATGAGTTGTTTTTTTTTTGCGGAAAACCGTTGATTAATATAACTATATCATAAAATATCATATATACATACATATTTATATATATATATATACATGTATAGATATATATATATATATATACATATACATATATGTAGCTAAGGCTGGCCATGATACTGGGATTGAACTGGTAATCGAAAAACGCCCTGAAGTTGACACAACAGTGGCCATTTTAGAAAAATGGCTAGTTTTGCAAAAAAATACTTTGCGTTGCCAACATATTAGTTCCACCAATCTTGCAGCAGTTCTGCTCACATTGCAGGAATTTCAACGAAAGATGAGCGACTTTGACCGAAAGAAAGCCATGGATATGCGAACGCTCAGCAAGGTCTGGCTGATTTCACAAGTGGTTTGGGGATTTCTCAAGTACGATTTCACCTCGTGGATTCCCATTGTTGTAGGAATGTCGGTGTAGGAATTGAAGGGAAACCTTCAAAAAAATACACCCCTTTATCTTGGAAAACACATAATACTGCTAAACAAATCATGTTCATAAACACGATTATATAAATGCATGTTTCAACCAATTCAATCCAATTCATACATTAATGTGAAAGTTGGCATGTTCAGAAATGCAATCTAATACGAATTAATCTAATGTGGGTAAAAGAATCATAAACCATCTCCCAAATCACCATATTTATAGGTGGTATGTTTACCATTCCCAGGCATGGATGGTTTATGGCATTGCTTTCATTGTTTTACCATGTTTTACCCTTTGGTTATTTAACATGCCATGGAAAATCACAATTTTTAATAGGTAAACCATCTATAAATGGGCCATTTTCCATGGCTATGGTAAATAACCAGAGGGTACCATGTTTTACCCCACATTATTGGTGTTGATTTTCGCAGAACGTCAGGACTTTGAGAAGAAGGTGGAGATTGAGGCAGCGAAGCTTCGAGCGAGAACCAAGGAGCTTCGATAGTCGCCGTGTCGCACCATAAAGTTGGGCCGGAAAAAACAAGCGCAAAAAATGAACTGTTGGACCCAAATCAGAATAGATCTTATATATATATATACATATATACATATATATATAACACATTTTGGACCCAACATGAATAGATCTAATCTATATATATATATACACACATATTGCACTATGATCACCAGCTGCCATGAGGACCAGTTGGATTCCACGACCAAGCGGACCATCATGGAAAATGAACAAATGGCTTGGGGCTTGGCACTGGGGAAACCTGCGGACTGACAGGGGCTATGAACGAGTTTCTAGAACTTGGAAATTGATCTCTTGAAAGGATTGAACGTAGCTTTGTTGACCATAGTCAAGAGAGATAATCAAGCACAAACCCAAACACAGCAGAAAAATACTGTGCTCAGCGGAGGACTATTCTTACTTAAGCTGGTCAAGGGCATTACTCAACGTCTGCCAAGCGTTTTATGACCACCATGACGACTAATATTTCAGAAATGTAATATATACAGATTAAATGATATATAATACAATATATATATACACATACTATCTATGATAGATGTGGTAATCCCAATGCTAGCACCCCCTTTATATAACAATAAGAAATCATGATGACCTGCATATATATATATATACACATATATATATGTGCTAATATATGTATGGTTTCTAAATATAAACCACCAGATAAGAACATGATCCCCATTATCATCCCCATTATATGATACTCCCATTTTAATGACTATGTATTTATCAGACAGTCATATATACTCATTATTGTTTTACTATGTATAATTCCATTATCCCATGATATATAGAGACTATACACCAGAAAATAAACATGTGTTTAATGTTATATCATGGCACTATCCCAGAGGCCGAGTATCATATTATCGGTGGTATATAATCCCATGATTCCATCATTACTATTATCACGATGGTTCGCCAGGTACTACCACCATCATCATCGTGCTTATAGTTTATGACGATCGGTTAGGGGATATCAACCATGATACTAAAAGATACCGTCTAGGGAAATGCTTCGCGATCGAAGATTTTACGAAATGAGCGCAGAAAATGAAGGCTGTCGAGGGCGCGAATAAGCAGCCTTATTCGCACCCTTTGCGTTCACACAGGGTAGAACCTTTTATGCTGAGCTGTCAGTGTTTATTTCATGGGGTGTGAAGGTTTAAGATCTATCAATGTCAGAAGGTTCCCAGTTCTGCAAAATGGCGTACTCCATGATAACTTTGTAACAAATTTCCAGAAAGTAGACGAATATGTTTCATTCCCAGTACATCTCCATGTTTCGTTATAGCTGTACCTCAATCCCTATGAATTTCCATGAGCACTCACCATGTTTACCCATGCCATGTTTACACGATATCTTATATATACCTTTGATACACTCTATCCCATTATATACTATTTATTATAAACTATATACCATATACCAACCATATATTTACTATCCCATTACCCTATTATCGTTGATATCCCATTGCTATACCATTGCGACAATGTTGTAATAATGGTATAAAAATGGGATTTTACTGGTGGTATTAGCAATTTACTCCCATCATCATGATTATGGTTGACGATCATCGGTTTGGTGATATCAACTATGATAATTCTCATGGTTTTCCCCTGGTTTTCCCATGGTTTCGCATGGGTTTCCTATGGTTTTCCTACGACGGAGGTAAATGCACCACTCACTCTCGTTTTCTTTATATCTCTTTCTCTCTCTCTCTTTCTCTTGCTTTCTCTCTCTCTTTCTCTCTTTCTCTCTCACTCTCTCTCTCTCTCTCTGTCTGTTTAGCGCCGTTGCGCAGGTGGGCCGACAGCTGGAGGTTGTGGCAGCAGGGGCATCTCAGCATTGCCGGGAGCGTTGGATTGCTGGAAGTTTTCATCGGCTGGGTTGGGAGCCCTGGGGGTGCTTACATCGTTGGTAGAAAGGGTCACCCCCGGGGTAACAAAAAATATATATTATAGGTATTGGTTAATAATGGTTACACCATACCCATGTGGAAAAAAAAACCACCAAGGTGCTTGAGAAGTTTGGGGCTTATGGCATTCGGCTGGTGAAGAAATACACCAGGACAGCTGCAGAAGTGGGGGTGGCGTTGTTAAAAAAACTTTATATACGGGGGACCATCATGCTTAAGAATCCTACCAACTGATTGGATTATATAATTTCCATCCATGGATCAATCATCAGTATCCCGAGTAAAAGACATGAAGATAGCATTTTTGGAGCCCTTTTTCTATTCAGTATTACTTATTATATTCAGATGATACACCCATCCTAAGTATATGTTTTTTTAATTCATATAATGTGATATAATATGAATAATTTTTTTTTTGGCTTTGATTGATATGATAACAAGTTTATTCGTTTGGTTGACTGGTTTCAGTTTCGAGATTCCGAGCTGGCAGGTGTTGGTGCACTGCACCCGGGCCGCTCCTGCAGTGTGGCCGTGGTGGCGGCATTTCTGATGCAAAAGGAGAAGATCTCCCTGGGAAAGGCGAAATCGCTGGGTTTCGGAGCTGATTTCATGGGATTGTACCAGGAATCATGGGATTTAACCGTTTAACCAGAAAATAACATGGATTTTATATGATTTTAACATATTTGACCAGTAAACAACTTGGATTCCTGGGTAAACTGACAGGTGAATGGCAGGTGTGCTGGAACTGGAAGAATTCATGAAAATCAACTGTTGGCGGGAATCTGCATTTGACACTCTTGAAAGAAAAACGACGATTAGCCGAGCCCACCATCAGTCTTCTGAGGCCCTTCTGTCCATCAAGGTGACTTGACTGGCATCTCAAGGCCGTCCTTGGTTCTAGTTGGCCGGTTGGCCACAAAAACAACCATGTATTTCATCATAAATCATATATTTTACCATATTCATATACTTATACCATTTTGATACACCATATAGCATATATGGTATCATATAGCCAATTTCTTATGTAGTCACAGAACCACATGTATTTCACCATCTTAAAAGATAGTACAATATGTTTTACCATACTATCAACCACATACATATAGGAATCCATATTATGGTTCAACACATTCTTACATGTATATCAAATGCAATATATCATAACATTGCAACCAGTGTATATACAATGCAATAAGTTCTGCCCACATTACATGTTATCATTGCATATGCAATCATACCTATGTGATCCTATATGTATGCACACACACACATATATATATATATACACATATGTATATATATATATATGTAATCATATAACCATATTAACTATATCCGTTTAACCATATTATTAACTATATTATCAACCATATCATCAAACATATTATTAACCACATGATTAACCATATTATTAACCATATTGTTAACCACATTTTTAACCATTGTATTCATCCATATGTACACACACACATATATATATATATGTGTTTGTATGTATTTGGATCAATTATACCGACTTCACTGCGACCTCAGTGGAATCATGGTTAAGGGAAATCATCCCCAAATGGCTTTACCCAGATGTATGTCAATCCATATGAAATCCATATCAAATCATCCCAAAAGTTGTGTTTATGTCTTATGGAATGTATGTGTTTATCCACACCAGATTCTTTTATGATACTTTTTACATCCACATCCCAAAATCCATATCAAAATAGTAGTTATCCTCCCTGAGATCCACATTTCATCTTCCCTCAGGAGAAGCGTCCTGAGATCGACTGTAGGACCAACTTTTTGGACCAGCTTCGGTCTCTGGAGGAGGGGTCGCTGGGGCGGCCGGCCATCCGCGCACGAAAAAACCACAATTTGGGGTGGGGCGGGGACACCCTTAAATTGACGCCAGATTGGAACTGGATCCTGGAATTTGGATGGTTACCCTCTGGTTATTTACATAGCCATGATATAGATGTCCCATTCATAGATGGTTTACCTATTATATACAAATGGTGATTTTCCACGGCTATGTTAAATAACCAGATGGTATTTCAATTTCATGCCAGATTTCCTGTTTTCTTTGGACTCCCGGCTGTGAATTTCTTCCGTGTTTTAATGGGTGGCGCCAGGAGGAGCTTCAAGTGGTACCTGTATGTCCCATGACCCTGGAGGCAACGAAGGGTCCAGATGGGTTACCCCCAAACAAAAACCAGCGAAGTAACCCGTTATATCCCGTTATTGAAATAGCAGGGGATTGCTTTTCTAGATAAAGGCTATGTATATATACACACGCGTATATATATATATATATGCATCGGATTTGAAGATTTTTGGGGTTTGTTTGAGAATAGTTGCCCCATGCCCTATTCCATCCATCGATTAATTTATCAGCATTTTTTTTTAAAGCTTGTTAGGGGCAAATATACCCGATTCTCAGACAGAACCCAAACCATATGAGGTTAGTTATTCCCATTATTACGATAGTTTAAAGTTTAGATTCGCATTCTACCATGTCATACCATCATTTCCATGATGCTTTCCCGTTTGAGGCTTTCCAGCTCCTTCCCCAGAGGAGTGGTTAGACTCTGTCAGGCGGCCGGCGCGCTCAAGAACGAGCTGTCTGAGGTCAATCCTAAGGCCTGTTAGCACGAAGAATGCGACGAAGGATGGGATTTCATAGGATGAAATACTGTGGATGGTTGCGAAATCCGAATCACCAGTTGAAAACGGTGGTAAACATCCCATGATTCATCGGGTGTCAACCATCCTTTGGTGCAGGATTTCGCAACCATCCACAGTAGGATAGGCTAGGATACATAGGTGAGTGACGATCAATACCCCCGGTAGATAGGCTATGTTTTCATCAACCCCCAGGTAGATTTGGCACAGCAATCTGCCCCTTCTGGCAGGTGATTATGGAGATTTCCTTCGATGGGCAATCCGTAGGGCGGATCGAGTTCGAACTCTTCTGTGGCTGGGCTGAAAGGTGGCTTAGAGAACCCATGGCTTACCCTGAGATACTGGGGTTTCATGGGATATAATGGATATCATCATATATACATATATACATATGTACATATATACATATATACATATATACATATGTACATATATACATATATACATATATATATATATACATATACACATATATACATATATATATATACATATACATATATACATATATACATATATACATATATACATACATATATACATATATACATATATACATATATACATATAGACATATAGACATAAAGACATATATATATATATACATATATACATTTATACATATATACATATATATATATACATATATATATATATACATATACACATATATACATATATACACATATACACATATATATATATATGTATACATACACATATATACATATATATATATACATAGACATATAGACATATATACATATATACATATGTGTATATATATATATATGTTTATATCAATATACAGATGCACATATACACATCTATACATCTATACATGCACATATATATATATAAATATAAATATATAAATATAAATAAATATATATATAAATATGTACAGATAGATTAGATAGATAGATAGATAGATAGAAAAATAGAAAGATTAGATTAGATTAGATTAGATTAAAATAGATAGATTAGATAGATGGGATAGATTGGATAGATGGGATAGACTAGATAGATTGGATAGATCGGATAGATTAGATTCATTAGATAGATTAGATAGATTAGATAGATTAGATAGATTACATAGACTAGATGGATTACATCGATTAGATGGATTAGATCGATTGGATAGATGGGGTAGATTAGATATATTGGATAGGTTGGATAGATTGGATAGGTTGGATAGATTGGATCGATGGGATAGATTAGATGGATTGGATAGATTGCATAGATTGGATAGATGAGATAGATCAGATAGATTAGATGGTTTATATAGATTACATTGATTAGATGGATTAAATGGATTAGATGGATTGGATCGATTGGATGGATTAGATAATTAGATGAATTAGATAGATTAGATAGATTAGATAGATAGATAGATAGATAGATAGATGGATGGATGGATGGATGGATAGATCGATCGATAGATAGATAGATCGATAGATAGATAGATCGATAGATCGATAGATAGATCGATAGATGGATGGATAGATAAATAGCCAACAACATGATAATTCGGTGTCATTGAAATCGCCCTTCACCCTCTCCAAAATGGTAGGTTTTAAATTGGGAACATGATGAACCAGTGCATTTTGGCCAAGATTGAATCGAGCCCCAAATAATCATCCGAAATGAATAGTGAAGGGAATAAATGTGAGTTACTATTTTTCATAACTGAACATACATGAACGATAGATAGATTTACCATCTAGTAAATCTCCAGATGTTTTTTTCCCCTCCAGTTTAGGAACGCTTGTGATTTACCCTCTGGTAAACTAAAACAACTATGGGAAATCACCATGCTATCAACGGATGATGCTTAAGGGGTTTTCCTAAGGCAGTGTAAAAACTACCAGAGAGAAAGGCAAAACATGCACAAGCGTTGCATTTTCCATTGCATCTGGGTTTGTCAGAAAATACGGCATCTGCAAATCCATTGGTTGATGATCATTTTCTCCATTGAATAGCCAGACCCATCGTACGCGTGTTGAATTTGGAAGCTGAGATGCCGATCACGAGCATTTAAGTGTTGGTAAATTTAAGAGGTATATCCAATTAGTAGGGTATAAAACATGGCACTAGAGAAAATCGTCATTTGAATTGACAATTCAAGTCAACGCGATTGATGTATGGGATCTTTGTTTTTTGATTCCTATAAATATCCACATGTGTCCAAAAAAATATCTTTTACCAGGGATAGTGTTGGCTTTGCCACAGGTATATTATTGGCAATGTTCTTCAATAATAGCCCCCATATCAGAATCAGGATGCAAACTTCGGTTTTAGACTAGGAGGACAGACCACGATACAGAAATATACAGAACAGGTAACATGGATTTTTGGAAAAACGAAACACCAAATTGGAGGATACGATTTGGGGGTCAAAATTATTGCACCGCAACCTTTGCCCCGAAGAAGTCTTTTTCTCATCTTGTCAACACACAAAATTGGTACCCTGAATGACTTGAATCAGAGCCATTGATGGTAGGCCGCCAGTGCCTGTATCGCGACCACAGCTCCCTTCCAAGCCTCTTGGCCAGGCACATGGATCTGGCATAATCTGGTGATTTGGTGTACTATGGAAAGTGACTTCCATATCATAAAGCGATATATAGAAAGTTGACGTATTTTCAAGCCGCGTGCTGCCCAGGGGCTTGAATTTACTAAGTCTAAATACATGGAATATATCCAGGCATGTTTCATACATTCCGTAGCTGATTGCAAACATGTTGTACCTTCGGTCAAAGTACAACTGGGGAGACGGTCCCCGTGTACATTCGGTCAAAAAGGTGGGGAACTTGAACACAGGTGGTGTTACACCACCTGCGTAGCACATTTCTTGTCTTATGTAGAATGCATGCAAGCAACAAAAACAAAACCACAACATTATAATGATACGCACACACACACACATATATATACACAAGATGGAAGATCATTTTTTTTCGCGTACTTCTGATTTGGAGTGTCCACCTTAATTATCATGGTTCTGGATTCCTGGGTGAAAATCTACTGTAAACGGTGGTTTCAACTATCCAAGCCTCCAGTTCGGGTGGTCTTTCGAGTGTCCCGTGCACTTGGTCCATTTTTCCTGAGGTTGAACCATGGCTGAAATAGGCCAATACCCTGAGCTAATGGTGGCCAAGCATGGCCCGCTGCTGACCTAAGACGGGACGAGCAAAGCCTCTCCAGTATAGTCGGGAAACATGGGAAAAGCTCGGATAAAGTTGGGAAAAATGCGAAAGCAGTCGCTAAAGTTGATATTTTGGCATTCGACCTTTTTCGACAACAGCAACCAGCTGTGTGTCTAGACATTGATGTGGTTCTCTTGAATTGGACGATGTTCAAAAAGAATCTCGGCATTGACATCCAGTTCTGTGACTCAACGTAGATCGAATGAGGAGAACGAAGTTTTTGGGGTTACCCGGTGAGCCAGCATAACCTTGGAGAGCTCTGGAAAGCTTGACACATGGTGACAATTTATAAGAAAATGGCGACGGACCTGATAGACTCTTTTTTTTGGGCACAAAACGACTGAGATTTGCTGAACTTAGCGACTTAGAGGTTGAATGACTTGAAGTTTGAAGGCTCAAGTGCATCGATAGCGATGTGGACCGGCCACGGGAGTCGTGCTCGCCAACCATGCTGGCGTAAACTGCATGCGGCCTTCCATGCGGGCGGGAAATGCATGCGGCCTACCGTGCTGGCGGTAAATGCACGAGGTGCTGATTGGCACATAGCGGGTTTAGCCCGTGCCCGAAAGGGCATCCCTAGTGGGAGACAGTGCCAATCGGCACCTCGTGCATTTACCGCCAGCTTGGTAGGCCGCATGCACCGACCACCCGCATGGAAGGCTGCATGGAGTGTACTTCAGCATGGTTGGCACATGCTGGCACTGTTGCTGGTCCGCAGGACTATCGAGCAGAAAGGCAACCTGGATGTGGACGTTCTCGTTAATCCTGCTGTTCCGTGTGTTCTTCTTCTCTCGCGTTTTCGTTTGCGCCTTTTTCTTCGTGTTGTTGTTCTTGTTGTCCTGGTTGTTGTTGGTGTTGGTGTTACTGTTGGTGTTGCTGTTGGTGTTGCTGTTGGTGTTGTTGTTGTTGTTGTTGTTGTTGTTGTTGTTGTTGTTGTGGTTGTTGTTGTTGTTGTTGTTGTTGTTGTGGTTGTTGTTGTGGTTGTTGTTGTTGTTGTTGTTGTTGGTCTTGGTCTTGGTGTTGGTGTTGGTGTTGGTGTTGTTGTTGTTGTGGTGGTTGTTGTGGTTGTTGTGGTTGTTGTTGTTGTTGTTGTTGTTGTTGTTGTTGTTGTAGTTGTCGTTGTAGTTGTAGTTGTCGATGTCGTTGTCGTTGTTGGTGTTGTTGTTGTTGTTGTTGTTGTTGGTGGTGGTCTTGGTGTTGGTGTTGGTGTTGGTATTGTTGTTGTTGTTGTTGTTGTTGTTGTTGTTGTTGTTGTTGTTGTTGTTGTTGTTGTTGTTGTTCATGCTGTTGCTGTTGCTGTTGCTGTTGCTGTTGTCCTTATTCCTGCTATGGACCTTGCTGCTGCAAGCTGGAACAAAAGCAACAGTGATAGTGTGGACGATGGTGTAGGTCTCGGTCGCGGAGTGGTAGCGTGCAGTGTCACTCTGCCGACCCAACGTTTGCCGAAGCGATTTTGCGGGGGTGGCCCGCCACCAGAAGCGAAAGAGCTCGTAGCTGCAATCTGCTTGTCGGTTCTGCAAGACGAAAAGCGCGTCACTGCAGTGCTGAACCAATCTTGGGTGGACACCTGGCACGGCTGGGAAGAGTTAAAGGCGGATGGGTCGGACACTGTTGCCAGGAACGTCGCAGAGCGTTTGCTGCAGATCGCTGGCGTCAATATGCCCCGAAACATGATGACCAATGCATGTCGGTTGCAGGAATTGACTGCTCGCGGCTTGCACCTCAAAGTTGCATCGTCGCATGGTGTCAATAACTGCCTCATCGATTCACTTTTGCTGTGCCTCGTTAACAAAGGCTTGACTCCACAAGAATACACCATGGCCGAACGCAAAGCGCTATGTGCCACATGTCGAGAAGATTTGTGTGTGCGACACGGGGTCCCCCGTGGTGTGTACCTGGATGGGCACCGGGATACACCACGTATCCTCGATTTCTTCGTGCGACGACTGTGGAAGCTTGATGTTTCTCTTCGGGTGTTTTTTTATGATTGCATGGATCACGGAGAGTTGGGCATGGCAAGTACAGAGTTGTCGCACGTGGATTTCACCTGGGGTGACCGCGTCGTGTATGAACGCCAGACGCTGCATGTGTACAATCACACAGATCCGACAGGACAAGGCTATCATTTTGACGCGTTGGTTGGTGCCGTGGCGCAGAGTGGGAACCAACGAAAATCATGTGCGAGAGGAAGCCAAGCGCACACAACCGAAGATGAAGGATCGAGGCACGAAGACCGAGGCCACAGACCGCCTAGCATGGAGTTGCAACGAGTTCATCAGGCCTTGGACGGATTTTTCCGGTCACGCGGCACTGGCATCAACGTGAACACGCAAGACGCTCGCGACATCATGGAAGCTTGGGATGATGCGGAGAGATGCTCGGTGAAACTGCATATGCTATTGCAGGCGAACACAACGTACATGGATGCGGGCATGCATGCTGCGCGACGCTTGCTTGGGGAATGGCGCGCGCACTACGCAACATACACCCAAGGTCCCGGGCAAAGATTAGGCGAGTCGATGAGCGGAAAGGGCGGGAAGAAAGAAGTGGAACCGGCCGCAGAGGCGGAGGCTATGGAGGTGGAGGAAGCTGTGGCAAGCAATCGGCAGAAACTATCGGAAACGGAGGTTACCGACAAGGATGCAAGCAGCACCGGGAAGAAAGCAGCGGCCAAGAGGCCGCTGGCTGAAGGCCTGGGTTTGCCTCGGAAAAGGTTACGCGGAAAACAGCCGGTGCCCGAACAAGGTCTAGCAAGGAACGATGTCAAAGGAGATGATGCATTGGATCACGGCCTTGCACTCGATGAGTATATTTTGCGGACATGGCACGCTACACACGGAAACCCTGACCCACGAGCCCAGGGTGACATGGTGTTAGAGGCGTTGGGAAAACAGTTTCGGAAGAAACCCACGTTGCCCCATTGGATGGCTATAGCAACACGAGATGCGGCTTTCGATTTGCCGGATTACATTTGTTCTTTCGAAGGGTGTAATTTTGAGTCGGAGCTAGCGGAAGCGTTTGAAGAACATGTTTGTCAAGAGCATCGCCGGGCACTGGAACCTTTGGCATCCAAACCAGCAACCAAGGCAAAGATGTTGGAAGCATACCGGGCAGGTTTAACCTGGGCATGCCAGCAAGATGCACCCACAGCTCACATTGCCATTGATAGGCGTTGTCTGCGGCAGTATCGCGACTCGCAAAGCGGTGACAAGATCGGGGCCGGCATCTGTTTACTTTGCGCGCGCCGGTTTCCGTATGCCGACGCCATGGGCGAGGGCGATCGCATACAATGGAAACAATTGGCGGGGAAGTCGCATTTTCTTGGCCTGTCTTTGGAAGAAACAAAACGATGGCTGAGTTTAGACACGTATTGGAGCACCTATGCCATGCAATACGGGAGAACAGTCCGAGAACGCTTGCGCGCCGAGTTGCAAGATTGGTGCGCTGATGTCGAACTTGATGGGCAAAATTTGTCGATAATATGTTGTCCTGAAGACAAAGTCTGCGCAAAGCGCCGCCCCCCTGGTCGGATCTGCTCGGCGTGCTGGGCGCCAGTATGCATGCATTGCCGGGACAGCTTGCGCGCAAAAGAGGCGTCCAGGCTGGCGTTGGCGAACGACATGTTAGTTTTTTATACGCCCCGCATGATTTACAAGGAAGAAGTTACTTTCATGGAATTAGTGTGCGCCAGCCCGTGTTTTACTGCCATGGCTTGCTTCAGTTTGGAGAAGAAGTTGCTAGGAGACCGGGCATTGGATCAAGATGCGTTCATGAATCGGAACCGTTTGGTTGCCCGAGGGAATGCCACAACCTTCCCATTAGCGTGGGAAGAGTTATTGCAAAACTTGCAAGCAGCATCTACAGAAGCAGCTGCGGGAGAAATACGCCTACCAAAAGTTGGGGTCGAATTGGCTGCGGTAATCAACGTAATCATCAAAGCAGGAGGACCACTGTCCGAACGCGATGACGCCACAAAGATCATTCACCAAGCTCGCGTGCGGCGGGCCGTCGTGCTGCAGCTGATTGCCGATGCGAAGGCCCGGGAACACCCTGCCTACAACTTTCTGAACATGAACGAAGTAGTGCAGCGTGCCGAACAGCTGCCAGAAGATGGTGTCCCAGCAGAGATCGTCGCTTGGTTGCCTCATGACACAGACTTGGATAACGTGCAGCGCCAAAAAGCAGCAACGCCAACCCGGGCCATGTTGTCGGAAGCAGACGTGCAAGCCGAGTTTGCGTACATGTGCAAGCCGAACGCTGTAGTGAGCGAGCGTACAAGCGGCGGCTTCGCTGATCCTAATGCAACGCACGTGGCAGCCTTGCAGGCCGTGGTGCAGACACGCGAGGCGTGCAGAGCTGAAACCACCACGGCGGTGGTTTACACCGGCAATCGTTTGTTGGGTCAATTTGAACCGTGGTATTTCGCGTTTGCCTTTGCTTTTCTCTTCCCGTATGGAAGTGGAATGCCGGATCCGCCAAGCTGGAGTCCCAAACTTCGGCACCGCCGTCCACCGGATGCTTTGCGTGTCGAGTTCGCAACTTGGATGCGTTGCATGGCCCGGCGCTGTG